CCAAGCCAAAGATACGTGGATGAGCTTTACTTCCACAAGACCACTGAAATTAACGAGGATACCCAAAGTAATATCTTAAGCATCGGTGTTGAAGGATCACGAATTTAGCTTTCCAGCGAACCCCCACCATGCATTCTTAAGACTCTACAAGAAATTTAGCAAAATGTTACTTCCTTTCATGCAGGCCTTGCCTTGGCTTATAGACAGTCCCTCCATGCTAGTTATAAGTCACCACTAAACAAAGATTCTCAAACAAAGGCTGACCCTTAGGTAGGGATGCTGTAAGAATGGGAGTGTAAATTGCCACAAACTGCATGTTCATAGGAAGTCTGGAATGGAAATCATGCAAGCAAATAGCAGTGGTATTGGCTATGGTGTTTTTCCTTTAAATCTGCATCATTAGGTAAATAATTATTGTCATGTTCTGATGTTTCCTTTCCATTCATACATGATGAATTACATCAGTTCTGGCATCGACATAGGTTTTAGAAGAAGCAAAACTGTAGCAGAATGGCAACAGTGCTGATTGCGATGAACGAAGGGCAGTAATCACTGCCTCCTTAAGTCCCAGGCCTTAGAACACATTTGCATACCAACTCTGCCTCCATACCTGTGCAGGGCAAACTGTAGGAGTGAATAGTATCAGTAGTACTATTAAGGACTTCTTTGTTATTGTGAATATTCAGTTTTGGGCTGGTTTACACTTTGTGTGTTGTACTTCGGCTCTGTATACCTGAAGGAGAATCTCCACCCCCATCATTCAGCCCGGACACTGAAATCCAGCTCTGAGGGCCTTCTGGCGGTTCCCTCATTGTGGGAAGTAAAGCTACAAGGAACCAGGCAGAGGGCCTTCTCCGTAGTCACGCTCACCCTGTGGAACACCCTTCCGTCATATGTCTAGGAAACAAACTGACTCTTAGGAGACATCTGAAGGCAGTCCTGTATAGGGAAGTTTTTAATGTTTGATGTTCTACTCCTACTGTGGAGGTAAAACATACCTGTATGGTTAGTATCTGTTGACAGCCTTATCCAAGCTTCTGAGGGTGCTGGAACAACCAAGAGGGCACCCTCCACCCATCTTAGCACCAGAGAGGGTCTGTAGGGAAGGAGGCGGTCGTTTGGCCAGACACTGCCAGTACAGATCCCATGAGTGTATATGCAAAATTAAGATTCATTTTTGTCCCAATGTGCCTCACTTTACACTTGCTTGCATTAACGTGCTGTTGCGATTTTACATTCATTCACTCAGTTTGGAGAAGTCCTTTGGGAGGTCTTTACAATCCCTTGTAACTTGACTACTTCACTGCTTACCCTTAATCTAAATCAGCTTGCCGAACTTTTCATGTTGGTGACACACTTTTTCGACATGCATCATTTCACGATACAGTAATTCAGTTTTACTAGCAAACTGGATGTTAAATTAACCCCTTTCCAGCCATTGGAGGAGCACAAGGAGCGTTCACGTGACACACCTACACACTGTAGCCGACACACTAATGTGTTGCAATACATAGTTTTAAAAGCTCTGGTCTAGATCAACAAGCTGAAAAGGACTCCACTTTCTACATCCCTCTGGTTGGAGAAATATCCATTTATTCCTACTCTCTTCCTGTTTCTGCAACAGTTACTGATCCATAAGAGGAGAGTTCATTTTCTCCCATGGCTGCTAAGCTTATTCAGGCGTCTTTGGTACGGAGTTGATTACAGGACATCAACTTTTAAAAGCTTGAATCGGATCCCTTTCAAAACAAAAGACAATAATTGGGACCTGTTTATATTGGCAAACACAAAGCCATTATATCTACAAGAATTTTTAAGGACACAAGAATCAGGAAAACCACTTAGATGATGAAACCAATATTCTTAAATGGCTGAAGATGATTTTTTTTTTAAAAAATTATTTAGTTTGTTTTTTATTGGACAGTATGCTGAAAAGTTTCAATAAAACTTTTTCAAAGAAGAAAATACCCAGCAGTAAGGGATAGGTTCTTTGCTATTAAATGAGCTGCGGTTTTGGGGCAGGAAGTAATGCAAAATCAACAAGCACATTTGAAGAATAAAAATTGGAATAGTGTAAATGCAGCAAACATGTTTGCAAACACTTTAAGTACCAGAAACTTCTCCAAAAGTTAATCACTTCTGTATCCTGGAATGGCACAAGAGGGGAGGAAAATGGGTGTAAATTTTACACACCCAACATGGTTGGCTGTTAGTAACACAAGGCCCTCAAAAAGGTGAGATTTAATATGGAATTGGGAGCCAAGGTGGATAACTTTTTTAGACTATCCCATTCCATTTTTGATTGGGCATTGTTTAAATGACTTTAAGAGTAAAAAGCTGAACTGTTTATCTGAGGCCCTTCTTTGTGTGCCTTCATGAGAGGTTCGAAAGGTGGCAACACAAGAATGGACCTTTTCTGCAATGGCTCCGTTTGTGAAATGCTCTCCCAAGGGAAGCTTACATATATTTAGGCACCAGGGCAAATGTTTTTCTTCAATCAGGTGTTGAGTGAACATCCCATGGCTTTTTTTTTAATGTGTTGGGCGCTATTGGTTTTTATTATGTATATTGTATTCTCATTTTGTATTTTTCTGTTGTGAACTGCCCTGGGACCTTCAGATGAAGGGTGGTGTACAAATTTTAAAAAGTAAATAAAAATTAATGTGTTGAGGGCAATAAGAGTCAAAATATGAGAACTCAAGCTTTTTTAGGTATGTGTATTTGGTGCAAGAACCAAATTTGGCATTGGATAGTGACAGCTGGTAGTATCAGCAGCAATCTAGGCTACGGGCTGGATTCAGCTACTTGGTCTTGTTAGTGGAAGCCAGCACGACGACTCCAGTAGGGCTTTCCCCACCCTTTCCTCCCATGTACCTCACAAATCTGTTCTGGGGAGGGGGGTGTCAGAAACTCCAGAACAGTTTGTGGGGAGAGGAGAGGAGATGGTTCTATCATGCAACCAAAAATGCTTATGCTTACTGAACAACCTCCTTAGTGCCATGCTGATTTCTACCCAAAGTGTTTATCTATAGATCAAGTATAAGTTTGATTCATTGTAATTGTGGTCACAAAGTGTTTGCAGTGACTTAAAGAACTGTGTAACCTGGCAATGTATCTTCAAGACAGCTGGAAGCAGCAGCAACCAAAACCATACATAAACTGTTATTCAGAAACTGGCTGCTGTAGAAAAGTAGCAGCTGTGTTGAGAAGTCCACTAGGCTCAATGGCTTGAGACTTACGATGCAATGCTTTCTCCTAGACCAGGCATGGCCAAACTTGGCCCTCCAGATGCTTTGGGACTACAATTCCCACCACCCCTGACCACTGGTCTTGTTAGCTAGGGATGATGGGAGTTGTAGTCCCAAAACATCTGGAGGGCCAAGTTTGGCCATGCCTGTCATAAACTCTTTCAAACAGACAAAATGGCACAGTTGTAATAGTTACATGGAAGCAACATGGGGACAATACAGTTTTACTTGATTTGTTATATTAATATCCAATAGCTCTTTCTTCCCAAGTGTTGCATGACAAGTGGAATGTGAAGTCTATGAAACCCGCAAAATTCAGTATGCGGTGTCTACGTTGCAATTCAATTCACATTTTTCCCATGCTGCAACTCAAACTTGTCACCAACATTCATGTGAACCTGCACAAAAATCTGAACATTTCCATTCCAATAGAAATGGAAAATTCAGCCATAAATAGAACTTGAAAGCTGGAGTCAAATTTCAAATCTGGATTTGGAATTTCAAAATTAGAATTTTGCATTTTAAATGATCATGTGCATATTTGAACAAACACTTTGAAATTCATTTCAGTGCTACTATTGCTTTAAAAATCCTTCATTCATCCCTACCCTTGCCCAAGTTCTGTTCCTTGAAACAATAAAACTACTTTTTTAAAAAAGGAAATATATTAATTGAACTCAGGAAACACTTCTTACGAATCAAAGGACTTGAGCAGTCCCATTTCCCCCTAAGGAATATTCCTTATCCAAACATACAAGCATTGAATATGAACGTAAACAGTCTTCATTTATTTATTGCTTATACCATGTGCTTCCTCTAAAGACCTCAAAGCAACTTACAGATGGTTCCCAGGTGGTCTCCCATCCAACACAGCTTTCAGAGCCAGATTATAGCGTTTATTCTATCCAATGTTAGGGAAGGATAGCAGCTTTACTTAATAAAAAATAAGAAATCAACAGCCTACTTTAGGTTTTCAGAGAATGTAGTGAGAACTTATGATGACACAATATCTCCTCCCCCTTAAATTCAATAACTGCAGGATTTAATTGTAATTCAGGAGGTACTTTCTGCATTGCCTGCTCCAATGTCTTCTTTAAAGGGCTTTTCTGGATACTACACCTTCAGGCAAATGTACTGGAAGTTATTGGGCTTATGCTGAAAAATAGGCGAGACAAAGTTGAATGCACTTTTGAGACAACTTTAAAAGAACTAGGCAACAAGGCCTGAGGTTGTAGAATGCATAAACTGGTCTTTATAACATTTTTTTCCAGAACCAGCTCAACCACATGAAGAAACGGGCTTTTTGTGCCTCCATTGCTCTTGGAATCTACTGTATACTGAGATGATTCAGGCAAAGATGTCTGCAATGAAGCATCTTGTGACTCCTTAAAAAACTAACACACCAATATTGTGCATAAGGTATTCTAGCCTAGAGTTCTCTTCCACAGACGCGTGAAGTGTTGTTCTCAGATGGCTGATAACTGCCAACTGAGGATAACATTTCATGTATCTAATGAAGTGGGATCTAAAAGCCTATGTCAAAACACCCAATTTGCACATAAGGAAATTTAGCACCAAGGCTGAATCTATATTATTATGATTAACCACCCTTCACCCTAAGATCCCAGGGCATGTCACAGCATAAAAACTATTTAAAACAACTATAGTTTTGGGTGCCATTAGATCTGTGATGGCTGTATTATGCATACAAACCACCCATTTTATTATGGTCACCAGGTGATGAAAATGTGTGCAGGAACTCCCCTTTGGACAACAGGCAAACAAAGCGTGTTGAAAGCCAACCTTTTATTTTGCTGTAAAGATATCTGCATTACAAGTATAAAGGTTAGAAATTATGGTGAACATATTTGAAACTACCATCTCTGCCAGTACTGTTAAACAGCTGTGGTTCTGCTGTGCCTTGCATCTCCTTGTCTTGCTGCCCAAGATCTATTTAGGTGGTGGCACGGGTTCTTTGTGGGATCCCGTGCATGCATGTGCTCTACATCTCAGAACTCAATTCCTCCTCTAAATGACTGGCAGATCATCAGCTATTTACCCAAATACGTATTGGTGTGGTTAACTATTAAAATAAAAGACCACAGGCTAAAGCAAAAAAACCCAACCAAACCCCACAAATACAAAACATCTAGCTTTAAAATATATTTCATCACAATAAGAACCAATTAAAGACCAACCCGCAGGTTAAAGGGCAATATTGAGTTCACCTCAGACCAAAGGTTTGCCCCCAAAACAAAACTGTTATAGAACTCAAAATTCTTGTATGTGAGGCGATTCATGTGTTACTTTCACCGCCTTCATGCTTGGCTGCGGAAATTTCTGGAGCAAGAAGATATACCTGTCAGTAAAGCCGTACACACTTTAACTGCTTGTAGCACAAAAATGTAGTGTTTCTCAATCCAGAAGCATTCATGCTTGTATTCAACATGCTGCTTTCCATTTAGATTGATTCTAGATCTTGCTATACCTAAGGGTGGATGTAGCTACTTGAAACATGTTCTAAAGCCCCACCCTTTCATTAGGTTTCCCATGCCTTTTGCTCTTTCACATGACTCAGGCAAATGAAGTGGTGATTGTGGCTTTTGTATATGCCCACCTACAATGTAACTGGGGCAGGTGTGGCTATGCCCCCCACTGACAGGGCCCTCAACATCTGCTTTCAAATGGATACATTTGGGGGTAGGGCAGACTCAATCTGCAATGAGCTTTTATTTTTAGAATGAATCCGGTTTCTCTAAAAGTGCTTTTCGGTGTGTGTGGGGGGGAAATAGGGAGAAGATCTGGATTTTGTGTGTATACTACACAGGGAAAAATGTACTCAAGTCTCTATTATTCTATAATAAAATGTGTGCATGCAGCTGAAAAATGTTGTGTGTACGCAGCCTAGAAAGTTGCCTAGGCTTCCAAAGTTATAACAGACACAAAACACTAGCACAAAATGCCTCTGTGTAAGAAAGCCATGGAATAAGTTTAACTCTGCTCAGTTTGATAAGGTTAAGCAAACGTTAATGTTGAGATTATGGCTAGTGTGTAAATTGGCAGTTTGATGTTCTCACACTTCGCAAAAAACTTCTTAGAGATAAAGATTCCCCCCCCCCCCATTATGGTTCAATGAAGATGCTGCGTTGGATTTGAAAATAAGTTGTGGAAAAGCCAACTCCTTGAAAAATCCTGATACTATGACCTAATGTAAGGGAATCCATAGGGAAGTCAAAAAATCGAAACTGAAAAGAACTAAATTATGGCCTCTTATTTTCAGCTTTTTGTCAGCTTGAAAATTAAATGAGGTTCTAAAGCTTTGGACTGTATCACTTCTGGCTTCATGTTGGGGGTTGCATATTTTAAAATAATTATTTCCCCATATATAACTTTCCTTGCATATACCATTGTATCAGAGATATCCTTTGATGTGCTACATACAGGAGTCTTGTGTGAAAAAGCATTTAACAACTATGACTCTCCCCATACCTACACTCTGAAATGCAACAGTCCAAAATTTTACCCTCTTTATTTTGCATGAGGATATAAACTTTCCCCACTTATACTGAGAGCACGGGACCAAATACAGCAGGCTCCACAAACCGGATGCCTGCCAAATGTCTAAAGACAATTCCCAAGAGTCTCAGCCAGCAAAGGGGGCAGCAGGTGGGTGAAGGCTGCACTACAGCATGGCTCCTTCGTGTGACGCTGGTACAGTATAACGCAGCATGTCCTGACCTATATAGGAGGAAGCTCAGGGTGTAAAGTGCAGCAGCTGGATTTCTTCCATATATCTCAGGGTGTTTGTATGGGAGCAAGCTATGTGGCAGCAACACACTACCAACATTAACAGAGGGCCTCGGAAGCCACGTTGCCCACCACTCTTTAAAATATTGCAGATTAAATATTTATCTTACTGGATTATCCTCAATTTGCAAAAAAAAAGTTTTAAGTAATTTTATGATGCAGCAAGATTATTTTAACTCAGCATATTCTTCTTTGCGAATACACAGGAAACCAGATTTGTTAACACATTTACTGTATTTACATTTTTAGGTAAAACATCTTATGTGAACATCTGCACATGTGAAGTAGCCTGTAAACCTTGAATTGAGTATTATTTAGAACAGCCTACTTGTACTTTTAGGGACGTGGGTGGCACTGTGGTCTAAACCACTGAGCCTTGGGCTTGGCGATCAGAAGGTCGGCAGTTCGAATCCCCACAACAGGGTGAGCTCCCGTTGCTTGGTCTCAGCTCTTGCCAACCTATCAGTTTGAAACCACATCAAAGTGCAAGTAAATAAATAGGTACCGGGAAGGTAAACGGCGTTTCCCTGCGCTGCTCTGGTTCGCCAGAAGCGGCTTAGTCATGCTGGCCACATGACCTGGAAGCTATCTGTGGACAAACGCCGGCTCCCTCGGCCAGTAAAGTGAGATGAGCGCTGCAACCCCAAAGTCGTCCGCAACTGGACTTAATGGTCAGGGGTCCCTTTACCTTACTTGTACTTTTAGGAAACTGCCTCAGACTAAGCCAGGGATAGGCTGACTGTGGTTATATATGGTCTACCGGGGTGTGAGTGTGTGTGAGAAGAATACATTTATTAAGGGAGCAAACAAAACAATTAATTAAAAAGCCCCTCTAAAAACAATTATATAAACTCATAGTTAATATTTGTAAGGTTGCTGGGATCAACATATTTCAGCCTGGGTGAAGAATCTTGTTTTTAATTTCCTCCCAAATGTTAGATAAAGGGGGACAGATATATCTCACCAATGTGGGCATTCAGTAAATACAGAATTGCAACCAAGGCGGCCCTTTCACGTGTGAACACCTACAGTATTTCACAGCCCCCGGGAGGAGTACCACCAACAGGGCCTCACCTGCAGATTCTAGGGCCCAAAATGGTTGATGATGAGGGAGATGTTGATTTAGGAACTTGGGCCCCAAGCTGTTTAGGGTATTGTACATAAATGCTAACATTGAATTGGGCCTCGTAGCTCACTGGCAGATAGTGCAGTGCTTTCAGGACCAAGTTACACATGGTTCCACTAGGCTGTAAATGTAGCAGCAATATATTTTGCTAGCAGTAGCTTCTGCACTGTTTTCAAGCGCAGCTCCTACGTAGAGTAAATTGGAGTAGTCCAGATGGGTAGTCAACAGAGCATGGACAACTGAGTCCAAGCCATCCGAGTCCAGGAATGGCCGTAACTAGCAAACCAACCCAAGCTGGTCAGGTTGGCCTGGGCAGTTTTGGTGCGAAAAGCAGACCTGAAACCAGTTTGAGTCTAGATAATCTGCTTCTTCCAGGCATACCTGATGCCAGATGGCCACCTTGCCCAGGAAGGGAATATTAGAAACTGGTAGTTTCCTCAAAAAACTGTATCTCAGGAAGATCTTTTCAGGCGGGGAATGGGCATTCTTCCCATTCATTTAACCATCTCATACTATATTTTGCTAGTCAAATGAGTTGGGATCAAGAGGACTATAGTCAGCCTCACTGCTGCAAGTGTTCCCTACACTTCTTCAGGCTATACAACAATGGAAACAGACCCCACGGGCTGTAACAATATGATGGTCTAGAACCTCCAATGGAACTGCACTAATTGTGGCATCAAGTTCGGCACAGATCCGAGCAATTTTGATCTCAAAGTGCTTCACATACCTCTCACAGCTGGCTGAGTGGTTGGTTGTTAATTATGAGATACTGATCTGAGCCAGCCAACTTACTGTTTTACAAAGCAAGAGCACACTTAAGAAGGACCTTGCAGCATGTTATTAAGGTCCACCTAGTCCAGGCTTCCTCAAACTCGGCCCTCCAGATGTTTTGAGACTACAATTCCCATCACCCCTACCACTGGTCTTGCTAGCTGGGGATCATCTGGAGGGCCGAGTTTGAGGAAGCCTGACCTAGTCCATCAAGAATCCCAGGAACTAAGCAGTGTTATCAGATATTGGCTAGCAGTCCACTGACAAGACCATGTACTACCTTGTTCCCATCTCTGGACTAAGCCATACTGGAAGTGGCTTGCACTCTTGGACAGCAGTTCTAAGCATACACACTGGCAAGTACAGTAAAAGCCACTTAAATCAATGGTACTGCTTTGTAAACATGGCTATGATTGGTCTGTTTGTAAAGTAGTTTGCGTCACATAAACAGTGCATTTTTCCTCCTTGAGGAACTGTTTAAGATTTTAGTGCAAACTATTCTACTTGCTGCACAGATCACAGAAGTGGCAAGGTTTTTTCCCCCTCCCTCAGAGGTGATTAGGCTCACTAGTAATTTTGCTGCGAGAGAGATAGACAGGGCAAAGGTAAAAGGAAGCAGAAGCACGACATAATAGGCAAGAATGACTAGCAACTTGTAACTATTGCTTCCTGACAACCTGGACTTTGGTAAGTAGCATGCCACCCCTTATTGCCATTGCTGTCTTAGAGGCGTTGGGTGTTATGATTTAAAATATTAAGTCTTTTCTGTTTTGTAAGCTGCTTTAAGTTCTTTTTTTTTTAAAAGGCAAGGTATGTTGTACATTTCTGACCTGGCTCTTTCCATTTATTTTACTAAACAAAAAACCTCTACTACCTGTTGTGAAGGCAGCGATTACCAAGCAGTATGTGTTGCTATCCAAAAGACAGGCAGGATTTAGGGTAGGGTAGGGTAGTGTAAAATGGCCAGATTAAAAGGACAAAGGGACAATTATATGACGGACATGAAGTTAATTCATATTAAGAGTCTTACGTTCAAACTTGGGAAAACTGGGTGTCTGAAATGTGTAAGGGAAGCTGGTATGTCTCAGACACCATCTCTTGCAGTGGTGATCAGAATCAAGGGCATGGCATGTGTTCCCTCTGTCAAGAGAAAGGAAAGCATGAAGCAGATTTATTTAGGTTCTTTTTTTCTGGCCTATGTAAAGGTTTACAGCTTTTCCTGAGACGTGAGGGGTTAATGACTTAGTTATGATGCTCTCAAGCCATCCTTTCCCCCTGCCTTCTGATGCTGAACTTTAAAGGGCAGTCTGAATAGCTACTGATCATCCCCCCTCTTTTCTTTTTCTCCCAAGGCTTTAATATAAAAAACCCTTTCTCTGTGTATTTACGTAGCTTGCATAAAGAATGGGGCTATCAGTTTGCAAAGTTTTCTAAATTCAAAATCAAGAATTTCATTGTCTTTTTTTAGAAATTCTTGACATAGGTTAGCAGCTTCCATGTATGCTACCCATTTTCAGTACTTCCTCAGCTAATCCTTAATTGGGAACAAAACCAGTTACCTGCTGCAAGGAGTGCAGACCCCCTCCAGTTGCCCAGAGAGGCACCTGAAATACCTGCCGTGCACCGACACTGACTGATAACAGGAAAGCTTAGCCTTCTTAACTCCTTAAAACCGAGATGAAATATGCTGTAAAGCAAAACATAACCCCTCTGTCTTAAAACTGGGAGTTGTTCAAGAGCTTGACGCCTGGTATTAAAAGCCTTGGTATTGGTGGATTCTTTTAATTGTCAGGTTTAAGTAGATGTTTCCATCCCCTCTAATTTTCACCATTCTAAAAGTCTCATTAGAAGTATAAATTATAGAATAAAGTACTGCCACCCATCCTGAACCCTCAGGATGGGGTGGGCTAAGCACAGAAATAATTAATAAAGGGCAACAGCAGCATAAGGTATCTCGGCAAGGGAGACAGTGACTAGCACAGCCTGACAGTACATGCTTTCCAGATTAAATTGGTTAAAGAAGGCAGGGAGAGGAACACAAAGAGAATTCTGAATGATTCCATTTACAACTGACTGGCGATAAATTGTGATACGTAGCGGCACACATAGCCTGCACCTCTGCCAATCTGAGGAAGGAGAGCTCAGATATCTTCACAGGCAGCTTTACGCTGCAGCCCAGCCACACTATGACAAGGGCGGCACTAACAAATGTGACTTTGCAATGCAAAAGGACCACTATTGGAAGCTTTGGTGAGTTGTTTTGACCAAAAAACCACACCAAAATCTGATTACAAGTGACTTTAAGCCATGTAAAAGGGGGGGGGGGAGATGTTAAGAACATTAAGGATAGCATTGTGGCGGGTTGGACTAGATGACCCTTGGGGGTCCCTTCCAGCTCTATGAAGTGACACCGAAAGAGGAATTGTACCCATCCCCAGATTTGGGGGTGAGGTCCTACATTCCTTCAGTCTCTGCACTTTAAAGCCTCTCTGCTACCCTTCTCCTTTCAACTTACTTTAGAAACAGGAGTTGTCTCCTTCAGAGAAATTCTTTACATGCAAAGTGGAGATCTCTCCTCTCTCTCTTAAATAGCAACTTAGAAACTGGAAGGTATGACGACATGGCTGCGATGTGAGCAGCCAGCTGCTCTCAGGACAGCATGAAATAAGAAAAAAAATAACGTCTGCGAGGATCAATTATACTAGAGAATTTCCTAAATGGAAAGGCGGCGGCTTGACGCGGTGGGGGAAAAAAAGATTCCTTGCCGGCCTCGCAGAGAGAGAGAGTTAAGGAAGCGATTTGAAAAATAAAGGCGGGAGAGGAAGAGGGCGCTGATTTTGACACTGAAGAGGACTCTTTAAAAATATTTTTAACAATAGGGAGGGAGCGCATTTCAACTGGGGCGGGGAAGCCTATGCGTGTGTCTGCAAAACGGGGAGCCCCATGACAAGGATTGGGGGGTGTCGAGAGGGTCCCCCCTTGGGTTGCCGTGTGAGAGATCTCAAACTCTGTTAGAAACCAAGGCTGAGGGAAGGAAAGAGGCGGCAGCCGGCATGGGCAGGAAGCGAGCGCGGGCCCTTCTTCCCCCAAGGCCGAGGCGAGCGGGCGAGACCTCCCGTCTCCTCAGCTAAGAGGCGAGGCCGGCGGGCTTCCCCGGCGGGACGAGGCCCTTCTCACCCACAGGCAGGCGGGCCGCCGCCGGGTCGAGCCCGGCCCTCTTCCTCTCCCCTCCCCGCCGCCCCTTCCCGCGGGTGTATCGGTTACAGCAGCTGGCACAGGTGCGGCGGGGTTGCCCTTCAGACCCGCTCCGCCGAGGGAAACCTCAGGGGCGCGCAGGCAGGGAGGGAGAAGAGCGGGAGCCGCCGCCGCCGCCGCCGCGGAACATGCAGCCATTTTGGGCTTCGCCAGACAAAGAACTGCGACGGCGGCTGCTCGCCTCTGAGGCGGCGGCGGCGGCTGTCAACAGTGCCGCCTCCGCCACGCTCGCAAACCCCTCTTCGCCAACCGCGCGCGCACCCGCCGCTCCTCCCTTCCCCCTCCCTCTCCTCCTCCTCCTTCCCCCCCTTCGCTAGGCCGCAGCCGGGCCCGCCGCCGCCCGTCCCCTCACTAAGCACTCGCAGCCATTTGCCCGAGCTTTTATAGCGACCGGCCGTCCAATCGGGAGCCGGCGGAATCCCTCTCCGGCCGCTGATGTGATGCCTCGGCTGCCGGCCCGCCCCTCCCCTCTTTCCCCCCCTCCCTCGCGCGCATGCCCAGTGCGGGAAGGCCGGGGCGGGAGGGGAGCTGGGTGTATGTGTAAAATGAGTGAGTGAGGGAGAGAGGGGAGGGGTGGCGAGCGCGAGGAGGGCGGGGGGAGGGAGGAGTGAGAGAGGAGGAGGAGGAGGAGGAGGGGGGCCGGCAGGCGGTCGGTCGGGCGGGAGCCTCTCACAGGAACCCTCCAAAAAAAAGATGGCGGCGGGCTCGGATCTGCTGGATGAGGTTTTCCTGAACCCTGATGTGGACGAGAAGGTGGTGAGCGACCTGGTGGGCTCCCTGGAGTCTCAGCTGGCGGCCTCGAGCCACCACCACCAGCACCACAGGGCGCAGGAGCCCCTCAGGGCCGCTGGGGGGCTGCTGGGGAACCATGTTGTGAGCAGCAGCAGCAGTAGCAGCAGCCCGAGCCCGAGCCCTGGAGGAGTAGGAGGAGGTGGCGGCGGCGGAGGAGGAGGCGGAGGAGGAGGCGGAGGAGGCGGCAGCAGCAGTGCTCATGTCCACACCGAGAGCCCCGGCAGCGGCACCGGCACCACCACCGGCGGCGGCGGAGGCAGCGGCAGCAGCAGCGCCGCCGCCGCCACCAGCGCCGCCAAGATGGGACTCAGTGGCCCCGAGATCACCAAGCCAGGTAACCTGGCGAGGCGACGGGGGGTGGGGGTGGGAAGGGGCTGCCCCCTTTCCTCAGGGGGCAGAGGGGGCTCCCCTTCTCCCCTCCCCCCTGCTGCCCCCTTCCTTCCCCCCTCCTGCCTCTTCCCCCCGAAACCGGGACTGCTGGCTCCCCTCCTTGCTCTTTTCTCTTTCCTTTTCCTCTTTCCCATTCTCTCTCTTCCCCCCCCCCCCCAGTTGTTGTTATGATAGGAATTGGAGTGTGCAAGGGGGTGGCTGGGTGGAGAGGGTCGGGGGCGAGGGAGGCCTTCCTAGAATGCCAACCTCTCACCCTCCAACCCCCCCCTCGCTCCCCTCCCCGCAACATACTATTTTTGGCTGGGACTGGCCTCTCCTCCCCCCCTTCCTACTACATCTAGAGTGGAAATGGATTATTGAGGGGTTTTGTTGTGGTTGTATATGTGTGTATGTATGGCAGTTCTCCTCTTTAACACCGTCTCCACCCCCCTCCTTTTTAATTATGTCATCCCTCCCCCCCCCCCACTTCAATCTCCTGGTAGCTGGGGTATTTGGGGTGCTCCTGATTGATCGGGAGGGGAGACCCTTGGCATTTGACTTCTGCGCCTCCTCCCCTCCCCCCTACCCACTGCCTTGTCAAAGAAATAAGAAATTGTGTTGTTTACAGGGGAGATTCTCCCGTCCTCTCTCTCCCTCTCCCTCTGTATATATATATATATATAATGCTCTTCTGGAGCTGTCTGAATTCTTCCTTGCCCTCCCCACTCTCTGTAGCTGAAGTGCAAGGATTTTTGTGTGGAGGGGGGGGCATTGTTATTAATCATGACACCAGCTTCCCTTGAGAAGAGGAAGTGATGGGGGGACGTCGGGGTCAGGAACCCTTTTTAAATATACCTCTTTGCAAAGGCCGGTCTGTTTGGCTGCTTCTCCTTCCGTTGTCGTCGGGGTTATACCTCAACCTTTTGAGTATCTTCTTTCTCCTTAAACAATATGCCAGGCTGTGTGGTTTGCTTCGAATCTGAGGACAAGCCCCTCTTGCCCGTGAGGTTGGGAGAGATGACAGCCCATCTGTGAATGTTTTCCCCTTTATAGCAAGACAGTGGACTGTGAGGGGTATCATAACACTTGGTCCTGTCTTTCATTGCATGGCTAGAGGAGCATTGTAAGGGAAAGAAAACAGTGCTTCTCTCCCCTTCCACCACCATGATTTACACTCCCCTCCCCCTCTATATATTTTTCCCTCGCTTTTGTGTGACTGAAATATTACAGGGATGCTGTTGCACGTAGGACTCCAGGTTAGTAAAGGGGGATCTTGGAGGAAGAACCCTCCGGTAGCCCTGATTTGTGTGACATTATCTATCTGATTACAGTCCTCCTACTTGTGTCTTCTAAATACGGGGCCTGTAAAGTCAGGGATGGTGTAACACATAATGCCAGACTTTGCTAGGGTCAGTGGGTTTTCTGGGTGCAAAAGAAGCATCTTTGCTAGTATTTGTTTTCCTTTGTAGGAGCAGCAATCAAAGCAGCAGGGTTTAATGTGTGTATGTTTAAGAGGGAGGGTGAAGTCCTCTAACACTGCCTTGCAACCTCTTGCCTTCTATCATCTCTCTGACAGCTGCTGTTCAGTCCCACTTTTCCACGTTGTTCCATTCAACAGGAAACATTTAGCCACTAGGTTTTCCTATAGCAGATGAGGGGATTGTATGGAGGGGGTTGAAGCCTCTGGGCTGCCCCCTATTTACTTTTCTCTTTTTTTCTCCCTGCAACTGCTAGAGCAGGCTTGCAGTAGAGTATTATCAACCACAGTGCTATAGTGTCCAAAGAAGGAAAAAGAAACACATAATCAATCCCCTTAGGAGCTGATTTCTTATTGTGTGTGTCATATATATATATGGCTTTGGTTAATTATTAAGTTTACCGTTTGTGGGGGGATGGGAACAGTGAGATGATTTTTTTATTTTCCACTCTGGAAATATTTTCACCTTTTTCATGTCCTTCAATATAGAGAGTTTAAGACAAAGGAGAAGAGTCCCACTGTTTTAGCAGAGTTTGGCAGATGTTTTCTTCTTGGCTTCTCTAGTCAAAAGACTTCTTGGCTTCTCTCTTATTTTTGTATGTTCTTGTCATTTAATCGCCTTTGTTTTATTTGCAGGAGCTGGTGGAGTGCAAGGGAGTGTTATCAATCATAACGCCAGGTCCCAGGGTTCTACTTTGGACGGGGCCACCACAACCAGCACCAGCACCACTGCACCTGTCCAAGGCGGATCTGAAGCTGCTGTCACCCCAGGGACCCTTAGCCAGGGTAAATCAGTGGTAATCAGCACCATGGCAACAGCTTTATCTACCAGGAATGGTAAAATTGGGACCACGACAGTGCAGACCTTGAATGGGAGTAACGTAGTGATGAATTCTCACGCTGCTTTCTCGGCCACGCCTGTAACGGCAAACCCTACCGTAATCCCTGCTGTCACCCCTCTTGTTAACAATGGACCTGGAAATGTGGGGAAAGTCAGTACCGTTAACGCCGTCTTGCCATCCGCTTCAAATACCGTCATCCAGACTTCTTTCCTTGGCACTGGGGTGTCCTCCGCCTCTTCGCCCTCCCCAACGGTGATCTCCTCACAGCAGCCCCCAAGTATTGGAGCTGGGGGACCAACTGTAGCATTGGTGAGGCCACCCATTCACACGGCAGGACCCTCCGTGGCTGCAGCCACCCAGAACGGGAGCAATACTGTGATCAATTCGACCATCAACGTGGGGAGTTTTCCTCCTGCGGCTGTCGCTGCAGCCACCGTGGGGTCTGGTGTTTCCCTCCAGACCACCCTCGTGAACAGCCAGCCAGGTTCTGGGGTACCGGCTGCACCCACCGCGCAGGTCATCAAATCGGAGTCTCCTAAAACTATTGTGCAGACGGTAACTCAACAGCAGACTCTGGCTGCTGGTGGCCAGCCCAGTACTACAGGGGGTAATATGATAATCGGGCAAACTATGCAAGCTGGCCTGCCCAACGTGGCCCCTAATCCTGGTGGGGTTCCTCCTGCGCCTCCAGGCACCCCCACAGGCCTGGCTAAGGGTGCAGCCAACACAGTGGCGCAGAGCCTACCAAGGACTCCGACGGCAACTACAAGTGGAATCAGAGCAACTTTGACTCCCACTGTTTTAGCACCTCGTCTGCCTCAGCCTCCTCAGAATCCAACAAATATTCAGAACTTTCAGTTGCCACCAGGTAAGGAAAGGCTTGAAGGAGTCCCCCCTCTTTCTTTTTCTGCGCTATTGGTGCCTATCGCTTAAAACGAAGCAAATGTTCCGGATTTTACTGTAAATGCAGGGTCGGACAGATTGTACTGTGAAGGTCTCTTTGGACATGGAGTTACATGTGCTCTGTTCTGCATATTCCAATTCGTTGTAATTGGCATTATGCAGGTAGCTGTTCAGGAACCAGTTGATGGACATTTTGCAGCATCTGTAAATTTGGAATTGTTCTGGGTAGATTGCGCTGCTCTGATTGCATCTAGTCTGTTAGCAGCTTTTCCTTCAGGTTTTCCTCTGCCACCATGAGGGCTAGAAACACAACTTTGCTAAAAGAAGCAAAATCTGAGATTCTTTGGATTCCAGCAGAAGGTTTATGAGTTGCACAGCTTTAAATCATATTGATGTTTTCCCCAGAGTAGTACATTACATCCACATGGAGTTTGGTGATTCAGAGGACCAGAGCATGCTGGTATTGAACTCTAGGAGAGAATGCACTGCTAGGTAAATTTTTACTTGAGCATTAAGTGAGCAAAGCAGTAAACCTGCAGTACAGCAATGTGCTTTACTACTGTGCTAAGCAAAGGAGATATGTCCTAGCATATTCCTACTTCTCCTCCTCTGTTTCAGCCTGCCACTGTTGTCACAGAAGCAGCAAAAAGCAAGTACAATTTGGGAGCAGATCTGCTTTCTTTTTTCTCTTGATTAAAATGACGCAAAAATGCTGTGCTTATGGCCCTTGATGGTTTTTAAAACTGGCATGTCTGGAATAGCATTCCAGCCTCATTCTGTCCTCACATCACCCTGTTGTGGGTAGTGCTGAAGCACATGTAGTAGCTAAGATCATGTTTTGGTACTAAGAGGCAACGTGGGAAGGAGCTTCTCTGGTCCAAGACCTAATACAAGGCTGGATTAATTTCATTCTGCTTTTCCTTCCTTATGATCCCAAAGTAGTATATCCTAAGGCTTCAATAGCTTCAGTTTGTGACTTTAATTGAGATGTTTTAAATAATTAGTAAAAATGGTGTGTCTAGCTTTCTCTTCTTACTGAGTATTACATGGGCAACATTCTCTTCCAGATGTTGCCAGCCTTTCACAGTGATGCACCTTTTCCCTGACATTCTTTTGTGGTGTAGAAATATGACAGCAGTAATCTGAACTGGCTGTTTCAGACCTTTACACCTGTCAATTCCACCTGAATTCCACATGCCTATGAGAATTAAAGGTAAAGGTACCCCTGCCCGTACGGGCCAGTCGTGTCCGACTCTGGGGTTGCGTGCTCATCTCGCTCTAGAGGCCGTGAGCCGGCGCCGTCCGAAGACACTTCCGGGTCACGTGGGCCTATGAGAATATGCAGCTCTAATTGACACTTATAGTTGAATATTAGTATTCCCCCCAAAATAGTATTTCTTATTGCAAGGTGGTATTGCTACTGCACAAAGCACATCTAATTATTAATTTTTCCTATTGCTACCTAATGAAACCAGTGCGGTGCATGTGTTCTGTGTGCTTCATTTCAGTGGATCTCTGAATAGCAAAGCCAATATGTTGGTTGAAACATACTTGGCGAACTGCTTAGATTGATATGTTTATCACATAAGAGAGACCAGCGGCCCTATTATATTGCTGTACTGTACTTTTCTTCTACAGTAGCATTTTGTATGCAGCAGCTGATGCTCTTGCTCAGTTCACTGAAGGCTGCCTGTTAGATCCTCTATAGAGGCTGGCTAGATATTCAGAAAACTTAGGGTATTTGCATTGGACAGAAAGATACTGCATAGTAAGCTTAATTATGTCCACGGTTCAAGGCAGTCTTGAACTGTGCAAGAAAGCTTTCCACACCATGTAATTGCTGTTCTTCATTGCATTCTTAATTTGAAAGGGGGTGGGGGAGTATTCACCCTGCCTCTCCAAAAGTTCTGTCTTCATTTTCTTTCACATTATAAATGGCTTGTATAGAACAAGTGTGCTTAGCTGCTAAAAGAAGCAAAGTTCCATTCTGATAACAGAATTGCCGGGGTACAGTATAGAAGGTAGGGAACATAGGAAGCTGCCTTGTACAGAGTCAGACCATTGGTCAATCTAGCTGAGTGTGGTCTACACTGACTGGCAGCAGCTCCAGGATTTCAGACAGGTGACACTTGCAGCCCTACCTAGAGATTCAGGGGATCAATCCTGGGCTATTCTGTATGTGAAGCAGACACTGTACCATGGTGCTATGGCCTGTCCCTGTTCCAGTCTTCCCAGTCAATGTGTTCCAGACCAAATGTATCCCTATATTTCTGGCCCCACACAAAACCAGATAAACCTGGGCCTTTGTATTGAGGATGAACAATGCATCATGAATGTATTGATTTTACTGCCACAAGATGTGGAGACAGCCACTAGGTTTCATAAGGCATAGATATACACAGGTTTTAGCCACATGGTTCTGACTCTATATTCATTTTCATTTGTTTTATCTAGCCACTTTGATTAGTGCCTTTCAGAGGGGAAAAGCGAGATTTTTTTGGTACTATATAAATTTAAAAAATGGGGACAAGAAGCAGGGTGTGATTGCTATCTTCATGCCCAGCTCTGGGGGTGGAATCTAACTGACCACTGTTGGAAACAGATTGCTAGACTAAGTGGGCCTTGGTGTGATCCAGTTGTTGTGCTGCTATTATGTTCTCATCATGCCAAAGGCACAAACCCATTTTTCCTAAAAAGAGGGTGGCTCATTGAACATCATTTCATTTGACGTCATTTTCCTAGTTAGTAGGAGTTGCAAACATATTGCAACAAATGCCCTCAAAACACAACAGCTTTTTCTTAACTGAAATCTTCAAGGGCAGGCCTTTGAATCTTTGCTGAGGACTTTGCTGCCACTCTTTTTAGTTGCCTATTGAAATGTGAAAAGCTGCCCCTGTGGGGCTACTAGTGTTGCAGAAAGAAAATCTTATCTAAAAACAACTGTTGTGTACCTTTTCCATACATCCGTTTTGCGATTTTAAAAAGGCTGTCCATTTGCAAAAAATACACGTGCTCCAAATCATGACAAGCGTGGCTTGCTCTCTAGAAGATTTGGACTTGTGGTTACAGCAAAATCCAAAAGTGCCACGCCACGCCTGTCTTGTGGGAGGAAAATTATGACTTCAGTTCTATGCACCCTTACTTGGAAGTAATCTCTATTGTACTCAATGGGTTTACTGCTGTATAAACACCCACAGGACCAGGCTGCAAATCACTGAGATGCAGTTCTTATACTGTACTCATGATTTTTATAGTGTAAAAAAATACTTTGTACGCATACCGTACAAAGAGGCAGTCAGTTTCATTGCTTAAATTATTTACAATATTTAATCATCACTTTTTAATGAAAATGCCCAAAGTGACATATAACCAAAGATTAGAATACAACAGTATGCAAGCACTTAAAAAGATAGAACCATTAAAAAGTTGCAATAAAACACAATTGCTGCTAAAAGTCAGATGGAATTAAGACACCAAAATGTTTTTCAGCAACTGCCAGGAAGCATATTAACCCCCCAACCCTACTCTGCTAAGCAAGAAAGCCCTAAAGTTTGGGGGTTTGCCCATAGCTCAGTGTCAGAGAGCATATGCTTTTCATGCCCAAGGTCCCAGGTTAAATTCTTTGCACTAACAGTTAAAAGATCTCAGGTGGAAGGGCTTTGAGTTTAGAAACTAATGTCAGAAATGGGTAATGGTGTTTTTTTCTTCTTTGGTGCTTGTGCATATGCAATCATGAAGGGGAATACTGTTGTCCTTTAGGACCATAAGGGCTGATGTACTGAGAGGGGGGGTATGTAATGCAAGTTGCAGTATCAAGAGCCTATGGCAAGTTTGCTCCCAGGTAGAGGAATCTTCAGTATTTTATATATTTATTTGTTGCATTATTTGTTGCATTTAAATCCCACCTTTTCCTCCAAGGAGCTCAAGGTGGTGTACTCTGTCCTTATTTAATCGCCACAACAGCCCTGTGAGGTAGGTAAAACTGAGAGGCAATGACTGGCCCAAGGCCAATTAGCAAGCAGTGTTAGAAACTCCAAAATAGCCCTTAAACTAAGGTTACGGTTGCCTAAGACGGCTCTAAAGTCTTATTTTTCAAATGATGGACTGACTGTGATTGGTTATCTGTTAATCATCTAGCTAGTTCAGATGACAACCTTGAGCTAGGTAAAGGGCTTTGAGAACTTAAAAAAAAAAGGTCACTTGATCCAGGGACAGTCCACATATATATTGGCCTTTTCCTGCCTCTTTTTTCTTAATAGTGATAGCTGCTGCTCGGGCTGCACAGAAAAAGCGTTTTGGTTCCTGAAATTCATTCCAGTTACACAGATGAAACATAACAGAGAGAATTCTGCAGGATGTGGTATTTGTGTGTGAAAATACACCCGATCCAATGATCCCAAGACATGCACCTCCAGATGGTGGAGATGTCAGGCATCATCCTGGCTCGTGGGCATCTTCACTTGGTCGCAAGTGGTTGATATCCAGGTGCAGAACATGCCTGGCTAATTTCGAACACTGCAAGTGAGGATTTGAACCCAGGTCTCACATGTCCTAGTCTGATGCTCTGCTACCATTATAACATACTGTCCCTGGTACATCCTCTGACATGGCCGTTTAGTGTGCTGAAAACAGGATTCCTCAGCCAGGTGCTCTTTTGATGTTTTGGACTACAATTCCCATCAGCCCCAGCCAGCATGGTGAGCAGAGTTGTGGTCCAAGTCCTTGGGAGGGGTACCAGGTTGAGGATGGCTAGCCTGAAATCATAAATGGCATAATTACCATATTACCAAGCAGAGAGGCCCCCTTTAATGAAAACATGAATTATTACTAAGTTCCATATTGTGAAGCACCTGCTCCCAAGGAAGGCACTGAAAATCTAGCTGGAGTGGGATTCAGAAAAGGGGAAAATGTAGCTGTTTTGCCTACCTGCCTACTACAATGTGCTCGCTAAGTGTAGCAGTGCTCCTTGATGTGGGAGATAATGGGCCCAGAGCTACTTGGAGCTGAGTAGAGTGCATTGCAGGGTAGGTGGCACACTTCTTTTCCCCAAATGGACCAGGTACTTAAACACCCTGAAGAAATTATGTGCTGGGAAAACAATAATGCTGAGAACTTTTTTCACTAGTTGTCCAGAAAAGCTGCATTCTTAGGGTTCATCCCCCCCCCCCCACACACCAAAGGGCACGTCAAGCTAAGGAATACTAGCTACTAAGCATCAATAAATCTAAAATGCAAATTGGAAGTTATTTCTGGAGGCTAGAAATTTTAAACTCCTGGAATACTATCCCCAGAGCAGATCCAGGTAGACAGAGATAAATCATACATATATAGAATAGTTTTTTTTTTTTCAAATGGCACCTCCCCTTTTGCTTGGAAAGATTTCCCCGCTCCCAAAAAAACACCTTTGAGTATTTTTATCTTTACTACATCTTGAACTATTGGATAGAATAGGCTTGTAGCTGAGATAGTGTTTTCTTGGCGAGGTTGGGAGGTTTCATTTTGCTTTATATGGTACCTAACTGGTCATGAGATCAGAACTGTCAGTTAGTGTGTGGTTTGTTTGAAGTCTTGCCTGGACCAGAGGATTTAGCTGATTGGCTCATGCTATTTGCATTTTGATTTATCAGAGCCTGGTGTGAAGTCTTGGTTCCTGTACATTGTGTGGTACACAATGTGGGTTCTGGGTTAATATTTGGAGTGGGCGGGATGGCTCTGTTTTGCAGATGAATTTTTATCTAATTCTGAATCTTGTAGGGGGTTGGACTTTCATTCTTTACTGAGTTTTTGTGAAGTGCAAAACCACAAGATACTTGGGGTGGCACATAATACTATAAATCTCCGGAGCTTCTGCATAATGCCTCACTTATGCAAGATATAGCCATAAATCTGCACAAAGCAGTGTTAAGGTTTTCTTTCTGAAAAAGCTGTCACTCACTTCTAGGGCTGTCTTTTGAGTGTCCTCTAGTCTCTTCTGAGAGTACAATAAATTTAGGGACTTAAGTTCATTATTAACATAACAACTAACATTACGCATATTCCACTGAAGAAAGCATTTTTTGAAGTAGCAAGAAATTCTGAAAGATTGGACCCTGAAATATTTTAACATGGGTCAGTGAAGTTAGTAGAATGTTTATTTGCTCATTTTTTATTGGGAGCACTCATCTCTTACAGTAGTTGCTCCATGCAATTATATTTTCATATAAAAGTAGGTCCTAATAATATCCCATCTTTCTGTCCCCATTTGTCGCCATACCCTTGCCTCCTCCAATACTTATCAGACCTAGGCCTCATTTAAAAGTGATGTCCAAAGTAATAATGCAACCAGGGCACCAGCTGCTACGTGTGCAGATTTGGCCTACAGGTGTTATTCCTGTCTGGATTGTGGATTCCTCTTGTGCTAGCACAGTGCATGTGTAGGTAAGGATGTGAAGATCAAACGCCACATTTCTTCCACGAAGCCTTTGACTTAACCCTCTTGACCCATATTTAACCCCCAGTTGAAAAAATACCTACCGGTATGTACATGGAATTGAATTTGTAGGTATTAATTTCTGTTTATTTTCTCTCTGTTCTTCCCTTCCCTCTGTAGCCTTCATCACTGTCAACACTGTAAGCTATATAGTTTCAAATTTGCCTTTTCCTCCTATTTATTCTGTAAAACATTGTTTGTGACTCTGTATATTATTATTAGCAGTCATTCTCTTCCCCGCCTCCCATAACGAATTAACAATCTTTAGCTCTTTTCTCCAAAAGAATTGGGGTTAGTTTTTAATATCAAATGCAGGTGTACGGATAGATTAAGTGCCTGGTCTCTTGGGCTGCAAGAGGTTTCATGCTATGGTCTAGCAGTTGTTAATATTTTAATCAACTCAGTGAAGCGTTGGCTCCTAAAAATTTCAGAGTGGCTGCTAGGTATTGAATATATGTTTTCAGCCCCGAACAAAGAATGATTGTGAATATAATGTCTTTGGGGAGTTAGAGAAGAAAAGATTGTTAAAAGATTTGTCAGGTTATGCCAAGTAGAAACCCATTGTCTCATTTAGATGGCTTAAGTTGCATGGTGGAGTTCTGATGCACAAAAGGTATCGTGTTAAACAATGGTCCCAAACTGGAACATGCAAGACAAAGTTCAGACTTTTTGTGAGAGAGGATTCTATGTAAACTGGACACTTTCTATGGCTTCCCCAGCAGCACCTCTCTGTCTGTCTGTCTGTCTGTCTGTCTGTCTCTCTCCACCTAGCCAGGTCTTCCAACTGTCCTTGCCTCAGCTGAATCACCAAACTGCTTCTACAGATTCTTCGATGTAAAGAGCAATTTGTGTGTGCTTGGTATGGCGAGGGAAACTATGAATATGGGCAAGGAAGTTATATTTTGTTTCTAGCAAACTGTAAGCAGCATCTCACTTGGTGAACCTTTTAGTGATTTCTCTTACGCTCATTGCTCCCAACTCCCCAAGTCTTGCCACTTCCCTGAGAAATTAGATGATTGCTCCAGTACTGTATGCTATTTCTTGGACGCTGTACTTAACATGTGCTTATGGTTGACACTGCCCTGGTTGCTGTTCATGCTATTCCTGGGTCACACGGAGGCTTCTGACCACATGGTTCTTTCTAATGGCGTGTTAAGCAATACACAGGTGAGAATCTTTGTTCACACTGGACTCTGCATGGGCGCAACCATTAAAGAGATGCTGATCATGGTGGTACCGTGCAGGAATGCATAAAGTGAGTCTAAGGTGCCCCTGCTGCATTTGTCTCTTGATAGTAGGAAGTCTACGACAGACTAGTGGATGAATTAAATGAGAACTTGCTGGTTGACAGCTGCCTGCCTCTAGCTTAAAGAGGGATCTGCAAGAAACACTTTGAGGTCAAATTAATATACCCCAAGTAGGAAATGCTATGCAAATAATTTGCATAAAAGTCCTTGTAGTTGGTTCTCTGGTAAGGTAAAGCTAAAGGGACCCCTGACCGTTAGGTCCAGTTGCGGACGACTGGGGTTGTGACACTCATCTCGCTTTACTGGCCAAGGAAGCCAGCGTACAGCTTCCGGGTCATGTGGCCAGCATGACTAAGCTGCTTCTGGCGAACCAGAGCAGCGCACAGAAATGCCGTTTACCTTCCCGCCAGAGTGGTACCTATTTATCTACTTGCACTTTGATGTGCTTTCAAACTGCTAGGTTGGCAGGAGCAGGGACCGAGCAATGGGAGCTCACCCCATTGCGGGGATTCGAACCGCTGACCTTCTGATCGGCAAGCCCTAGGCTCTGTGGTTTAACCCACAGTTCCACCCGCATCCCTTTGGTTCTCTGGTAGATTTTACTTAAACCTCATGGTAGTAGTAGGCCTGGTTTGTAAAAGGTGTGGATCAAACAAGAGTGTGTGGGGGATAGCAATTTTCTTGACTCTATATTGAAGGGTTTAATTTTACACCATAGCTCATTGATTTCTAAAATGATGAGGCATGGTAATGTTTAAAGTGTAGCATGTTGGGTTTTGAAATTATTCCTATGATGCATGTTATTAGATCAATTGTCTTGGACGGAATGAGTGATGAGTTGTCAAGTTGCATAGAACTCTGCTTTTCTGATGCGCAGGAATATGTTGCTGTTCAGCTTCAGAAAAAGTGTGTCTCAGACAAGCAGTATAAAAGGTATTAGAACTCCTTTGAGCCCTATTTACTTTTCTGTGGGTACCATTCAGCAGTCATACTTATAATTGCCGTGTTTGGTTTGGTTAGCAAGCTGATACTTCAATCCCACATTTTCCTCAAGAGAGTTCAAAGTGGCATAGGTGATCTTCCCCTTTAATCTTGACAACAGCCCTGTGAGGTAGTTCAGGTTGAGAAAGTGACTGACCCTATGCCACTCAGAGTTTGGTGGTTGGGTAGGGGTTTGGGACTCGGTACCTTCCCAGTCCGAGCCTGATACTCTAACCACTGTGTGACACTGGCTCTCATCTGTGAGAAAGCAGCTTTCTGAGTTTTGCCACCTTCTATGCACACACTTGGCTTCACCATTTGGAGTTTGTATCCTCCACTTAAAAAAAGCAAAGCAAAGCAAATTGAGGTATTAAATTGTTGTTTCTAGAGGCCTGGAGTTTGCTTAGCAAAATAATCTTTTTTAGTACTAGATTCACACTCTGAAAGACATGCAGATACACAAATTTACAAGCCAATCATTACCTCAACAATATGGGGACTAGCATCCTTGTTGTGAGTTTCCCACCTGCTGGCTGTATCCTGAGGCAAAACTCAGTTGTAAGTTTGAGACCATTAGACAAGGAGTTTTCCTAGTTCTGATCCACACTAGGAGTGATCATCAATAGGGGCAGGGAAAAATCAAAAGGTGCGAAATCTGCTTCATGAAGATTCATCTTGTATCAAGTTTCCCCCCCATTTCTAGGTTCTAAGTAACCGTTAGCTCTTCTGGAACTTATACAGTGGTGCCCCGCAAGACGAATGCCTCGCAAGACGAAAAACTCGCTAGACGAAAGAGTTTTCCGTTTTTTGAGTCGTTCCGCAAGACGAATTTCCCTATGGGCTTGCTTCGCAAGACGAAATGTCTTGCGAGTTCTTGCGAGTTTGTTTCCTTTTTCTTAAAGCCGCTAAGCCGTTAATAGCCGCTAAGCCGCTAAGCCGCTAATAGCCGTGCTTCGCAAGACGAAGAGACTCGCGGGACGGATTAATTTCGTCTTGCGAGGCACCACTGTATACCAGAGGCGAACAACTTTTTCAGCATTCAGGCTTCTCAGAATTGTGCCTTAAGATGATTGCAATTTGAGTATTTGCCAAACATTAGACTTTGCAAATCATTTTTATGATTGGATGTGTCAAGTTTTAGACATATTGCCCATATCATAAGCTATATTTGTTTAAGTGGGGCATAAATGGGAGGGCAGGAGAGAACCCTACCTGAATAAAAAAAATAATGATAGTGAGGTGTGGAAGGATTCAGAATGGCTTTGATGTGGCAGCTGTTATGCGAATTGCCTTTAAAACATTGTTGTGGTAGAAATTACAAGGTGTGAGAAGGGCAGCTTGTTTGTCTTGCCTGTCTGATACTTGGTACCTAACTCATGATACTAAATAGTGCAGGGACACTCTTTGGTTAAAGTGGAAGCTGGGCATACCTCTTGCAGGCAAGAGATTCTGCAATTCTGCAGCACCTTGATGAGCGTGCCTTGAAGAGTGTACAGGAAACCACCCATGCAATGCCCCTGACAGATGCTCCAGATCATCATCTGCCTGCAAGGAGCTACCCAGGTAGTGGAAAGACCACCAGCATTCCTAAGAGAGTGGCCACCTTTGGATGATCAAATCTCTGCTTATAAGCGGGAACATAATACACCCTTCACTCCCTACCTTGCTGTGTGAGTGGTTTTGCCTTTGAAGCAGGAAACTGTGATGATGAATGGTTTCTAAACAAGCCAGATTATATGAAGCCAAAAGGTTTAGAGTTGCTTTTAAGAAGCCGGCTTGTTTGGAAGCCATTAACTATTGCTCCTTTTTCAGCTATGATGGGAAGCTATGGTCGATGGCAGCTTCCTGACATGTTTGCTTGCTCGTGCAAAGGGAAGAGTGAGGTGGGAGCAAAGGAGCTGGGTTTTTATTAAGATGAGCTTTGATTGTCAGAACGTGGTCATTGCGTCAGGTGTGGAGGTGCCCAGGGGGGAAAGAGGTTGGTAGCTAAAAGTCAGTATAATACCAGGCATGCACCTGAAAATCCTGGTAATTTACCCTGACCTTCGCAGGATATTATTTACATTCATTGCTGCTCAGTGGTTTTGGTTCAGAAGGTGTCATCCTTTCTCAGAAAGAGATGCAGTATTGTATTAGCTGCATGAGTAAAAGGGCCACTAGGTGGTATTGTGAAGAGAATAGGAGAGGAGTTAACTTAATAGAAGTGGGTGTTTAAGTGAAATAAATTGCATGCGGGAGCAGGATCTTTGTGACATTATCATTAATTTCCCTAGGCCAGGGGTGCCTTCCAGATGTGGTGGACCACGGCTCCATCAGCGGTTGCCAGCATGGCCAGTGGTCAGGAGTAGTGTTAGAAACTTGGATATATAAGCTAATTGCCAAATGACACCTTTAACCTAAGTTACAGTCACCACAAGAGAACGTCTAGGTGCCTTTTTTTTTACAGTGAAATTTATTATTATTACCGTATTTTTCGCTCTATAACACGCACCCGACCATAACATGCACATAGTTTTTAGAGGAGGAAAACAAGAAAAAAAATATTATAACGAAACAGTGGATGTATTATTTTTGTGGTTCATGCTGTGGCCACAGACATGTGATCTGACGGTGAGTTTGGGGTAGCCCAATGCAAAAATCCTGAGGATCCATGTGGATCCGTGCTTTGTAACCACGTTTTAGGTGGGGAGGGAAGGAAAAGCGCTCAAGGACAAGGAGCACGCAAGGGGTGGGTGGAGAAGGATGCTGCTAATAATGCAGAAGAGGGGTATAAGCGTAGAAGGCTCCTCTCCTCTCCCGCTTTGCTCCTTTAAAGCAAGCAGGCTCCCTGTCCCTCTCTCCTCCCCACTCAGTGGCTCTTCTCCTGCTTTGCTGTTTCAAAGCGAGCCACAGAGGAGGGAAGAGGAACCATGGATCCTCTGCTCACGACTGCAGCAGATCCCCCCGCCATCCGTAGGCATTCGCTCCATAACACGCACAGACATTTCCCCTTACTTTCTAGGAGGAAAAAAGTGAGTGTTGTGGTGCAAAAAATACGGTAATTTCATTTCTATACTGCTTTATATTTTAAAGGGAAAAAAATCTCAAAGCGGTTTACAACACATTAAAACATCAAATAAAACAATCTAGGATAAAAAAATTCAAGCTACAAGGAAAATACTTCAGATCCCTCTCCAAGTGATATTTTGCTTTCCCCATATTTATTTACCTACTTAATTTTTATAGCTGGCCTCATAGCAGAAGTACTCAAGCCAGTGTGGTATAGTGGTTAGATTGTCGGACTTAGGACCTGGTAGATCAGGGTTCAAATCCCCACTCTGTCATGAAGCTCACAGGGTGACCTTGGAGTCAGTTGCAGCCTTTTAACCTACCTCACAGGGTTGTTGTAGGGATTAACTGAGATGGGGGGGGGTGAACCATGTACTCTTTGGAGAAAAAGGTGAGAAATAAATGCAATAAACAAGCTCTTCTGCTTACCTGCTTAAGAAAGCTGGAGGAGCAAGCCAGATGGAGATGTCAGTTGCCAACCTGGCATTCAGAGATCTCCATGTGGTCGCAACAGGACCTGCACCAGTCGCTAAACACACCTGGCTAGTTTCTGACACTGGTACCACGTTGTGTACCCCTGCTGTTTAGGTTATTTTGGCTGGGCAGGGAGAGCAAAATAGGCTTTATAGTATTCTGCTGTTTATGTAAATAACTACATTGGGCTCTTACAAACATAATGGAAGTTATCTCTTTAGCCATGGTTAATATGCTTTTTATCGTCTGCTGTCTTCGATACAAGTTTTTCCCACTTACAAATACTCTCCTGAAGATCTCGGATATCGGGCAGGGATGTAATTGATCAGGTGGTCCTTGAGATATCACGGACCCAAGTTGTTAAGGGCCCTTTAAATTAATGCAAAGAACCTTTAATCTGGCCTGGTGACATGTGCAGCCAGTGCAATATTTTAAGCATCAGGCGTTTGCTTTTTAACTACAGTTAACAGAGGTGGAAGTGACACTTAAGGTGAGTAGGGAGAATTTGCCCTAGGTAGAAAGTATGCTGTACCAAGGCCTACTCCCAGTCTCGTAACCAAAATTAAGAGATCAACTCTGTCATATAAAGGAAGTGCATTTTAGGTTCATTAAAAATATGTCTTTGGTCACCATGTATATTTTCAGAGTTACTGGAAGCTTAAACTAGCTGGTGTTTGTGGCATATTTCCTGTTGCCCACCATAGAGAATCATAGAATTGTAGCATTGGAAGGGACTCCAAGGGTCATCTATTCCAACCCCCTGCAATGCAAGGATTTTGCCCACCGCCATCCCTGAGTGGGCTCGAACCGCCAACCTTCTGGCTAACAGCCACGTCAACCCATTGCGCCACAGGAGGGCTGGATCAGATTTGCCTCATCTCGTCTTGGTAAAACTATGCTAAAGTGCCTGACTTCCCTACCTGCAGGTTAAGTATGAAGTCTCTGTTTATATCAGATTCAGGTCTGGCAAGCTTTGTTCACAACAGCAGAATGGAAAATTTCAGTGTTAAGTGAAAGATTTAACTTCTAAACAACTTGATGGCTCTAATCTGACACTCCTGAGGGTTTTCAAAAAGGAAGGGCATCCCCCCCCCCCCGCAAGCTTTGCTCATAGAGACTACAGCTTAAGATAGCACTTGAGTATCTGCTTGAATCCCCTTTTAAGCAGCAGTACTGTGGGCATGTCACTTCTTAAAATATGTATATGAATTCCTTTGTATATGTATTAAGGATATGCTATATTTGTTCCCATAAGTTTTCAATCGAGCTGGAAATGCCACTGATATATAATTTTTCTGCTTTGAAATATTTGTGAGCAAAGTTGCACCTATGCTGTGGATATGCCTAATATGGATAAATAAAAGAGGGGTAAACAAATTACCAGTCTTTTATATTACCAGTCCTTGGAGTTCCAGGCCGGGTGATGGTGGTGGGCAGGTGCAGGTGTGCTTGCCTGCGAAGAAGATTCACCTTGGACTTTAATCCCACACACCACTTCCTGCATGCTGCCTGGTGTGCAAAGGGCCTTCACCTAAGAGATAGAATCATAGCATTATAGAGTTGGAAGAGACCTTGAGGATCATCTAGTTAGTACAATCCCCTGCAATGCGGCTGCGACCTTGCTGTTATCAGCACCACACTCTACCAAGATGAACTTACCTTTCCTGAGTCATGAAGCACAAAGAAGGAGCACAGGATAAAAAAATTCAGTGCCCCCCAATTCACCCAATACTTTATTTATCCAAGGGTGGGAGAGGGGCAGCTCTTTATCAGGGGTCAGCAAACTTTTTCAGCAGAGGGCCGGTCCACTGTCTCTCAGACCTTGTGGGGGGCTGGACTATATTTTTTTTGGGGGGGGGGAAATGAACGAATTCCTATGCCCCATAAATAACCCAGAGATGCATTTTAAATAAAAGGACACATTCTACTCATGTAAAAACATGCTGGTTCCTGGACCGTCTGCAGGCCAGATTTAGAAGGCGATTGGGCCGGATCCGGCCCCCGGGCCCTAGTTTGCCTACCCATGCTCTTTATTAATTATTGTACTTCCCTTCCTGCAGTGTGCATATACTGGCAGTTTAAATAATCTGTCTGTTTGATGACTTGGTTACACCTGTTTGATTACATTCATAGTCTAACTCAGACACATTCATGTACCCATTCATAGAGTTGTAGAGTTGGAAGGGAGGGACTAGCTAGGCACTCCTAGATGACCCCACGTGGGGTCATCTAGTCCAACCTCCTGCAATTCAGGAATCTTTTGTTCAATGTGGGGCTCGAACCCACAACCCTGAGATTAAGAGTCTCATGCTTTACTGACTGAGATAGCCTGAGTTTTTGCTTGCAAGTTCAAAACTACTAGTCTGCTGCTGGTGTCATTCTGGAAGATGCCTAGTTGTGTGTGGGTTACAAGTAGGGCTGTGGTGTACAAAATTTGCCATCTAACAAAACCTCAGCTTGTATTTTGAGGAATAGTGGTGGTTGAAGTCAAGTTTCTATCTCTTACATGGTTGCCCATAATACTTTCAAGTGTGAGTGGTATGTTGTTATTATTACATTTATATTCCCCTTTTCCTCCATGGAGCTAAAGGTGGTGCACATTGTTCTCTTCCTCTCTCTGGGAGGTAACTAAAAATTGCAAGGCAGCGATTGGCTGGAAGTCACAGCCTTATCTCTCCAGGTAGTATGTGTATTGGTAAGCAGCTTTTGAGGGATTCAGATAAGGACTTTCCAGCCCATAAGCAGAGATCCCTTTTTAAGTGGAGATGCAAGTGCTCCACAGCTCTACCACTGTTATGGACTTTCCCCCAACTTCCCATCTAGTCACGCGTGGACAGTATCAATATCGTCCAATACCAACTAGAGATGTGAATACTCAGGGGAGAAAAGAAGAAAAATGTGAAATACTGTATAGAGGAAAATCCCTCTTCTACCCATTTTTCTCTGCACCTTCATAACTTTAGTGTACTCGTTTATCTGATTATGGACTCTTATCTGGCCAAAACTGCACCATCCACACACAATAGTGAGGTATCTGCTTGCTGAACAGGAACACTTCATACTGCAATGTTTGGTTACAGCTCTCACGTGCCCTATTTTAAATACCAAGATTGAAAAACGACAACACGTTTCCCTGATTGTGAGGAGTGTCTATTATTATTATTATTATTATTATTATTATTATTATTATTATTTGTATTAGTATTATTGTACCACCCTTCAGCTGAACATCACATTATATTTTACAATATAAAAACACAAAAGTACGCAACACAATAACAAACAAAAACAATTACCCCCACCACCACCACCCAGTTTGAGAGGCCATAAATTGTTTTATTTAGCCAAAGGCCTGGGGGAAGAGGAATGTTTTTTCCTGGCACGTAAATATGTCTTAAGTACCTACAAGTAGAAATCCTCCGTTCTGACATGTCCCCCAGTTCATTCTGCCTTTTTCCTTTTGCGTCTTACATTCTTTCCCACCATGTTATTAGTGTCCCAGATCTATGCAGCTGCGAGAGGGCTTTTTTAGTTCCACCTGTGCTGCTGTGTCAAGGAAACAGTAGTGCAACGAGATAGCGGTCCCTCCACCAACCGGAAAAGGCGATTGGAGGACGAGAGAGAAGCTGTGCAACTGCTACTGTAGTTTTCCCAGACAGTAGAATGAACAGCTCTGTGCCTTGACTTTAAGGGCTGAAAAGAAGCTTTACATAGCAAAGGGACCATGGAGGTGAGGGAAAGGAAGGGTATAGGGGGAGAAAGAAGCAGCTCTCTGGGACTCTGGCAGTTCAACCTCAGGCCTCTTCCAAGGAATTACTTGTGCCACTTTGTAGACAGGACAGTGGAAAGTTTTAGACATATGCTAAACTTATCTTTAAAAACCCCCTCTCTTCTCTGCATAGCTGTCGTTTGTCCTCAATGTATAGTCAAGGTCTCTCTTGCCCCATTTTCACTCAAGATATCAGAACACACTTGCTGTTCTCCAAGAAATGTGGCTTTTGTAAAGCCATATAGCGAGTGCCCTTGACGCGCTTAGCTATTGACCTGAATGCGCTGTAAGGAATTTGTTTATCTCTCTAGATGTAAATGGTATGCAAAATATTAATAGAACACTGAATATTGAAATGGCATTGCACTCCTAATATTCACCTACCAAAGTTTATTCTTCTTTAGACTCCACATCTGCTCAGTGCTACTTGTGTCTCTGTCAAGTGTAATTGCTTTGAAAATAGCTTGCCCCACATTTTAAAGGCTTGACAGCTATGAAAGCAGCTCATTGTCATACAGTTCACCAGAAAGGTGTACTCCAGACATTAATCCTTCATTACAACAACCATAGCCTAGATTGTGTTAATTTAACTTAAAACCAACAACATTATAGTGGCAGCAAAATAAAAATAAAACCACACAGTATAGTGGACAGAATGTATGACTTGGATACCAGAACTGGGAGACTTGGGTTCAAATCCCTGCTCAACCATGATGTTTGGTGGGTGATTTGGGGACAATCACTCTCTTCTGACCTCCTTCACAGCGCTGTTGTGAAGATGATGGGATGATATTTGTGTAAGGTAACATGAGCTTCTTGAAAGAAAGAATACAAATATGAAATGTATATTGCAATTGACAATGTGAATTTGGGAGCCATAAGGCGACTTCTCTTTGGTACAACCAATGGTCTTAATCCAGCAGGTTTGTACCTGGCTGCACCTGCATGTGTTGGGCAAGACCTTTCAATTTGGTTTCTGTACACCAAAACCGCCCACCCACCACCTTCCCCAAGTTTTTGGAAGTTTCTTTTAAAACTTGAGGGGGCAGAAACAATTGCTGCTCATGCTGCTCAGAAAGGAAGGCTGCTGTTTAGAAACAATTAAAAAAAGCTCCCCATGCAACACACCTGTAAGTCTTTCTGCAGATTTTTTTAGTTGAGGCCAGGAAATTGAGGAGATTTCTTCCTAGTCCAAACAGGAATGATCCTCGTATGGATCCTGCATTATGCACAGAAGGTTGCTGCTGGAGCTGGAGAGAGAGGGCTGTTGTATTCAGCAGAAAGCATGTACTGCAGGGTGGGTTCTGATCCAGGCATCACTCTGTGATGGGGGGTGAAATCGGATGTAGATATTTCTGTACATCTCTGGATTAGGGGTTGTTACCGAAGCACAGTTGTTGTCCAGCCACAGCTGTTGTCTGGTGCCATCAGCTGTTGCACTGTGAACACACGCAGGGTAAAAGTGAAACAACTGTGGTCAGCTAATCCAGAATATTGTGCTGGCCTGTGTTGCAGCAGGAGCAGCAGCCACCATTGCAAGACACGTGCAGTTGTGTTATGCAGAACTGTCATGTATAGGTCTGAACTGACTGAACAGAGGCATGTTTCAGCATCCGAGAAGCACTTCTGCCAGCATAGCCCTGATTCACAGTTGTGCAACTATACGCATTGTCAGATCTGGCTCCTTTGCTTTCAAGGGCAGGATGAAGTAAAGGCCTGATTTGTATTTTGGCAAGAGCAGATCTCCTAGTTGTTCAGATGAATGAGGAAGTTTGACCCAGAAGCTTTTATAGAGGTCAGTCGTATTGGTGCAAAGAGATTTCCTTGGTTGGTGTGGCTGGTCTCTGTAGGGCTAGACAGAATCTTTGCTTGACAGCCCTCACGTCTTCCAAGAGTTGCTGTGGTCTTGAGTCCTGACAGCACCTAATATTTTGCATCAGTCCTTCACAATATTTTTACAAGTAAATTTAAAGGACCCCTGGACAGTTAAGTCCTGTCAAAAGCGACTATGGGGTTGTGGCGCTCATCTCGCTTTCAGGCTGAGGGAGCCGGTGTTTGTCCACAATAGCTTTCTGGGTCATGTGGCCAGCATGACTAAACCGCTTCTGGTGCAATGGAACACCGTGATGGAAACCAAAGCACATGGAAATACCGTTTACCTTCCTGCCGCAGTGGTACTTATTTATCTACTTGTACTGGCGTGCCTTTGAACTGCTAGGTTGGCAGGAGCTAGAACAGAGCCACGGGAGCTCACCCCATCATGGGGATTCGAACTGCCGACCTTCCGATTGGCAAGCCCAAGAGCAGGGGTCAGCAACCTTTTTCAGCCGTGGGCCAGTCCACCGTCCCTCAGACCATGTGGTGGGCCGGACTATATTTTGAAAAAAATAAATGAACGAATTCCTATGCCCCACAAATAACCCAGAGATGCATTTTAAATAAAAGGACACATTCTACTAATGTAAAAAGACGCTGATTCCCGGAACGTCCGCGGGCCAGATTGAGAAGGCGATTGGGCTGCATCCGGCCCATGGGCCTTAGGTTTCCTACCCCTGCCCAAGAGGCTCAGTGGTTTAGACCACAGCGCCACACACGTCCCTCTCTTTACTTTTACCTTTGCCTATTTTATTTATTCCTTTATCTTTACCTGTTTTTACAAATAGCAGACATTGTAGTAGGTAGGGTGGATTTTGCTGGCCACAGGATGTCACTGCAGCTACACCAACCTGATGCTCCCTGTGTGTGCTCTCGCTCCAATGTAGTTGGGATACTGGATCTGTTTAAATCAGTGCTTTGTTTATATTTGCATTTCCCTGTATGGTCAGAACAGTGTTTTCCCCCTTTTATGAATAGAAGAAAATATCTTTTATTTTGGGCTTTATAGTAAAATAAACTTAAAGCTCTTTTACAAGAGGTACGCTACTTTGTGGCATTTTCCTTGGCCTTAGTAAAAGTATTACCATCCTGTGGCTTTGGGATTATTTCTGCAGGGGAAGGAGTTTCTGTGTTTTTCTGTCTGAGTCAACTGAAACTAGAAAGCTGCATGATGTAAATATTATTTAAGCTAGTTGAGGTCTGATGTAGAAATGTAGCTACAGTAAAGTCTGCAATCCTGTACCCACTTACTTACTTGGATGTTACTGTTGAGTTGACGTTTATCAGATTGTCCTATGAGAGACTTGCTATGGTTTCACCTGTGAGAAGTAGTGTCTGCAGTAATTCAGATTAATTACATCTTAAACCAAGCACCCATTTTTTCCATGGAGGTTAGGCACTGGGTTCAAAAAGTCGAGAGGTATAGGGACAGCTTGTTTTATGTAACAAGATATAAACTGGTATTATGCACTGGCCATGCTGAAACAATGTGGAAAAAGCATACTGTGTTAGAGACTGAATTTGTGGATGTTCATAATTACAAACTGGGAACTTGGAATAGTCATGTATCCAGAAAGGTCCATAGTTTGGTGATTGGAGCATGTGGTTAGAATGCAGAAGGTCCCGGGATCATTTGCATGCTTAAACGATCTTTGATAGCAAGACTGGGGAAGGAATTACTACTGGATGGAGGAAGATGAACCAGTGTGCCAACTTGATATAAGAGTTTGTCTGCTCATATAAGCATATTTAGTCTTGCCCTAGGCAGACCTGCCAGGGATTCCATAACTTCTTGTTGGGCAACAACTTGTGTGAGGATGGAAGCTGCATTTACACAAAAAGAGGAAAGGAGGGCACTGTTTACATATTCTTTTCACTTGGTGGTACTTTTTCTCTTGAAAGAGGGTCATGCTCATTGACATCAACTGAAGGTACCTAGGGGGCCTCCTTTACTCTTGTCTTCCAGTGAGCGAGCAGGGTCTCTGTACTGGAAATGGGTGCTTTTGGAATAGACACTCTCATGTGACATTTACACGGACTAACAGTTCACATAGAAATATCCTGTTCCCACATACTCCTCTTTCAAGTGAGGCCAGGACAGGAGTTAAAACACACTAAAAGATTTTGTGACTAGGGCTTGAGTGTTATTTTAGCTGTAGAAGCTGTTTTCACAGCTGTGGAAGCCTTAAGTAGTGCTAATAAAGGCAAGACTCTATGAGAGATGCATACCGTTGTCAGGAATTGACCCAGGCACCTGTAGTTTTTAATAGGATTTAATAAGAGTATTATGTACTGTAGGCCTCCCCCACCGCACTATCTGCACTCCCTCTAAGGTTGGTGAATTTTTGGTCTACAATATAGAGAAGTGCCAACCTTAGTGAAGGCTCTAGTCTAGTGCGTGAGATTTGGGAGCAGAAGAATGTCGCTGGAAAAATGAAAAGTTCATCCACTTTATAGAGAATACATTTTCTGTTGTCATGTTACAATTATAATAGAAGTCTGAAAGTCTAAATACGTTTATGTTCAAAGAGAGTGTAGTGGGTTGTGTTTTTTGTGTTTTTTTTACCATTTTCTATTGTAAAGTTGGCCTTGAACAATTATTTTGATGGCGATGATTTACCCACTTTAATTTTGAGGAGCATGCAAGTGCTTCTGGTCAGAACTGCTGCTTAGCAGTCATGCAGACTGGCGGCTTTGTTTTCTGCTAGTTTTTCATCCAGTAAAAGGCATTATTTTCATGACCTAGCATGGCTGTCCTATGCACAAGAAACAAGGTTCCTTCTTTCAAAAGTGTGTATTGGACTTTGGAATGCCATCCCTGCCCTCTTCTAGTTGCTGACCAGGAACCTAGATCTTTTTGTGGACTGTTTGATCCAATAAAAGCAATTTGCATTCACTTTTCATAGATGACTTAAGGGTCTTTGCTAAAGTTAGCATGGTTTTTTTGTACAATTGCATCCCCACTCCCCAAAACCTTACAACAGAAAAATGTCACTGCAGACCTAAAAGGAGAAGGATGATATGAAACAGAAACTAAATGACTGTGCAGTGAAATGTAATGTAATGTGCAATATTTCCAACCTCTTTAAAAGTATGCAGTAAATATTATGAAAGAGAGCTTCATTTTCAGATTAAAAACAAGAGAGGAAGAAGAGAGGGCCTTCATAGAAGCATATGGAGCCAAGTGGAAGCAGTTAAAAAATTTAGAGGCCGAAGGAAGCCTAAAGTGAATAGGTATTATTCACAAATTGAACACATTACTGGTATATTTAATTGCTTTTTTTAAAAAAAAACTGTATTGCAACTCGAGGAAGTAGAGTCTTGATTTTGGCACACACTTGCTACTTAGACTTACATTGTCAAAAAATGTAAGCTGAAAACCTGTCCAAAGCTATGTGCTCTGCAGGTTCATTTTGAAACTTAAAGAATTACACGTGCATAACCGTGCCTAGGATTTTAGCCATGGCTACCATTCAGAGTAATTGTTGGGCACCAGGAAAATTCTGCACTAGGATATTCACACTAAATAGGCCATAAGCAGCTAACTCATTCCACAGCCTGTGACTATCCTGCAACCTGTCAAATTGTTGAACAGTCTTTTCCTGAGTAATTACATACATTTATTTGATGGACCACCATATACTTTATGTATCCAGTAGTTCACTGCTGTCTGCAGGACAGCTCCTCCTTCCGTTCACAAGGATACCAGAAGTCTGCTCCACAGTCTGCTCCTCAAAGCAGGACTTTCAGTGTGGCTGCCCATGTTCTGTGGAACAGGATTCATGTCTAGATACAACAAATGCCCACCAGCCAGGAACAATAGAATACATTTTTGTTCAGGCAAGCTTTCCGTGTAGAATTTGCCATGGTTGTCCGATTTATATTGCTTTGTAGTTAATTTTCTGGGTTTATTCCCCCCGCTTTAAACTGTTTTTAGCTGTTTCTATGTGGCAGGCAGTGTTAGAAACTCAGATACAGTGGTACCTTGGGTTAAGTACTTAATTCGTTCCGGAGGTCCGTACTTAACCTGAAATTGTTCTTAACCTGAAGCACCACATTAGCTAATGAGGCCTCCTGCTTCCACCGCACCGCCGGAGCACGATTTCTGTTCTCATCCTAAAGCAAAGTTCTTAACCTGAAGCACTATTTCTGGGTTAGCGGAGTCTGTAACCTGAAGCGTATGTAACCTGAAGCGTATGTAACCCGAGGTACCACTGTATAAGTTAGGCGCCAAATGGCTCCTTAAACCAAGGTTGCAGTCGCCAAAACGGAATGCCTACTTGCCATTTTTGACTAAGACGTCTTTAGGACTAATTTTCAAATAATGATCGGGGTGGATTATCTGTTAAGCATCTGGCTAGTTCAGAGGACAACTTTGAGCTGGGTTAAGAGATCTGAGAACTTAAAGAAGAAAAGTCACTTGATCCAGGAGCAGTCCACATATATATTGGCTTCTTCCGACCTCTTTTTCTTAATGGCGACTGCTCCTTCTCAGGCTGCACAGAAAAATAAGATAAAATGTGTGAGAAAAGAACCATCCACTCTTCCCTCCTTTCCTTGGAGAAATGGTAGGATAGAAAGTTTGTAAGTATATACATAAATAATAAAATATGTGCACTGAAGCTCCCTCCTCAAGACTGCTAGGTATATTGTTGTGGAGCTGAAGAATGCTGTGAATGCCAGCTGCCTTGAAAATATACCTCTAATGGAGAAATAGAAAATGATTAGGCTTGGGATAAATTGCTAAAATGTACAAGGCTTAAAATTGGTGGCAGGGAGATTGCTCCTTTTATAAAAGTGTCCCCCCCCCCCTTTCTCTTTAAGTACATTTGGTTATCCAGTATAGAAAATCATGGTATGCTTATATACTTATGTTTAGATCTCTACCCTCCCAACATTCTTCTAATCTTCATCTCCATGTGTATTGCAACCCACAGAAATTCAGAATCTTAACATATTCATTATTCAATCTTACTGTTACTGAGACATGGTCAGAATCTTTCTGTTATTTGGGACCAGTATATGAGCATCAAACCACCATGAAAGCTAATATTTTAATGGCCAGCCTGCTCAAATGAAAATCACATCCATAGGGAAGTGGGACAGGAGAAGGAGTTACATTTTTATTGATAATGACAGTCCTTGCCTTTTTTTTTCTGGCTTGAAACTTGGTATAAATAATTACGTTGGCCAGGATCCAAAGAATTGCACAACTAGTTCTGTGCGCTCAGTGGGGGCTTGGACTTGAATTTCTTGAATGGCTGCCTCCCCCGCTACCTCCCATGCCACAGAACGGGCCACATTTGGAATCGAGGGGACTTTCCAAAGCCCCATGTGACCTGGAATTGAGGACTGCAGATCCTAGAAAAAGACAGTATTACTTGGCAAATCAAAGCCTATAGGGAGTTCTCCCCTTGCTCAGCTTTTGGCTTCTCGGGCCATCGTTGTTACAACGGGGTAGTATAGGTCCCTTCCTCCAGATTGAAAGAAGTCTTCAGGTATCTTGTAGTTGAATATAAAAGTGCCATCTTGCCTGCATTATTCAGAGAGTTTGTTCTCCTTGATGTGACTGCAGCTTGCCTTCAGGTAAGAGGCCTCTCTGGATATGGCATGGTAGAATAGGGATTGTGGGCCAACAGACTTGCCACCCTTACCTAAGGTAAGAGCCTGGGAGAGGGAAAGTTTGTTTTGGTGGTGGTCCTCCGAGCAAGAGACAGGGAGAAGTGTTATAGTGACACTACAGTCTTCTGTTCGACAATGTGGGATGTGCTTAGTAAAGGTAAAGGGACCCCTGACCATTAGGTCCAGTCATGGCCAACTGGGGTTGCGGCGCTCATCTCGCTTTATTGGCCGAGGGAGCCGGCGTACAGCTTCCGGGTCATGTGGCCAGCATGACTAAGCCGCTTCTGGCGAACCAGAGCAGCACACGGAAACGTTGTTTACCTTCCCGCCAGAGTGGTACCTATTTATCTACTTGCACTTTGACGTGCTTTCGAACTGCTAGGTTGGCAGGAGCAGGGACCAAGCAACGGGAGCTCACCCCGTTGCGGTGATTCAAATCACCGACCTTCTGATCAGCAAGTCCTAGGCTCTGCTTACTTTTGGCTTATTATCTGTGGCCCTAATCTCCCAGCTGTATATTGTGATATTGAGCGATGGTGCTAGGTTGGGTGAGTAGCAGAGAGTTACGAAGATATGGTGTGCCAGTTTCACTGGCGTTGCGCAGATTCTAGGTGTTTTCTACTGCCAATTGGATTCAGTCAAATGTTATGGTGAAACAGAGCTGAGTGCTGCCCATGTTCTAATGGCACCTTGCCCCAAATAAATAGCATTGAGGGTAAAATAGTGCCTCCAGCGGGCCGTAGCATAATTGTCAGGAGGCCAAAAAGCACTTTCCCAATGCCACTCTCTGGGCTTCGTCCTGTTGGTGGGAACAGCACAGAACCCCAAACCTCATTTCATGGTGCCAGTCTAGGATGATGATGATGATAATAAATAAAAAAAATAAAATAAAAATAAAATAAAAAAAATTCATTTATATCCCGCCCTCCCCAGCCGAAGCTGGGCTCAGAGTGGCTAACAACCGCATACCATTCACAGCATTGGGTGGAGATATAAGAATTTGGCTTTTAGAGAATTTTTTTTTTTTTTAAATGGAGAATACAGATTGAGCTAATTTTGTTTGTGCTTTTGCCTAAATATTTCTTTTTGGTCTCTCCCCACCCTCATAGCAACAGCAAATATGAGGGAGTTTTGTTTGCCACATAGATATCCAGCCTTTCTTTTGAGGAGCTCAGAGTAGTGCACATGGTTATCCCAGTTTATCCCCACAGCAACCCTGAGGTTGGACTGAGAGAAAGTGATTGGCCTAAGGTCACCCAGATTGCCCCATGTCTGAAAAGGCATTTAAAACGGCTTCTCCCTGGTCCAGGATGATAGGCATTTGTCTACTTACTAAGGAGGAAGACTGTCCCTGTAGGTGGCCAACACTGAGGAAATTTTACAGTGCAATGAGGCATTTTCAGCTTACCAGAAGCATTTGATAAGTGCAAACCATTGTTCCAACATTTGAGAGAAGCTGAAGAAGAAGAAGAAAAGAAAAAGGAAGAACAAAAGGAAGTTATGCCACAGAGAAGTCATCAGACATTGCAGACTCAAACTTAAGAGGACTGAGGAGCCATCCAATATTTTGGAAAGGGGGTGGGTTCTTCCCCCTTCCCCCTTCCCCCTTTACCACTTCCTCCTGTAATTCTGATCTGGCTTGAGCTAAATATACGAACACTCTTGCATTGTCTTAAACGGCTTTTTATTATTGTATTGTACTTATGTGCCACAAATGGTTTATGGTGATATGTATGGGCGTTCGAGCTAGTAGAAATTGCTGATGGCTAGTCATTTTTGTGAACTTGTAATGGGTTGCAGAAACAGGAATGAGTGGGGAGTGGGTGTAATAATTTATAGTTGCAGTACATTGGTGTTGTTGTCCAGCTTGGCAGGCCCATCATGGCAAACTAAGATGCTGCGTGGACTGTTCTGGCATGTTTGATCACAGTGGGAATATGCTCAGAGACTTCAGTGTACTGCTGATGGACTTACAGTGTCGAAAAGGCAAGTCTTCTTTTTCCAAGTCTAGCTTTGAATCTGATTGGCAGTGGAAATCGCTGAGCCAGGAGGGTATAACTTGGACTCTTTATTCACGAATCAGATTCCATAATAATGCACACTACACACTGGACACCTCATCTGGGTCTGTCATAACCACGCTATCCCGATTGCCACAAAGACAAGTGACTTTGTCCTCAGAGTGCCTTGCAGGCTTCTGAGAGAGAGGTCCAACATTACTCTTGGCTGGGGTGGATGTTAGAAAAATCCTGTACCATTCAGAAAAACTGCTTGGTGGCTATTTGGGGATGGAATGGAGGCAAAAAACTACAATTTCTTGTCATCTTTCTTATGAGTTTGATTCAGTCTGTGTTCCAGATGTCCTCTGGCTTGTTTCATTATCCACAGCTCTCCAGAAAACCAAAGAGCAATACTGTGTTAGAGAGGGCACTCAGGAGCAAACATGTTCACAGCACAATATATCTTTCCAATCTCTTGATTCCAAAATTATATTTTGCTGTCATTTTTGGTTTCAGGCTTTCTGTTCTCCCAGGCATTTTAAAACTAGCAATGTTCAAAATTTTTAGTTCTTTTAAGCTGCCGTGAATTCTTATTGGTTGGTGTTTTAGTCCTGTACTGCAGTTTTGTCATTTATTTATTTATCTAATTAATCTGTATGATGCCCGGCATCCAAAGATCTCAGGGCGGTTCACAGCATGTTTGTTAATTGTCATATTTGTATTTTGGGAGCACAGCCGTGGGATATGATTTTTAGAAACAATACTAATAAATAATAACATTTTGGCGAGGTGATAAAGCTTCTGGCTTGAAAGGCTATGCAAGATAAAGGGAGGCAGTCTTGTTTTGTGTTAGTAAATGTGCTTGTTGCAAGGGGGGGGGGGACTGTCAGAGGGTCAGAAATAGTACCTGGCCTCCTTTTCCTCAGCATTCGTTTTATGTAGTTTTTCTTCACTTACAGGAAGTGGCAGGTGTGTGAGTGCCTTTCCAGGTGGCATGGCATATTCTGTATTTCAGCTGTGCATCTAAAAATGTAACAAGGGAAGGTTGCAAGTGCCTGTTTACCAGTGTGTATATCATGAAGCTGAATAACCAGGGAACAATTTGTTTTAGAAAGTTGGGTTAACAAGTGGTAACTTCCATGGCCTCATCATTTATTTCATGTATTGCACATATTTTTCACTTTAGAGCAGGGGTTGTCAACCTGGTCCATTAGTGGTGGGCGGTAGGGGATTCTATGGCACAAGCTGAATCCTCCTTCCATCGAGCACTGGTGGGCGGTAAGGAAACTTTACCATCAAGAAAAATGCATTAGTGGGCTGTAGGTATAAAACCTACACACGGGTGTAGGACTTGCCGATCAGAAGGTCGGCTGTTCGAATCCCCGCGACAGGGTGAGCTCCCGTTGCTCGGTCCCTGCTCCTGCCAACCTAGCAGTTTGAAAGCACGTCAAAGTGCAAGTAGATAAATAGGTACTGCTCCGGCGGGAAGGTAAACGGCATTTCCGTGCGCTGCTCTGGTTTGCCAGAAGTGGCTTAGTCATGCTGGCCACATGACCCGGAAGCTGTCTGCGGACAAACGCCGGCTCCCTTGGCCTATAGAGTGAGATGAGCACACAACCCCAGAGTCGGTCACGACTGGACCTAATGGTCAGGGGTAACTTTACCTTTACCTTTTAAGTATAAAAAGGTTGACTACCCCTGCTTTAGAGTGTTCAAAGTGCTTCACATATGAAGTATTGGTACATAAGTATTGACAAGTTGTTCAGTATCCAATCTGCTGGTTTTTCAATGCTCGCTTTCCTCCCCGTTAGCAGAGACCAGCTAGGCATAGTATGCAAAACTCTATGGCAACACTATCTGAGGTTTGTAGGTTCTCCAGTGTGGTCCATAGCAACAGTCGCCACACCACACACAAATTGCTGAGCCATCTTCAGCCTGACAAAGCAGTGCCCCAAGCGAAGCAAAGGGGCTGGCTTACCCGTGACTGCTGTTGTGAGTCACAGCATCAGCCCCTCTCCATTCCATTTAAATTAGCAGCTCAGTGCCCCCAGCTCCCAGCCCCTCTAGACGGTCCAGAAGGATGTTATGGCCGATGATGTCAAATGCCTCTGAGATATCCAGCAGAACTAGGAAACAGCTCTCACCTTTGTCCCTAGCCTGCCGGAGATCATTGACCAGCGCGACCAAGGCAGTTTCAGTCCCATGAAGAGGCCTGAATCCTGACTGGAAGGGATCCAAATGGTCCGCTTCTTCCAGGCGTGCCTGGAGTTGTTCAGCAACCACTCGCTCAATCACCTTGCCCAAGAATGGAAGATTTGAGAACAGGCAATAGTTGGCCATATTGGCCGCGTCTAAAGATGGTTTTTTAAGAAGCAGTTTGATAATTCATTTTCCCAGACTGTGTACTGCATTGCGGTGCTTCTGATAGCCACAGAAGCATATTTTTCTTCCTTCTGCTCTTCCCCTAATAAAAAGTATTAATCAGTATTGCAATTGTTGCTTGTTCCATTTCAGCATTTATCCTCTGGTTTGCCAGTCATTCTTCTCAGAAGTTCCTGAGAAATGGCCGTATTTATAAGAAACTTATTTTAAAAAAAAGAGAGAGAGAGAGAAATGGCCGTTGTGGAGGCTGCTAGGTATCAAATGGGCTGAGCTAAAGCTGCTTTTATTTATTTATTTATTTATTTATTTCTCTGCAGAACTACCCTGCTTCGTGTTTACTTTCCGTTCTTCTAAAATAAATCTTTGTTTTGTCACTTGGCTTGAGTTGCATGGCTCATCGACGATGCTGATGTTGTATAACTGTGGGTGATCTTACGTACAAAAGTTGTCGCAAGCCATAGAGATGGAAGTGGCTGTAGACTGCCAAATATTTCGGAAATGAATGTATATCCCCACACCCCTGAAAAATAATCGGCTTACTTGGGATAAATAAGGGGGAAATACGAAGGAAAACACCATGAATGTTGGGTACAGAACTGGTAACCATCAGTTCACAAGTATGTTTCTCAGAGTCTTAAGAGAGACCTACCTCGCTGTTGTTGGTTCTTAGCAAGTCATAGTATCATAGGACTGTAAAGTTGGAAAGGGACCCTGAGACTCTTCTAGTCTGCAATGCAGGAATCTCAACTAAAGCATCAATGACAGAGGGACACCAAACGTTTGCTTCAAAACCTCCAAGGCAGGAAAGTTCACAGCTTTCCGAGGGAGTCCGTTCCAATGTTAAACATGGAAAAAGATGTATCTCTTAGAGGCCTTTCTGATGATGATCCTTTAGCCTAGCGCTGACCTTGTATGTGTAGATATGAGAACCAATTTTGTCGTCTTGGTAATGAACGGTGGGCCATACATTGCAAATAAAATGAAAATAAGTAGCCAGTTATGGCTGAGTAAAACACTTGTTTTCACAACTTTGTTTCTTTTTAAGATGTTGTTCTTGTAACATATTTTGGGGGAAATGATGAATGGAGGTGTTTGAGATATTGCCGCAAGTGGCCTATAGGAAGTACTGTAAAATATGAGAATTGTTGTGACAGAATTCAAACGTCTATAATTAAAATGAAGGACCATTCCTGACCAATTTGGGTAATTCTTTTTTAACGGTGAGGCTATAAATTGGCATTAATTCAGACTAAAGAACTAGGCTTTTAAAGTCTCCACTGTGTCTGCTTCATTCTAATGGAAAGAATCAATTTGATAACTAATTAAAAACGTTTTCTCTCTCTTATGCTTGCTTTAAAATGGAGCTGGGGAAGAAAACTACTTTAGTGCTCACATCTTAAATTCAACAAATTTGTGACACGCATGGACAGTACCTGAGATTTGGTTAAATGTGTTGCATTTTAAGCAATTACTGAATAGAACAAGCACTAAGTATGTCTCCGGGAAGTTTTTTATTCAGAGCTAATAGGAACAAAAAGGGATTTTTTTATTTCTTAGGGGGTGGTATATCTGGAAATTATTTTTGAGAACGGGGTGAACAGAGAAAACATTTGGGAATGGCAGCCTTAACGTTTTGATCTTACAACTGCGTACTTTGAAGTCAGTTCTATTTGATTCCAGTGGCACTTGCTCCAAAGAAAGGTGTAGCCTAATATGCCTCAAACTGGATTCATAAATTTTATGACCCAGTCCTAAATATGTAAACTGAGACTTATGTCTGAGGTTCATGTGCACAGGACTCTGGCCCTAGAACTTCAACCACACACTACATTTTAGTCATAGAACAGAAAAAGTGTATGGCAAAAGATGTAGAGAGTCAATGTGACATGTTTTCAAACAATTATATAATATAGGGTACTCATCAAGGAAGGCAGGATTGGATGATCTGGTGACAGACTTGTGCTTTGTTCTTCATAATATGTGAAATAGCTCTTGCTGTCACTGAACTTGGTTCTGCTTAAAACCAAATAATTTGGATTAAAATAGTTCATCATTTGGACTGTAGCTTCTTTGTTTGGGTGTGAAATATTATCTGGAGTAGCCTTGCAGTTGCTTTTTATCAAGAAATTAAAGATTTATTATAAAATGTAATAATAATAATAATAATAATAATAATAATAATAATAATAATAATATATTACTTATACCCCACCCATCTGGCTGGGCCTCCCCAGCCCCTCTGGGCGGCTTCCAACAGGATATTAAAAACACAAGAAAACATCAAACATTAAAAACTTCCCTAAACAGGGCTGCCTTCAAATGTCTTCTAAAAGTCAGATGGAAATGCCTACGGGTGGCATGCCTACGGATTTTCCTACTCTAAAAACTACGTGCGTGTTATGGTCGGGTGCGTGTTATAGAGCGAAAAATACATTTGATGGGAGGGCGTTCCACAGGGCAGGTGCCACTACCGAGAAGGCCCTCTGCCTGGTTCCCTGTAACCTCACTTCTCACAGTGAGGGAACCTCTAGAAGGCCCTTGGCGCTGGACCTCAGTGTCCAGGCTGAATGATGGGGGTGGAGACCCTCCTTTCCTTTCTAAAGCACATTGCAATCCTTTTGCGATGGGGTGGGGGGCAGCAGGAACCAGCGAAGTGAAGAGCTTAACTTTGGGGATGCATGTAGCAAATTCAGGTTCAGTTTTCCTTCTGACCTTGAAGTTCACTGGATGCCTCTGAGCAACCCTTTCTCTGCCCCACTTACCTTACGGGCTTGTGTTGAAAGTGAAATGAACACCCCATGTCAGCTGCCCACGCAGTTTAGAAGAAGAGGGATACAGATTTGGCGAATAAAAGTCTGAAAAATGAACAGTGATGGTTATCTGAGCAACTTCTAGTGAGTTAGTTGAGTGCATTAGATCTGTTTGGTAATTTGCTGCAGGAATCTGCATGTGCTTAATGTTGGTAGCAATTAATAAATTCCTTGCTATGTTATGTAAGGGGGGATTTGTGTGTGTGTATATGTGCATATATTGTGTGTGTAGTGCTCTCCCTCTCTCCTGTTCCTAATTTCTGGACATAAAATGCATCAGCATCATTCAGGCTGGTTATGTTTGACCTTATCCTAACCTTAAGTCAGCCAGCCTGTCCCATCAGTGACTCTTTGCCTTGATCCTATTTTACTTGTAACTCTCCACTTGCTCTTTGTTTCGCTTGGAGCCCATCCTAAATTTGGAAACCTTATGCCTGCGATTGGCTTGGCTGTTAACCCTTCTTCCCATTGTGGTTATGGAGATTACAGTGATCAAGATTGTTTCCAAGTACTTCATGGGCAAAATCACCCCCCTTCCTCAAAATGTAACAAGTGATATTTTGAGCACCAGAAGATGCCAACTTCTGTGATGTTCAGTGCTCTTCAAAAGGCAAAATGTCAAGGCTGCAAATTTCATCATAGATATTGTATCTTACGCTGGAATTTAATTTAATGTCTCTTAGGGAGTGAAAGTTGCATGAATAACAGGGTACTAATGCATATAGCAATCTGCAGCTGCATAGAGAACAAGAGTTGTTAATAGGGGCATATGTTTTAAGTTTGGGACTATGGCATCATCAGCCACAGCGAGCATTATAGAAAGATACAGAACTGCAGTGATGGGAGCCTCTGGGGTTGCAAGATAGGCTTGGAGCATCTTGGCATGTTACTTTTTGAGGAATAGTGTCCAATGCAAGCAAGTATGGGGAGCACATTCACAATAACATTTTACCCTGCAAAATTTGAAGTTTTGTGGTGACTTCTCCACTTCAGAAATCATAGAATCATAGAATTGTATAGTTGGGGTTGTATGGTAAATTGTCCCTTATCTTGTGGGGCTAACATGGGACAATTTCCTGTGTCATATCATCACTGGTAAGGAATGCTAGTGATTTTTAAGCAGTGTAACCTGAAAATGAGTATTTTCTCTGTCTCCCTTTTCTGTGGAGCGCCCATATATGAAGAAGCAACTGTCAGTTGCTTCAGATGTCTTGCGAAGAATTATCTTTTTAACAAGGCTTTACGTGTTTTACACATTTGAATCCTGTGAATTTCTGTTTCTCCCCACTTCCATATGCTTTTATGTGTGTTTATACTTTTATTGGTTTTAGGTTGTCTGTGTTTTTTTGTTTCTCATGTTTTAATGATATACTATTGGGGGGTTTTTTAGACTGTACACAGCTTTGAGTCTTTTGAAATATTAAGTGGCTTATAAATGCTTATAAGTAAATAGAATAGAAAAGCACCAGCAATGCTATTTGAGGAGGATTACCACAGTCAAACCTCCTTCTGAAGTAGATTCTTATCTTTGAAATTTAATGTTTTGTATCATATCCTTATATGGCGATAGCAGCCAATCCTTTACAAGAAGTTTCAAACACTTTAAATTTAACATCATGTTGAATTCATGTTCTATAATATTTTCTATAGGACTGTTTGAAGTGGGTAGCGGGTCCTGTAATTCTTAAAGTTATGAATGTAATTTTATAACATCAAGGTGTGTATGCCAGTTTATATCCTCCTCTTAATTCAGTCCAGGAAGAGCTTTGTTTTGACATACAATATGATATTTTTGCCGTATATGACTACCTCTCCATCAGTGTTCCAATGCAGCTGAACCATGTATCAGCTTTGAAACAGTTTTCAAAGAAGAATTGCTCACTATGTTGAAATTAAAGACAAATTTTAAATCCATTAGTTAAATGACCAGTAAATTTGGATTGCACTCTTAAGCATTTAAGTAATTGAAATAAGTATTGCAGCATCACTATCTTTATTACAGTACAGGCCTAAGCATGTTTGCTTAGAAGTAAGTTCCACTGAGTTAATTTACTACCCAGTATGCTTGCTGAGAATCATGGCCTAAATGATTTAGTACAATCTGGATTAAATTAGTTGTTAGTGCATCCCAGTACTCCGTTGCAGGCATCTGACGCCCTTTTCCCATGGCCTGGAATATGCATATTCTAGTTGTGAAATTTTTTTCAACTAGTAGTTTTTAGACTCTGTTCTGGGGAATCCAGGGGTTCTTCAGTGAAAATATACCGTATTTTTTGCTCTATAAAACTCACTTTTTCCCTCCTAAAAAGTAAGGGGAAATGTGTGTGCATCTCATGGAGCGAATGCAGGCTGCACAGCTATCCCAGAAGCCAGAACAGCAAGAGGGATCGCTGCGCAGCAATACCTCTTGTTGTTCTGCCTTCTGAGATTCAGAATATTTTTTTTCTTGTTTTCCTCCTCCAAAAACTAGGTGCGTCTTATGGTCTGGTGCGTCTTATAGAGCGAAAAATACGGTATCTTGGTAAGCTTCCTTGTTTGCTGCTGTTGATCTTGGCAAGAATGCTAAAGCTGCGTTTCAGTTCACGCAGGGCAATGGTGAACTCCAGGAGTCCCAGGCAGTGGGCGAATCTGCCTGCACTGGAATATGCCCCATAATTCTTGGCAAGGTAGAGAAGTTTCATTGCTGACACTGAAGGTATCCTGAGCGGAAAAGGTGACACGGAAAGCTTGAAAGCTTGAAAAATGCATCACTCTAGGAGAGCTGCTGAACCCTGAAGGCTCTGCATTGATTTCATATGTCCTAGACATGTACTGTATTTTACTAGATGTTACTACACTTTCTAACTGGAGGCATTTGTGTTTCCCTCTAGCCCTGCCAATTTCACTTTGGGAGAATTGCTAATTCCTCTCTGAAGTCTTAGCATTGGTGACAGTTTTTTGTTTTTTTTTTTAAAGTGCCACTTGATATGCATTTTCCAGAGCAGCAGGTGTTTGTTTTCCATTTTTGAGTATGCTGAAGATCTGTGCTGATTCAGTGTTTCGTTTTAGGCTTAATGAAGGCAAGAATATGACAGAGAAATGGGCAAAAAGTGTTTGTTTGCTGACTGTGTCATATTTATATGTTGGAATAAAAACATCAGATTCTGGGGATGGCAGGGGGCGCTAAAGTTTTTATAGTTAACGCTTGTGATTTGTTGTACTCGAGGAGCAGAATCCAGGAAAAGTTCGGCACTTCCAAATCCCACAGATTTCAGTGGGATTCATTTAAGCATTTATACATCGAGACCAGTGTGACTTAAAAGTGGTTAACTTTGCCTGGTTCATACCCTTTGTGACTTAATTACTAAGGGCAATTTTGATTTTTGCTGAGAAAGCTGCAGTGTATGCATATTGTATCATGATTAGAGAGAAAAACAAAATGATATTTGTTACCAATTAAACCTGGCTGTGGTTCAGTTTTCTTTCCTTCCTTTTTCTAAAGATTCTGGTAAGCATATTCCAGAAAATCCAGTATATTAAGGATGCAATCTTATGCACACTTACATGGGAGCCAACTCTATTGACCACAGTAGAATTTTATTGTCAATTACCAGTCTTGAAGATTTCAGAATTATCCCAGCAAAGAGTTAGGGGGAAGGTCATTCACTGGCCAAATATCTTCCTTTATAACTACTTTTGCATGGAACACATGCTTGTTGAAAATTATTCCCATTGCAGCTTTCTTTCTGTCATTCTTTTTTTAAATCAAGCCCTCATGGTTGCAGAGATATCCCCAAAGATATACTATGCATTGTTGGCATATTCTAAATGCTTAGGGCTTGAAGAGAAAGTAATATGAATCCTCCATCTAATATTTTTCAAATATTTGTTTCTATAATGTTTCCCTGAGTTTCAAGTAGACCATCTGTAGCATTTCTACATTACACTTACCGTATTTTTCGCACCATTGGACACACCGGACCATAGGACGCACCGGACCGTAGGACGGGGAGAACAGGGAATTTTTTTTTTCTTGTTCTCCCCCTCTAAAACAAGGTGTGTTCAAGGTACATTCACCAGAGCTTGTGGGGCTGGCGGTGGGGGGAAGCACTGCTTTCCCCCCACCGCCAGCCTCAAAGATCCCTGAAGCCTTTGGAGCGCAGCGCCCCGCTGCCCTGCAGAGGTTTGCGCGCAGCCGTCCCCAAGCTAGAACAGCGAGACGGAGCCCTCCGTCTCGCTGTTCTGGCTTGGGAACAGCCTTGCTAGCTTCTGCAGGACAGCGGGGTGAAGGCACCCCGCTGCTCTGGAGAGGCTGTGCGCGCAGCCGTCCCCAAGCTAGAGCAGTGAGACAGAGCGCTCCGTCTCGCTGTTCTGGCTTGGGAACAGCCTTGCTAGCTTCTGCAGGACAGCGGGGTGAAGGCACCCCGCTGCCCTGGAGAGGCTGTGCGCACAGCCATCCCCAAGCTAGAACAGCGAGACGGAGTGCTATGCAGCACACACATTTCCCCTTAATTTTTGGAGGGGAAAATGTGCGTCCTATAGAACGAAAAATACGGTACTCAATAGATGTTATAGTAAAACATCCCATTATCAGTGAATTTGCTTCATTTGCAATCATTCAGCATGTTGAGCTTGGTATGTTAATTGCATGTCATGAGGTGAGGGGGGAACGTGATGCTCGTGCCGAGTATGTTGCTTACCCCTAAATTAGTGGAAAATGCTTAAGGCTTCTGTTCAAACATTTCAACTTTATCCGAATATCTGCAAGGAACATAGCTAATGTTTCTGTATAGTCTGTGAAACTGATGGACCTGATGGCTTTTTTTTTGCTGACAAGTGAAGGCTAATACAAATTTGAAACCTCCCTTTACCAATGCATGGCTACCAGTTTCAGAATATTGACTCAGAATGGAATGATTAATGGCACTTTTCTTCCTAATTGTTACCAATGATCAGCCTCTGATCAGTGGATGAGCTAATGTCCTGGAGATTTTTTGTTAGCTAAGGCAGGTGTTGAATTTTGATGAGTATTTTTGACGAGTAGAATGGGCTAGATGTCATTAGCTAAGTTACTTTCAAGGCTGGGGTGTATGTCTAGGTGTGAATGGAGAAGATTTATGGTTAAATGATGTGGGTGCTGCCAGAATTTAGAAGCAGGTGGGTAGGATTTAGGAGAAAGGCATACAGTGGTACCTCAGTTTCGAACATCTCCGTTGACGAACGTGTCAGTTTTCGAACGCCATAAACCCATATTTTTCTGTGTATAACATGTCTCCATGTATAAGACGATCCCTATTTTTGGGGACTCAAATTTAAGAAAATGGGAGAAGTATAGTAAATGCTTCGGTTTTCAAACACGCCTCGGAAGTTGAACATGACACACGGCTTCCGTATTGAGTTTTCGGTTTTCAAACGTTTCAGAACTTGAATGGTCTTCTGGAACAGATTACGTTTGAAAACCGAGGTACCACTGTATTTAGTCATTCAAGCACAAAATAAGAATCACATGCCAAGAAAACCTGAATTATGTGACATGTATACATTATGCAAATTAAGAAAAATTGGGACTCATCCACACTGGAGTTTATTGTGGATTTGAAACTGCTTATTTATTTCCCCCTGTGTTCACGCAAGGTCCTCATTCAAGTGTCAACCCATACTTCTGCTAAATTCAGATTTTCCCAATCCGTGGATAATCCAGTAAGGGGAGAAAACCCAGTATAAAATTTCAATTTGCCCCCTTGAAAGAAAAATGAGGAGCAGCATTAAACAGCCAAAGAAAGAAGCAATGCCTCTGGAAGGTACTGGAGGATGATATGGATAATAATAAGAACACCCAACACGTTCTGATTAAGACCTTATTCAGCAATGTGGCAGCATAGTTTCCCTCGAAAGTTTGCCTTGTAAATGAGTCCACCAAACATACTAGCCTGCAAAGTTTTTTCACTAGCCTCCTGATAGTTAGCAGAGGAAGGATGGAGAGCCCTGTTGTTCCTGCAGCAGCCCACTCCCCTTCTATGCTGTGGAATGGGCAGGGGGAAGCTTGCACATCGCTTGGTTTTTATGCTGAGCACAGAGGTGGGAGGAAGCATTCCAGCCCACTCACTTGCCTGCATGATGAAAATCCTTGTTGCCCACCTGGCTACCAGGAAGCTGCCTAAATACATTTATTTATAATCTGCCCTTCACTTGAAAGTCCAGGGCTGAAATATACACAAAAATTAAACCATAATTTAAGCAATAAGATTGAAACAGTCTGGAACAAAATGCAGACTTCAGTTACAGAAAAGCTGGGAACGTCCCTTTCTGGGTCATCACCCTGTGATATTCTGTAGTGCCATAACTAAAATTTCCCAGACCACCTGAGTGATCTTCTAGGTCTATACAGTGCTAAGCAGCACTTTGGGCAACCCAGCCCCATGGGGACCTGGCTAGCCAGTGTGGAAAGTAACAAGCTGGACTAGGTCTTTGGTTTTACCTAGCAGGGCTTTTATGTTCTTCTACATCAAGAATATGGAGGTGTTCCACAGGCTTCTTCAAAAAGCTGAGTTTTAAAGGGGCTTGAAAGAGGTAAAGGAGGTGGCTGCACGAAGGCATTCTGGGAGGCAGTTTTAGATCTAAAAGCAGCAAGGACAAAAGATCGGGAGTCATTTGAGGGGGAAAGAGACTTTTGAGTGGCTGAAGGTCATGGGGAGAAGAGGCAGGTGGGTTTAAAGGTAAGGATGAGATGCTTGTTCAGGATTTTTGAGTGGACCGAAGAGTAGTGTAGGGATTTAAAGAGGGGCATCACATGGTCAGAGCCACAAGAAAGATGAATAAGAATACCAAGTTAGACAACTTATCCTGAGCTTGGTTGCATCTAGAAAGTAATGTTAGACTTTTAAAATTTGGGCAACTTCCTGTAGTCAGAGATAAAGGAGAGGCTCTCTGCTTTTTTAGTTGGGTGGTGTTCTTTCTGTGACTTTTGATGGATATTGCTATTGGCTGTGCTGATTATTGTAGAGACTCTCCAGGCCCCATGGAAGATAGCATAAAACTACCCTGTATTGCATTATCTTTGTCCTCCATCTAACCCTGAACTGGCAGTTTGGGCTGATGGAAGCTCTCCAGAGACTTCCACCTTCCTTTAGTGCCTGAGATCCTTTGGTTGGGCACACGGAAGGATGAGCCCTGATCCTTTAAGTGCAAGGGAGCATTTAAGCAAGACGGAGAAGCAGGGAGAACTCCCTTTAATACGTTAGGTTAAAAATGCTTTTAAAAAGTGAAATTGGAGAGCCTCGTGATATATTCTTTGTCAGATATCTTGTTTCTCCCTTCGATGTAGATAACACTTGTCAACAGCACAAACCATCCTTCTTCTCAGCCACGCTGAGCGTGTTTGTGCATGCATACTTAGACACTGGTTTATTACTCTGCACTTGATTATTTGTGGCTGAATGTGTGAACTGGCTCCATAGAAATTTTGCCTCGTTTTCTGAGGTGATGTGCAAATTCTGTCTGTTAAATAGGGCTAGTTCAGACATGCATGCTCATCACTTGCTCCAATTATTATGTGTGAACGGAGTGTGACGTATTTCTTTAGATGAGTTTCAGTGAATGAATGCTTCACTAACTGTGTTGGATTTGTTACATCCTAGTTCTGCCCAAAAGAACTGAGAACAGGTGTGAATTTTGTTTTCAGCCCTTTCCCTACTGTAGCTGTTACAGCAGGTTAAGAGTGTAGATATGTGTGGTTAAGCAGGGAACGGCAGCTTTATTTGCCTCGTCCTTTTTATTTTTCTTTTGGGATGTAATTCAGCACTGCGCCGTCTGTTACAGATGCACTGGAGGCCAGTTATGGTTTTTATAACCACTTTTGTGACTAAATCTGTTATGGGAAATTAATTTAGAAGTTAGACAATTTGTGTTCCCTTTTCTGACGGAAACCTCTGTTTAATTGGTTGGTGGCTTTTAAGGCTGCCCTAATAGAGATTGAATTTAATAGTAGGTTTTTCCCTTCTGCTGTTGTTTTCACAAGTGAGTTACAGGGGAGAAGCTCAATGGCTTTTCTAGACAAGTAACTACATAAGTATGAAAACTCGCACAGTGTCCTAAACAGAATGCTAGACTTGGACCGGGGAGACCTGCATTCAGATCTTCTGAAACACTCTAGGGAACTTCTGAGACATTCATTGTATCTCAACCTAGACTACCTCTTGTTAAAACGAGACAGCACCCATGTACACTTGTGCTTCTTGGAGGAAGAGTGGTATACAAATGTGGTATGTTTTTAAAAAAACCTCTGTCAGAAGCGAGCTAGCAGGAAATCACACTGTTGCTGCTGCCAGTGCTGGGCCCGGTGGCAGCGTTGGCCTGGATCTGCAAGGCGTGGGGTGAAATCCTAGCCGAGTATGGTCATCTGGTGCTGTTGACTTGCATCTAGTCAGTAACTAAGTGCCTACTCAGAAGACAGCCACACTGAGTTCAGTGGGCCTTACTCCCAGGTAAGGGTGTGTGGAGCTACAGTGTTTTATCTAGGCAGCCAGGGCTCCTCTGGATGACAAGATCTTTTTGCACCAGGTCAGTGAGGACCACTTGCTTTTTAAAATTCTCCCATATATACAAAACTCCCTGTGTGTCTTTTGGACTGTATCTGTAGATTTCCCCCTCTGTGTCAAATATCTGGGGTCAAATAAGTGTTGTTTACTTTTTATAATACATGGAGGATGGATCTGCCTTGGGAGGTTCTTAACTCTCTAAATGAAGGGGCTGGGGATTGGATTTGGGTCCTTCTACATGCAAGGCATGTACAGTGTCATTGGACCATGTTCCCCATTGTGCAGTCTGGTAATGGAAATATTCTTTGGTTAATTTGAGCTTAACTGTCCTGGGAAAACAATGCCAGAATCTCATTGAAACTCTTTTCACTGAACGGTGTCCCAAGTTGCATCTTCATTGATCCCGCATGTGGAATGGCTTCCTGTTTCCCAAGGCAATCCTGACGGGCACTTTCTTCCCTCCCTTTCAGGCATGGTTCTTGTGCGTAGCGAGAATGGCCAGCTACTGATGATCCCTCAACAAGCTTTGGCGCAAATGCAGGCCCATGCGCAGTCCCAGCCTCAAACCACCATGACTCCTCGCCCTGCCACCCCTACCAGTGCTTCTCCGGTCCAGATCTCGACTGTGCAGGTCAGTTCACTGAGAAACGTAAGTAAAATAAAATCTTAAATTTCCTTACATTTGAGGGTATCCAAGCTGCCTGCCTCCAGGTGTTTTCCATTGACATGCCCTGCGTTGTATTCTGCGTGCCTGCAAAGTATGTCTGCGCTGACTCTAGGTGCCAGGATTCTCAGTCCACTGAGAGACCCACATTTACCCACCAGCCTTCCAGTGAAGCTTTTATTCCCGAAAACAAGCAGCTCCTAGTTATATCCTTTGCAAGTGCTTCCCATCCTAGAGCTTCACCCGCTGTGTTAAAAGCGGTCCAGGTTTCCCTGAATCTCGAATTTCATAGCTGAAGCGAATGATCCAAATGTGGCAAATTTGCAAGGATTTGCTTAACATGCATACATAATATTGTTTGCATAGCTCGGTATCGCATTCGGCTTTTCATACTGTGAGCCAGTCGTAAAGGAAAGGGGAAAGAGTGTGTATCTGGAGACATGCATTTCCTGGCTGATAGTCGTGTCATGAAAACTCCCAGCGCCTTACGAGTGGAATTCCTGTCCAGAACTTTGTTTACGGCAAACACTTTCACTATGTAGAACCCTAAAGACTAGCAATGTTGCTTTCCTTCTTTATTTGTTTGCAAATTAAATCTGAGGCCTACTGCAGACTTTGTGCTTGGATAGTGACCCACTTTTCTGTAGTTAGATGGAGATCAGTTTGTTAATTTCATCCTCCGAATCACTCCTTTAAAAAAAATAATGTGGAAGTTAATGGTCTGAACATGAAATGTGCATGAATATAATTGGCTACTGTGGTCAGAAGCAAGCATGAGACTTCAGGACTCCGACTGAGGCCGATGCTAGATGCTTCATGGGTGGTGCATGCAACTGTGTTATCAATGTGCTTTCTTTTGTTTGGTTTTCAAACAAAAAGAAAAGGCCGTAGGAAGTTGCATTTGGAAGTGGATGAATGGTAGAGAGGTGCTTGACCCTCTCCCCTCCACTGTGCTTTTTGCTCAGAATTGCCCCCTAGGTTAAGGCTACCAGATTTTTTTCAATGAATCTGGGGGCCCTTTAATTAATTAATTAATTAATTACTACTCGTTCTGGATGTTGATGCTGCAGCGACGGCAGTGACAGAGGGGCAGCCGTCGCCTTGACCTCAACCGCCACGTTTCCCCTTCCTCCGAGGCTTCTATCTCCTTTCTCCATGAGCCTGGGCAGCCCCTGAGTTGTTGGTTCTTCGGTGGTGGTGGTGGGGAAGCGGTGCGGGGTGGGTCAGGCATGGAAGGTGGAGAAGGAGGGCTGAGAGCAGCAGCTGCGGCGGTGGCGAGGCTTGGGCAGTCCGATGCCTCCCTTCCCATCGGAGCAGCCCCATCCCCATTCCTACTTGCGTGCAAGCAGGAGGGGGCGGGGATCCCTCAGCGGGGAAGCGAGGCTTCACACTGCCTTTCGGAGCAGCCCCATCCCAACTCCTACTTGCCAGCGTGATGCTTCCCTTCCCATCGGAGCCGCCCCAATCCCCTTCCTACTTGCATGCAAGCAGGAGGGGGCAGGGATCCCTCAGCTGGGAAGGGAGGCTTTCCTTTGCCTAACTGAGAGATCTCTACCCCCTCCTGTGAAGCCTGCCTTCACAGCTCAGAGATCCCCGCCCTGCTCCTTCTTGCACGCAAGTAGGAGTTGGGAGGCTGCTCTGATAGGCAGCATGAAGCCTCCCTTCACAGCATCTTCACCGATCAGAGGTTTATCTTTTCTCTGTGCTGTATTCAGTGCTTCTGTAAGATTTTGTTTTTATTGTTTTGTAAGCAGCTCTGGGAATGCTAGCTGTGATATAAATTACAAAAATAAGCAGCCCTACCTGCTGCCTCCCACAGCTGCCTGTAAAAGAAAACAAAAACCCATTGGTGATTCTTAGCTTGGCTCTGAGCTTTAGGATTTTGTGCCGGGTGCCACATGGGGTATTCTGAGGCAAGCTGAAACCCCTGGCCTGAGTTGAGTGTTGCATGATTTCTGTTCACCTCTGGTTTTTTAAAATCCAGATTATGTGCTAGCAAACTCACATTCCTCAATTAACCTGCTCTTGATTGTAGAGGTGTGCTTGCCTTAATTTCCATTTTTACAATCCACTCCATTTGCAGTATTTAAAAGTCTGGGTGTTTGGCCATAATTAAGGATATTGGATATGTGGCCATAGTTTAGGGATGGGTAGATAGGAACTTGAAGTTGAAGCAAGGATGGGGAGGTGGGGCTACTTTAAGGATCTGAAAGTCTGGATTTGGATAATTAATCATCTCATGTTTTCTGATTCTACCTCAACTAGTTAATAGCTATTAGAGCAATGCTGATTTAGTCTTAGAGCCGTAACATTTTTATGCAAATTCAGACAAGTGAATTATAACCATGTGATTTTTTAGTTTATTTTTTAAAAATAATAAATTAATACATTGCAGCTTCAAATATTAGGATTAATGGAGGATTTTATCCAACAGAAAATCAGCCTTTATCTCAAGGTTTTTTATTAGAGGCTTGGAGACCTGACATATTGCTTTTGGAATTTTAATAATAAAATAGCCTAATTAATAATGCCAGTTATCAAGTTCAGACTTCTCTGCAGTTACATCCTGTACTCTTTTAATCTTCACAGTAACTTTTGATGAAGATGTAACTTGCCATATCAATGTTGGGATCAAGATAGTAAGAGAAGCCCTGTGACTTTTCTGTGATTCTAGTCCTATAGCCCACAGAATCATGTAGAACATTGTCCAAAACTGGTTTGAAGTCCATATCATGATACTGGTTGTGTGTGTGTGTGTGTGTGTGTGTGCATTCATACTCGTGTGCTATGCAGAAATCACAATGTGGGGAAAACCATGAAGCCAGTCAATGCCTTTACATAGCTCCATCCTTATTTCAGACATTGTGATATATATGATGATTAGCTGGTGGTATAGCACAATGTTGAAAACCAGATATCATCCAGCCCTAGTGGGTTATAAACCTGTTGGTTTAAAAAAACAAACAAACAGAAAACCATGAAAAATCTAGATTAGATCCAAAGTTATGAAGATGTGCAGTTGAAACAACTCAAAGCTATAACTATTCAGGACTAAGTACTGGGTGTGGATTTGCTTTAAAGGATGCGGAACTGAAGAAAGTGCTGGGACTTAAAATTTCAGCCCAGCTTACCTTAGGTTGGATTCTAGGTTAAACTGGGCATGTTATCTATTTATATGTGGCTACTTCTCTGTGAACTTACCTGGGATTCTTTTTTGCAGGCTCCTGGAACGCCTATCATTGCGCGGCAGGTGGCTCCAACCACTATAATCAAGCAAGTGTCTCAGGCACAGACAACTGTACAGCCCACGACAACGCTACAGCGGCCCCCTGTAGTTCAGGTAAAGTTGCCAACATACGTTTGACGGCTAATCCTAAAACAGAACATTGGCTGAGACCCAGGGTGCTGTTTGGGTGCCGTTCATTTATATGAGAATAGATGATGGAGATGTAAAACTAAGTCACACTGGGGCCAGTGGGGCATTCTCCCAAGTAGGTGAGTGGACTCCATCAAACACGGTGGAGTTTACGTGTAGCTTGTAAAGGAAGAGTAAGTACAATAATAAGTGCAAACAGAAATTACTGAATAGTCCAGCCCTTACTGAGGTTTAAAAAGCTGGTGCATTCAAATGATAAAGTGTCTTAATTCAGAAGAGGTGTGGACTTTCTGCAGGAGCTGCACAACTATAGCATCGCTGAAGATTCTTTACACCTCTGAAATTATGTTACAGGTGGCCCAGATTAGTACTTGTGGATAGTTATTGCAGCTACTTTAGACTTTTGGGAGTCAGCGGATAGGTGGAACCAGCAAAGAGTTTCTCTTTCAGTGACTACGCTTCTAAACATTTTCCCCTGATAACAGCTTTTAACTGTGCAATTTTTTCAGTGTGTTTTGATTTGCACCGATTCTTCCTTGGCATATGTTGACTGTGTGACTGATGTGGGATGCAAACCATAGTCTCTCCCCCCCCCCCCAAGATTTTACCCTCATGCTTGTTCTGTCTGCATGCACAGTGCCCTTATAATAATTGGGAGTGATTATTAAGAAGCAGAAGCAAAATAGATTTATTTTGCTGCACCACAAGGTCTGTAGCCCGTTTCATAGGTCCTGTGTTCTGCCGCCTTCTACCTTTTGCACCAAAAACACATGCTTTGTTTAATCAACTTCCAGTGTCTTGAATTCTGAATCCATAGGGCTTTGTGCCACCTGGTGGTTGTTTCATTTAACTGCTCAGACGGGTGGCCAGAGCAAATCTCTCTCTTTTTTGGAGCCTGTTTTAACATCACTGTAAGGAGGATATTGCGTCTGATAAAATGCATCCTCCCTTCATTTGCAGCTCTGTATAATTGTCTGATATCTGTGTATCTTTGCAGCCTCAGATTGTTCTGGGTAATCCTGCACAAACGACAGCATTAGGAACAGCAACTGCTGTGCAGACTGGAACGTCTCAAAGGGCGGTGCAAGCAGCCGCAATAGCCTCAGCTGCGGCCACAGTAAGCTCCCAATGACTGTTTGTTGCAAGTCAAAAGCCAAATCTTGCCAGCTTCCAAGAGAGGAACCCATTAACTTACCACCAAGTGTTCAGTGTAGGGCATACTGACTACTTTGCTGGCACAGTATTGACACTCCAGTTTGTACCTTATGGGTATGAAACTGCTAAGTGAGGCAAATGTGCTGTGATCGTGTAAATGTTTGTGGGAATTATGGTAAACTTTACTGTGCCACACACATGCTGTAAAACAAAATAAGTACAAGTTCTGCACCAAAATAACCTAATTTCTGTGTTGGGGACAGCTGGATTAAATGATATAAGCAATTTGCTTATTTTGATCTTACTTTGCACAATTTATTCTACTCCTAGTGGTGATGGGAGAGGCAAAGAACTGGGCAGGACACTGAAATCGCTCAGCTTCTCCTTCTAGCTTCTAAGATTCAACAGGCATTGCCCCATAAGCTATGAAACATATTTGTAGTAACAAGGGCCATAAACTTTCTTTAAGACAAAAACAAGGAAGCCAGGATCCTTGAGAATCTGGCATGTTTCCATTATCACATCATGTGTTTTTTATGCATGGGCACAGAATAGCCACACCCCTGGCCAAATACAATTTGAATGGCAGTGTTGCCAATCGATAGGGTTGAAAGGGATTCTGTAGTGTTCAGATTGAATTCAAATACATTTTTTTTTTTTTAAACCCCTCTCCCTTCTCACTTTCTTTTCTATCTTTCCCTCCAATAGGAAACCATGGAAAATGTGAAGAAATGCAAGAATTTTCTCTCCACGCTAATAAAACTGGCCTCTTCTGGAAAGCAGTCTTCCGAGACTGCCGCTAATGTGAAAGAACTAGTTCAGCACCTGCTGGTAAGACAGACACCGGTTTAGTTCAGATCCTCATCTGAAACATAGCTTGGCTGACTGAGAATGAGTCTCTCCCCTCTCCTTTGCCTTTGCATATAAGAGAAAGAGAACGAAAGCTTCTGATTTAAAATAAACCACAGTTCACATGTTGTCTAAAACCCAAGGAACAGTGGTTTGTTCTAACTAAAATCAGTTAATAAGTCAGGATCTGAAACCATAGTTTAATCATTTGTTTTTAACAACTTCGCTTGGAACGAACCACTGTTCCTTGAGTTGAGTTGCAGCACAGAACCACAATTTGTTCTAAAGCAAAACTTCCACTTCCCTCCTTGCATGTATGAAGGAGAAGATGGGGATGGAGGCCTTGGGAGCATGAGTCTTGCCATATCTCATCTCCAGTCCACTGGATTGTCTGAACCAGGCCACAAACATACGGTTATGAAACATATTTTGAAAATAAGAGGGTAAAATGTTGACTTTCAATACTGTTAGGCGAAACAAAGATTTGAGAAGCAGTAGACATAACAAGATACTTTTCATGCGTTTACTCCTTTTGCTTAAGAAGAAAAGGGTTAATCCTTTTAGAAGCATAGCATACAAGCACAGAATTGTAGAGTTGAAAGGGACTGTGAGAGTCATCTAGTCCAACCCCTTGTGATGTAAGAATCTTTTAGCCCAATGTAGGGCTTAAAGCCATGACCCTGAGATTAAGAGTCTCATACTCTACCGAAACTTGGATGCTGACGTACTCCCAACTCATCCTTGACTATTTGCCATGCTGGCAGGGTCTGATCAGAGTTGGGAGTTCAGCAACACCTGAGGACCACAGGTTAGCTACCCTTGTTGTACTACCCAAAGAGCAAATTCTGAAGTAATGTACAAGGTGTTATGGATGTGACTCAGAACATCTATTTTTAGATATAAGGCCAATGAGCAGGGAAAGCTACAGAGAAGCAACCTGCTTCTCCACAGCAACCTGACATAATTTTCCAGCGTCTTATTGCTATCCATTCATTTAAAACGTCATCTTTTTTTAAGGTGAATTAAGGAAGTAATTTCAAAACATTAAAAAGATTGACTGCTTAAAATGAAAATATGGGAATTTTCCTCCCCACCCCAACTTTTTTTTTTATTACAACAGTCACATGTGTATGAATTAACAAAACTTAGGCAAGATATACCCTAACAAGACAGAGTTCATTCATGTGAAATGAAAACCATAGAAGGCTTCAGTCATATGGATGTTCTCATTGCTCTCCAGTACTGAAAAACCACAGTATTGAAAAAGCAGAGAAATCAAAAACAATCCAGTCAAAATAACAGCTTTACCATTTGATGTAAACATACACTTCTTTGCGACTTTTTGAAATGATTAGCATTCTGCTTATGAGCATAGAAAATAAGAGCAGGTCAAGTGTATTTAAAAATGTATTTAAACTGAACTTGCTAGCAGATGTGTTATTTGTATTTTTATGTTGGATGAATATGTAGCATTCTTCTTGCAAAATGCCTTAAATAAATTTACCCAGTTAAGTGCAGTGGTACCTTGGTTGTCAATCTTAATCCATTCTGGGAGTCCGTTTGACTCCTTGGTTCAGAAACCAAGGTGTGGCTTCTGATTGGCTGCAGGAGCTTCCTGCACTCAACTGGAAGCCGCATTGGATGTTAAGCTTCCCAAAAACGTTTACAAACTGGAGCACTCACTTCCAGGTTTGCAGCGTTCGGGACCCAAAATGTCCGAGTACCAAGGCATTTGGCAACCAAGGTACAACTGTATCTTGTTAAGAAGATATGTTCTTCTTACACGTTTAAATGGTTGAGGGCTTAATATATGGATTTCATTATCTGGAAAATCTGAATCTGAATTTTATTCTTCAGGATGGAAAAATTGAAGCAGAAGATTTCACCAGCAGACTGTACCGGGAACTTAATTCTTCACCTCAACCTTACCTTGTGCCTTTCTTGAAGGTAACAACCTCTCTTCATTCTAGTTTCATCACTTGGCAGCCTCTTGCCCTTCTCAGTAAAGAAGTGGGAAACACTATTAAAAATTGGTACCAAATAAAAGTAGTAAAGATGGCTGACTACAAGAACAAAAAAATCTCTTTCTGTTCCTTCATAAAAGGAATCACAGGGGAATTTTCTTGATGTAAAAACTATAGCGTGCCGCTGTGACAATATTCTGTATGCAGAATATTGAATTACTGTGTTCACACAATCACTGCTGGAAATCTGGTAGACCTGGTGAGATGGTGTGTGATCCTGGGTATACACATGCATTCTTGCTCTCAGCATCCCTTCCTCCTAAAAAAGGTGTATATGGAGGAACTATAGGAATTTAACATGTGTGAATCCCAAGTCATGTTGTATTGTGTGTGCAAGGTGTATGCAAACGTGCATTTTCAAGCTTGATATTATATCACTTGTTCTGATTTCCAACTAGCAATTATTGTGAAAAGCCCTGGGTATGTTGTGAACCGCCCTGGGCTCTGCGGATGAATGGCAGTATACAAATTTTAACAACAACAACAACAACAACAACAATAATAATAATAATAATAATAGGAAGAATAAGAATTCTATGAGCCAGTTCCATTGGTTAACTATTAGCCAGCTCCATACTGTTGGCAACCAAGGGTACAAATAAAATATTATTATTATTATTATTAATAATGCAGTATACTCTGCGTTTTTGTTTGGTTCCTGCTGATAATGTGGTAAAATCCACAGTATTTCCAGTCCGTCTTAGGGGATCTGCACAGAAATGTCAGATTTTGCACTCATGAGGCACTCCTTGTCTCAGACGTCAGTGCTTTGAGCATTCCTGTCAAGCCTGTGCAGTCAAGAGTTGCAGACTGTAGATTTTATTTCCTCTTCAAGGATGGGCTTTTCCCTGCTTTGAGGCAGATTCCCAAGTACTATTTTCATCCCAGGGTATTAAGAGGTACGCACAACTCGTAAGTTGCCTTTAGCGCTTCTCACGCTGCACAGGCATCTTTACAACAACTCTGCAAGATGGGTCAGTATTAATACCCCCACTTGCCCCTGCAAATGGGGGCGTCACTGTGGTCAATTCAGTAATTGAAATGAATTGGAAGGCAAAGCCGGCACAGTTTTGGGCTATTGATTTGCCCCTCTTGTGAAATATTGTAGCCAGGTTGTTCGCTCGGCTGGAGTATAGAGTTTACTGTTCCACAGAGAAAGTTTGTCTCCTTTGGACAAGTAAGTGTTACAAATACAACCTGGAGTGTCTGGAGGCGGTGGGAGGATGGATGGCGGCTAACAGATTGAGGTTGAATCCTGACAAGACAGAAGTACTGTTTTGGGGGGACAGGAGGCGGGCACGTGTGGAAGACTCTATGGTCTGAATGGGGTAACTGTACCCCTGAAGGACCAGGTGCGCAGCCTGGGAGTCATTCTAGACTCACAGTTGTCCATGGAGGCACAGGTCAATTCTGTGTCCAGGGCAGCTGTTTATCAGCTCCATCTGGTACGCAGGCTGAGACCCTACCTGCCCGTGGACTGTCTCACCAGGGTGGTGCATGCTCTAGTTATCTCTCGCTTGGACTACTGCAATGCACTCTACGTGGGGCTACCTTTGAAGGTGACCCAGAAACTACAATTAATCCAGAATGCGGCAGCTAGACTGGTGACTGGGAGGGGCCGCCGAGACCATATAACACTGGTCTTGAAAGACCTACACTGGCTCCCAGTACGTTTCCGAGCACAATTCAAAGTGTTGGTGCTGACCTTTAAAGCCCTAAATGGCCTCGGTCCAGTATACCTGAAGGAGTGTCTCCACCTCCATTGTTCTGCCCGGACACTGAGGTCCAGCGCCGAGGGCCTTCTGGCGGTTCCCTCGCTGCGAGAAGCCAAGTTACAGGAAACCAGGCAGAGGGCCTTCTCGGTAGTGGCGCCCGCCCTGTGGAACGCCCTCCCACCAGATGTCAAATAACTACCAAACTTTTAGAAGACATGTAAAGGCAACCCTGTTTAGGGAAGCTTTTAATGTTTAATAGGTTATTGCATTTTAGTGTTTTGTTGGAAGCCACCCAGAGTGGCTGGGGGAACCAAGCCAGATGGGCGGGGTATAAATAATAAATTATTATTATTATTATTATTATTATTATTATTAACCTAAGATTCCTTGTTTGATAGGGATTTTTATCTCTGGATGGCAAGGCTTAAGATAACTTCTGATTCTTGACTGTGTTCCTTGTCTAACAGTATGCTACATGGGGGTGTCACTCACCACAAACTACTGCGCATTTCCGATGCCTCTAGGGATAACTGAAACTTGATGCTATTTTTTGGGGTGTGGGTGTGTGTAAGCATTAGCTTACACACAGAGCAGTGTGACGTCACTTCCTCTTTTGTTCCCGTAGCGGAGCTTACCTGCCTTGAGACAGCTGACTCCAGATTCGGCGGCTTTCATTCAGCAAAGCCAGCAGCAGCAGCCCACGACGCAGCCCACGACGGCCCTGACAGCGGTGATGCTGAGCGGCTCAGTTCAGCGTACAGCAGGAAAGACCCCTGCCACCGTCACAAGTACCTTGCAGCAGCCCGTCATCAGCCTAACGCAGCCGACGCAAGTTGGGGTTGGCAAACAAGGGCAGCCCACGCAGGTGGTGTGTAAACCAAAATGAATCAATCCTACACTTTACCTCCCAGAAAACTGAATCCTTTCCTTCCTAACACCAGTCAGTAATGGGCATAAACTGAACATAAAACCAGATATCTTGTCGATATTTCATGCATGTTTATCAGTAGGTACAAATGTGTGTTGCTCTGTAGTCAATGGTCTCCTTTTCCTTCCTCTCAGGAAAAGCATATTCAGGAGGTGGGCATGTAAAGCATGTGTGCTTAACCCTCTCCCTACCCATTTTTCTGCTCCAAATTGCTCCCAGCTGGATTTCAGCTGCAGGGAAAAATAGCTTTGGTGTGGAGGGAGGGGGGGCGAGAGCAATTCAGAATGGAAAAGCTGTAGATGTAGAAAGAGTCAGTGATTTCCACCCCGCCCCCCCCAAGCTGTTTCTCTGCTTCACATTCCCTTTACCCATACCTCCTTTTCCTTGATAAAGAAAAAGCTCTATCAAGGATATATTACAAACTTTTGTGCAGTGGCCCTGAGCTGCCTGACACAACTTCTATCCTTACCCTAGCAATCGCTGTATGTTGTTGCTATCGCAGCCTTTCTGAAAACAAAGATTTTATTGGCAGTAGGTACAGGAGAAATTAAAGGGAGGTACTGATTCGCATAGGCCAAAAGCAACTTCTTGGATTCATTTCTGCAAGATAGCCAGTAGCAGCAGGCAGCTTTTAAAAGTTCATGGAGAAAAGTTCTTCAAACTACAACAGTTAAAACTTGCATGTTCAGAATCAGCATACAAATGATTTGCCAGAGGCTAGGGGCAAGCAGTAGGGGATAGCCATATCCATTGTACCATGATTGCAAGGTTCCTAGGAGCATTAGGCTGGCTACTGATAAGAGACCAAACAGCGCACCAAATGAATGGCAAGGCAGCTGTTGCGTATGTGCATTGATAACCTCTCCGAAAGAGGTTCTGTAAATGACAGTATTCTTTAGTTTGATTTTGCTAGTGTCTAATGATTCAAACCTGTATTGGATTTGACTACCCGCACTTGCCTGTCAGCATTCCTGCTCTTAGTTACTTGAAGAACTAAGCTGTTTCTCTTCCTGTACTTGCAGCTGTGAGGATGGGCTATTGTTAAACCCACTGCTCCTGTACTGCAGGGGAATGGGGCTTTATGGCAAGATACACTCATGATCCACAAGGTGTATCTAAATTATGCATTAAATGGGGAGAGGCTTCTGACAACCTTGTATCCCAAAGTCTGACAGAGCAACATCACCCACTAAAAATGGAATGGTTTTCATTCTTGAATAACTTTGGATAGGGCTGTAGTGTTTGTATAAAACAAGGGGCCACTCCAGGGCTGCATAAAACAAATATTTTATCGTGCATCTCTAGACCCTATTAGGTTGATGTGGAAAATACCCTTTTCACATATGGCCTGCTTTAATTTGAGAGACTAGCGGCATGGTTAAAGGCAGTACTATTTTTCTAGAAGAGGAGGTGCCAGAACTTACCATTAATGTCTTCCATGTTCTCTTATAATGGCAATGGCACCCACCTGAGAGGTACTGGAATTGAGTACCAGTGAGTTCCTGCTGAAAAAAAAGCCCTGCTTAAAGGGTTCCAAAAGCTGTCAGTTGAATTGGCATTCTTAGTCAACTGCAACTACTCTCAAACTTTTTATTCATTTCTTACGTTTCTCTGCCACCTTTTCCTCCAAGGAGCTCAAGGTCAGTGTTCGAAACTCCTATTGTTCTAGGCTCATTTTGCGACAGGGAATTTAATTAACACGAGCAGTTTCTGAGTTCTGGGTGCAGTACTGCGCCTAAGATTTCAGATTAAAACTGCGGAGTGGAAGGAAAGGACCCTTTTCTGCCTCCCCGCTTCCAGCTAATATCTGAAGGCTGGAGAAGGGACCCTCTTAAGAATATTAGGGGGGTGGGCAGGGAAAGGAAAGGATGAGGCCATGTGAAAAATGGACATAATATTTTAGCTGCAATTCATTCATTTCCAGCTTTGTATTCATGTTATTAAAAAAGTGCACCTAGGCTTTCTTGTTCTTAGCCGGTTTATTGAAACGAATGTCTCTTCAAATGTTTTCAGGTTATTCAGCAGTCTCAAAAGCCAGGCACGTTGATCAGGCCACCACAGGTGACATTGACACAGACCCCTATGGTAGCCTTGCGGCCACCGCACAACCGTATTATGCTTACTGCTCCTCAACAAATTCAGCTAAACCCACTTCAGACAGGTAAGAGAGAAGCATTCTTGTTATTTATTATAATGAGATTTTTTTTAATTTAAAAAACCAGCCATCTGATGCTGTGTCATAACATTGCACTTGGAAAATAATGTTTTCAATCACGGGCCCCCTTAAAGGTACGTGATTGTTTTGGAGAAGTTTTTTTTTATCGGATTCTTGAAAGTCAGAAAACCTGCACAGGAAATATACATTCTTTCTGAGCCAGCATCTCAGGTAGCAGATTTATCAGGTCATGGGGCAGGACTATGCTTAACTCCCTCTCCTCTTAATTCTGCTTCAGGTAAAGACTTTGCACCATTCTGCTGGTTTTGGTGTGTTTGTGTGGATTCTGAATTACAGAGCATTTTTCTTGATTTCCTTTCCTTGCAGTCCCTGTGGTAAAACAGACAGTATTACCTGGAACCAAAGCTCTTTCTACACTTTCAACTCAAGCAGCTGCTGCTCAAAAAAACAAACTCAAAGAACCTGGGGGAGGTTCTTTTAGGTAAGTAATCCTGTGCATTAGTGCAAAGAGATTTGCAGGAGGGGGGTAGAATCCTGGAAATGACACCTGTCCCTACGACAGATACTTTGTATTTGTGTGTGTGTTTTGGTTATGCTTTATGTTGCTTTCTCAGTAGCTGCAGATTTGCAGCACCCAGGGAATAAATACTGATCTTTTAAATAGCTTCTTATCTGGATTAGCAAATATAGTAGGCTCATTCTGTCTTCCATGCTGAATTGCATTTCTGTATTTATTATACTGCCCAGTGTCTCTCAAATCTTTCTGGAATCCAGGCAGGCGGACCCCTGTGCAACTTCTGAATGCTTCCCTCTATATCAGGGGTCAGCAAACTCTTTCAGCAGGGGGCTGGTCCACTGTCCCTCAGACCATGTGGGGGGCCGGACTATATTTTGGGGGGGAAAATGAAAGAATTTCTGTGCCCCACAAATAACCCAGAGATGCATTTTAAATAAAAGGACACATTCTACTCATGTGAAAACACCAGGCAGGCCCCACAAATAACCCAGAGATGCATTTTAAATAAAAGGACACATTCTACTCATGTAAAAACATGCTAATTCCTGGACCATCCGTGGTCCGGATTTAGAAGGCGATTGGGCAGGATCTGGCCCCCGGGCCTTAGTTTGCCTACCTATACCCTATATGCCTCCCCATGTTTGATAGGTTAAAGCACAGAGATCCTCATGTGTAGACACCTTCTGGCAGCCTACTTTGATGGACCAGGCTCTGTCAATTTGAGCAAAGGGGTTCAAAGAATGCTGGATCAGGACCTCTTGGTTTCTCCTTTCTTACATCTCCTCCCACTTCTGTGAGGCAGCAGTGAAGGGGGAAATCCTGGGAAGAACCTATTCTCTGGTGGGGGAGCAACGTATCCTGCCAACATACCTTTTAAAAAAGAGAAGGAGAGATGGAATGGTCTGAAAGCCCTTCCTGATTTTAGGGGCAACAAAGAGAGAAGAAATCCCAAGCGAGAGGGGAACCAATGAAGCATTCTTCTTTTCCACTTCTCCATCTCAATACACCACTAATTTTCCCTCCCCACAGATATTAGGGGTGATGGAAGTGGTCTTCAGTTTCTACCAGGTGGCTTAAGTATGAGAGGGAATAGAGGAGCCCCTATCTTAAGTCTCCCATGAAAAGGTAGACTTACATGCATTGGGTATAAAATGCACAGCTGGAACCAGGGAGCAGCACATCTTGCTTATTCTTCTTTCCTGTGGGAAGGAAAGGGCAGTAGTACCAGCATACAGGAAGCTAGGCTTGACCTGGATATCCTTTATATTTTATTTTGTTGCTGGGCAACAGCACCCCCTGCTGGACCAGGAGAAGTCAATGAGCTGAACCACCCCATCTCTTCCTCCTTGATTCCTGACCCCCAGTCTGTTATACCGTTCCTTCTTCCAACTGTCTCATTCCCTCTGCCCTACAGTTTGAGAACGGCTAATCTAGCCTGTGGATGCTGAGCTCTGTCACCTTCTGTCAGTGTCCACATAACATTCATGTTGTGGTTGTGGTTGTTTAGTTGATTAGTTGTGTCCGACTCTGCATGTCTCCATGGACCAGAGCACGCCAGGCACTCCTGTCTTCCACTGCCTCCTGGAGTTTTGTCAAACTCACGTTGGTTGCTTTTGTAACACTATCCAGCCATCTTGTCCTCTGTCGTCCCCTTCTCCTTGTGCCCTCCATCTTTCCCAACATCAGGGTTTTATCCAGGGAGTCTTCTCTTCTCATGAGGTGGCCAAAGTATTGGAGCCTCAGCTTCAGGATCTGTCCTTCCAGTGAGCACTCAGGGTTGATTTCCTTCAGAATGGATAGGTTTGATCTTTTTGCAGTCCATAGGACTCTCAAGAGTCTCCTCCAGCACCATAATTCAAAAGCATCAATTCTTCAGCGATCAGCCTTTGTGGTAACAATCATGTTGCCAGATCCCAAAACAATAGAGTTTATGAACCGTGTGCAAAAAGCAATAGATGCTCTTCAGTGAATTATTTTTTTGAATCCCAATAATTCATGTAACCCATGACTCACTCCTTTTACTCTAGCAGGATGCGTTAGAGGAAAAGTGATGCTATTCTTGTTGGCTTATAGGAAGAAGAAAAATTCAAAATCTCTGCATTTAGGGCAATACCTTTATTAGGCCAAACTGTTATAAAATAGCGTGCAAGCTTGCAAGTCCGGCATTCTTCATTGAGCTAGATCAGGGGTCTGCAACCCGCGGCTCTGGAGCCGCATGTGGCTCTTTTACACCTTTGCCGCGGCTCCGGGGCGGATACTAGCGAGGGGAGGAGGTGCATTGTGCGCCCTGACACTCCCCACTGTGGCGGGCGCTGTACTGGCTGTGACGTCGCATGGGGGCGGTGCGTGTGTTAGTCACGCACCGTCCCGACGTCACCTTCCCGCCCGCCCGCTACATTGTAAGGGGCATGTACGCTGGTCACTGTTTTGAAGGGGAGTGAAGAACACACACACACAAAAAGGTAACTTGTTAATTTAACATTTATTTCTATGAGGAGGAGTAATTCTGAGGGGTCAAACAAAGAAATAATAAAAAAGTGACAAAAAAGTTATTTTTATAATAACGAGTTTTGCGGCTCCCAGGTTTTTTTCCTTCGGAAACGGGTCCATGTGGCTCTTTTTGTCTTAAAGGTTGCAGACCCCTGGGCTAGATGGTAAAGAAGGGAGAGGGAAAATAGTTAGCTGCTAATAAAGCTGATACTATACCTTGTCTCAAAGTGGAGTGTGAGGGAAGGCTCTGTGCAGATTTCACATTTTTGCCTGTTTGCCTGCAGAGATGCAAACTCACAGCTTTACCACCAGCCAAATCTCTCTCTCCGCCCCTCTGATTTTCTCTCCCACCCACCACTTACCTTCTAACATAGCCTTTGCTAACTTGCTGCCCTCCATAATTTTAGGCCATAACTCCCATCAGCACTGAAGGGAGTCGTAGTCCAAATTGATGATGGCAGATCTAGACTGATGATTCCTGCAGTGCTTGGACGTTTTGTGACATTTTACTTGGCCTATTGAAAGTGTAGCTCCTGTATGGATTTTAGAATGATACGTTAGGTTACCTCCTAGCTGAAAACCTAAAGTGTGTATTTTCTCATCAAATTTATAATCGTGTTACTATCCATCTTCTGGATAGTAGACACTATCGAACACACAAATAGGCATTGCACACGCGCCCCCCGTTGTTGTTGTTGTTGTCATTTTTATGGATTGTCTTTCATTCTCCCCCAGCCCCCCAATTTATTAATGGGAAAATCTACTGATGCGTTAATGCCTTATTTGCATAAATTTGAACCATGCCTTTTGATTATTCATATTCGTTAAGGTTTTTTCCTTCGACAACAGTCTTTACTGATGTCAACAAATGTCCACATTTCATCTTTCAATGAAGTTCTGTAGTTTTGTTGGATTCAGCTTACTTTTCTTTGAGTTTTGATACTCTCAATATATTACTGTGGGTTGGATCCAGAGATAGCCAAGAAGATCACCTTTCATGCAGTGGGGCTTTCTCGAGTCTTCTGTCCAATTGCCATTCCCACTTGTCGAGGGAGTGCTGGAAGCCGCAATTGGGAGAGTGCTCCTGTGCTTGAGTCCTGTTTGCTAGTTTTCCACAGGGATCTAGTTGGTCACTGTGAGAACAGGATAGACCATTGGCCTGATCCAGCAAGCTAGTCTTCCATTCTTAAGACCAGGTTTCCTCAAACTCGGCCCTCCAGATGTTTTGGGCCTACAACTCCCTTGATCCCTAGCTAGCAGGTCAGGGATGATGGGAATTGTAGTTCCAAAACATCTGGAGGGCCGAGTTTGAGGAAGCCTGCTTAAGACCCTCTGGAATGTGATAAAATTGGGAGAGAGCCAGAGTTGCCTTGCACCAAGTGGCAGTGTCTCAAAAAATATCCAGATTTGAGCCAATACAATCACATCTAAATTCCGTATTGTTTTGCAAAATGCCCTTCACTTTGTTTTTGCTGCCCCTGCCCTCCCAGTATCTATTCAGCTGCTCATTGAATACAGTTCGCTGTTTTGCAAATTCCTGGCATTTTTGGAAATTTCCAGATTTAAAAAAAAAAACTTATTTTGAATCTACTGTTCCCTCTTTCTGAAGGGATGACGATGATATCAATGATGTCGCATCGATGGCAGGAGTTAATCTATCAGAAGAGAGCGCACGTATATTGGCCACGAATTCTGAGTTGGTGGGCACATTAACAAGGTCGTGTAAAGACGAAACCTTTCTTCTCCCGGCACCTTTGCAAAGAAGGATACTCGAAATAGGTGAGTTGCTGTGAATCTCGGCAGCATAATGGCCTGATTGGTGATACGAAGCGACTCCATCCTTTTATGGTTCCACGTGATGATGTTACTGGTCCAGCAGTGGCGGCCCATATTGAGCACAGCTTAGATGTGACACACAGATTCATTCTATTAAGCAAAAGTGGATAGAGAATGAGGGGTGGATGGGACAAAGGCAACAGTTGTCTATGTGCTATCTTTAAAGGCCACTGAGAGCCATCTGCATTAGGTACAGTGATTCGGAGACTCTTTTTATATAGTAGCTTTAAAAATATTCCCATGTTTTACACGCCAGAAAAGTAGCTTCTGTGTTTCAGACATCCTGTTTTTTTTAAAAAAACATGGACAACCTGGTTTCAAGCTATCAGGAACCCAAATTGGCTACAGCTTCCCTGTGGAGGATATCAATATGGGATAACATGTATTTTACTGCTGCAACTTTGTGACTTGCCCTGTACAGAACAATTGCACCTAACAGGCAGCAAAGCAGAATGAATTTGTGCACACAAGTACACACACACACACACACACACACACACACACACACACCATTTCCATTAGGTGTTATGTCATAGCTGTGTATCAATCATCAGCTAAGCATAATTATCAGGCTTCTATAGCAGGCTACCAAGTGTTCCTTCCGTCTTATTGCCTGTTGTAAACAACTTCTCAAACTTGGAGAAATAGATTGTAAAGCAGTGATTAGAGTTGTAGGCTTGGGCCTAGGAGATCTAGGATTAAATTGCTGCATAGCCTTTGAAAAAAATGTGTAAGCTGCCTCGAGTCCTGTCAGGGAAAAAGGCGGGGTATAAATATAATACTAATAAATAATATTTGGTTAGGTCAGTCGCTAGATATTTGCCATCTTTAAAATGAGGGTCATAGTGTCCTTCCTCACACACTTCTTTTCCAAAAAGCAGCACAGTGAGATTCATGAAGTCCATTGCAAATAAAAGGAAATGAAATGAAACTAATTAATATCACTGTTAAGTAGTACACATACTTCAATAGGTGCACAATCCACTTGGTTAGGAAACCCAAAAACATTAGCTGTGTTGGTGCCAAGTACTGTAGTAAATTGCTGAGCTTTGTTTGAGAAAAGCAGCTGCGTGGGACTCTTGGGTGGTAAGTCACATTATGTGAATTGTTTTGGGGGGCTTTTTGTGCATGCATAGCCATCGCTTTGGGGGCTGCAGTATCAGGTGGTGTTAAGTAGGTAGGAAAGGGCCATCATAGGTCAGACATCATGGGTAGAACTTTTGAATCACCATAAACTCAGTGCTTTCCAGTAGAGTCGTTTCACACATTCAGTGGCAAGTCAACCAACAAGAAACCAAGTAATGTGATTCTTTACATGAACTCGGCTCTGAATCGGCAATGGCTGCTTAGGTTTCTTACTGAATGCCTTTGCTTTTGTTGGAAACACAGGTAAGAAGCATGGAATAACGGAAATCCACCCCGATGTAGTTAGCTACGTATCGCACGCAACGCAACAAAGGCTACAAAACCTGGTTGAGAAGGTATCGGAGACTGCCCAGCAAAAGAATATGTCTTACAAGGTAAATAGTCTTACTGACAGTGAGAAGGTTTGGCAACTTGGATTCTTTTGAGCTCTGGTTTAATGAGCTCAGACGCAATCCCAGGAATTCTGTTTCTAGCCCGTGATTTACAGCTTTTGTAATAAATTATTATTATTATTATTATTATTATTATTATTATTATTATTATTAATACCCCGCCCATCTGGCTGGGCTTTCCCAGCCACTCTGGGCGGCTTCCAAAAAAATATTAAAATACTATAATATATCACACATTAAAAGCTTCCCTAAACAGCCTTCCTAGCAGCAGAGAACCTCATTGTGGCGAACAAAAGCAATCCAGGCCTGAAGAAATCAAGTGTGTCTTGTAGACACGGTCTTTGCTGTGACAATGGAGGCATTATGGGAATAAAGCAACAACGGGAATGTTTTTCCTCTTTAATAACTATGCCAGGGCTACTTCTTGGGACATAAAACACTGTTGCATGGATGGGGGAAAAAAAGGAAAAGTTACTTTGGGTTATTGAAACCTGCTATCAAGTTAAATTCTTAAATTTCTTTTAAAGTCTGCATGCCTTTCATTAAATAGATAAATAAATGGGCAGATTTAAGCAATCGTTGGCTAGGTTTAGCTCCCGTTTGGTCCTTTTTGTTGCAAATTTTTGCACTTTGAAATGAAATCAATGGAGGTGCTGTCAGGTATGATGACAAATCAGATATATTTATCCACTGCATTAAGAAGAGGGCAGTGCAGGGTGGATAAAATTGGGAGAGGGTGGTGATGATTCTGAATTTTCTCCTAAAGTTTATATTTATGTACACACCCTGGTTTAATCCTGGCTTGAGGGCAAACCATAGTTTGATATATTCTGCTGAAATAGCAAATGAGAAGTGGAGGCTTCTAATCTCCTCCCCTCACATACAAAGGAAGCAAGAAGGATAGGAGGGAATACACAAGCCTCACAACCTCGTAATGAAAAGCCATGCTTTGTCATTCTGGGTGAAGTGAATCTCTAAGGGATTTCTTTCTCACTGGCCAGCCAAATGACAGATTTTGTGTAAAACCTCCCATTGATGGGTGTTCTTTTGGCAGCTGTGTTACCTTCAGCTCCCTCCCTCCCAATTCTCACAGTTCCCTGAGTTGCAGGTGTATAACATGGTGCCGTTTTCAAAGTTTCATTAACTATGAACTGTTATAGTCTAAGAGGGAATAGAATGGGTGTGTTGTTTGGGGTGGCAATTTTTAAATTTGCTTTATTTCTATACCCAAAATTGCCTGGTTAATATTGCCTCCTGTAGTCCTGCCCTCCCCTCTATTCCCTGCCCCCACTCCCTAATACTGCATGACGCTGAATGGTGGAACTTATTGCTGCTGGAATTACTCCATGGAAAGGACTTAGGGCAAATACAAATATAAAAAGCTATTGGCAGAGAAGGTCAAAATTGGACTTACTTATGGTTAGAGTATCTCTAAACTTAATTTGGCTCAACACTGGACTGGACAGGAGATTAGGGAATGGTTGTCTTGATATTTTGTGCCATTACATGCTTTCTCAAAATCCACCTCCAGCCATTATCAGACACAAAATAGAGGAACTGATGAACCATTAGCCTGATCTACTGGCTGTCCTATTTTTTCCGCCTTAGACCAAGCTCTGGAAATGAAATTGTGTAATATATTAAAAGAAGGATAGGTTTCAGATATTCTTGAGTTGATTTGACAGGTTTCCATGACCTAAAGAACTGGGCTTTTAGGGGAAAAGAATCTTTTTGAAAAAGGAAGCTGAAAATATTACTTGAATGTTAATAGACCCTGATGAGATCATAGAAAAGATTGTTGAATTAAAAAAACAAAACAACACGTTTTTAGCCAGCTGTATGAGTTTAAAGATTAACTTGCTGTTTGAAGAAGATTAAGTGAACATATTGAGCTTGTGTGTGTGTGTGTGTGTGTGTGTGTGTATACTCTCGTTTAGCTGTGCAGTACAATTGCACCCCCCCCCATTTTTTCCTAATGAAAACCATTTCCCCACATTTTTTAGGATGATGAAAGATACGAACAAGCAAGTGATGTTCGGGCGCAGCTCAAATTCTTTGAACAACTTGATCAAATAGAAAAACAGCGGAAAGATGAACAAGAAAGGGAAATTCTAATGCGCGCAGCAAAGGCAAGTGCTTTGTTGTTGTTTTTCACCCCTAATAGATTGACAAGTGTTGCATTTGACGTTGAAAGAGCCGCGGTTCTTTTGTTCTCCTGGCTGTGAAATGAGACGGGAGGCTCTTCTCCTAACCCTAAATGCCACACAGTGTGATGCTGCTCTTTTGCATGCTGTCTTTAGTCCAGAACCACAAAAGGACTGTATGTCGAGCTTCAGCCACACAGTGCCCCCCCACCTTTTTGGGGGGAGGGTGTGTTGCTGTCCATCATCACCCTGAAGCCACTCCCAGCAATTTTGGAAATCGCCCCCAGCAGCACTCTGGTAGAGCATGAGGCTCTTAATCTCATGGATTCGAGCCCCATATTACAAAAAAGATTCCTCCTGCATTGCAGGGGGTTGGACAGGGTCCCTTCCAACTCTGCGATTCTGTGAAAACAGCTGGGGGATTCTGGTGTGGATGGGAATACTTCCTCAGGTCTAAGCAGGCTCCTTGGATCCCAGCCTATAACTGTAACCCGGAAACTGAAGTGGAAAACACTTTGTACTCCCTTGAACGGGGAGATTGAATCGAATAACATTTTGCACTCTCAATGATGGCTCAAAGAGAAGCAAAATGCCCTGTGCAAATGCGTTTTGTAAAACCAGGCACAAAAGGGGTAGCGTGGAACCTCCTGCTTTCTCCTTATGGAGGCGCAAATCCAGTGAGAGCTTTGCTGCTTATTTTGAATCTGGACTCAGCCACAAAACTCCCTGGGTGACTCTAGGCCAGTCACAGTGGGTGATACCCAGCACTGTGTTAGTAGAGTTCCACTTGCACCGTGCAACTTGTCCTCTCCTTTCCCTGCGCTGCCCCCCAGATTGTCCTGCAGCCCCCAGGAACAGATTTTGTGGGTGGTGCAGGGCCTGCAGAGGAAGAGAAAATTCCATTGCACAACTGGAAATTTTACGCATGTTTCTCAGCCCACAGGGTTGTGAGGATAATCAATAATAATAATATTTTCCCCAGCCGCTCTGGGTAGCTCCCAACAGAATACTAAAAATATGATAAAACATCAAACATTAAAAACTTCCCTAAACAGGGCTGCATTCAGATGTCTTCTAAAAGTTCGTTGTTTATTTCCTTGACATCTGATGAGAGGGCATTCTACAGGGCGGGCGCCACTACCAAGAACGCCCTCTGCCTCATACCCTGTAACCTCACTTCTCACAGTGAGGGAACCACCAGAAGGCCATCGGAGCTGGACCTCAGTGTCCAGGCTGAATGATGGGGGTGGAGACGCTCCTTCAGCGGATAACCCCTGTATGCCACTCTCGGATCCTTCACAGAAGAGCCAAGATACAAGTGTGAAAAATAAGTAACTGCTAGACTTCATTGCTGTGTATAATGGAGAGCCCAGCAGCCTGTCTCATACCGAAAGCGTGAGACCCATTGAGTTCCGCAGTTTGCTAGGAGATCAGAATACCTATATTAGGTTCATTGGATCTGAAGTCATCCGGACACCAGAAATCACCAAGGAATTATCAAGAGGAAGGGGAAAACCCTCCATTCAGACTCCTTTCTTTCTTAAATAGAACTATGCCAGAGCTTGAGGTAGGTGCCTGGGTATTTGGCTGGATCCAGTCTGTTTCTTCTTCACTCTCCCAGCCACCAGGGTGGTAGCTCATCATGTTAAATTTGAAAATCTGAGCATGTGCTAGTCTTGGACTAGGACCTAGGAGACCAGGGTTCAAATTCCCACTTGGGCATGAAGCTCCGTGAGTGGAATTGGGCCAGTCAGTGCCTATAATCCTCAGCTTTCTCACCTTCCACACAGGGTCGTTGTGGAGAATAAATGGGGGGGGGGGGGACCATGCGTACCACCTTGGGCTCCTTGGAGGATTAAGTGCAAGATAAATGCAATAACTAATAACTCATTAGTCTTATGTTTGGAATATAGTTAAAATACAAAACATATGTTATAGCCAAGAACACATTTTTAAAATGTCTCTGATTTATTCTCTTTTTTTCCCCTTACTTTGTCTCCCCTCTCCTTCTCCCTGCTGCCACTTTGAAATTCTTCATCAACACAGTCTCGATCTAGACAAGAAGACCCCGAGCAGCTTAGGTTGAAACAGAAAGCCAAGGAGGTATGTTTTTTTCCCAAACCGCCTGTCGTATTTATCATCTCAGTGCTGCATTTGTTACATTTTCACCTGCGTAATAATGACTGCGTTCCAAAACAAGCATAGGAGAGAGTAAAAACATAAAGGAAAATGGTGACTTTTTCTCTTTTGCCAAACACAGATGCAGCAACAGGAACTAGCACAAATGAGACAGAGGGATGCCAACTTGACTGCCTTGGCTGCAATAGGACCCAGAAAGAAGAGGAAAGTGGATTCCCCGGGCTCTGGATCAGGGACAGAGGTACAAGACTACAACTCTGTTTGTACATCATTGGATCCTAGACTTCTGATGGCTCTGGTACAGCTTCAAACTAAACTGAAATTGGAAGCACATTTCACTCTTGCCCAACACAGATTTTCTTGTTGCGGGTGTGAGAGTTAGAATTAGCCACCCCAAGTTTAACAAAGTGTGTACCACCTATGCAAGTTGCAAGTCTCATTGCTGGTACACTTTCCTGCACCACTGCTGCACATCATTTAATTACCCTTGAGTGCCTTATGCTATATATCTTAAATTTCTTTAAACCTATCTGCCATGTTCTTTCTTACAACTGTGTAAGTTCTGACAGGCATAATATTTTAAGAGGCTTTACTGTTAAGTTTATCTCAATGTCTTTGGACTGATAATTTCAAGATGTGTTGGAGCAGATTCTTCATCTGTCTTTTCTTAGTGGTGCAGAATGTGCAAAAAATAATAATCTTTCTTGATGTGAAACAGGATATAAAGTTGGCATTTTGTGTATGAGATGTAACCTCTGGAATGCTTCATAATGGTTGTAGTTCCCTTAAACAAAGGGTTGGAGCCTCAATATATCCGATCTGCAATTCCAGATGCCTCACAGAAAACCTTTATTAATATAAAAGCAGATATCTCTGCCAATTTGTTTTCTTTATTGCTGTAGCAGCAGTGGAAGAAAATGGGCTTTGAAGTTCATCTTCTTCTGCATAGCTCTTGACAAAAATGATTTTCATGTTGCAGGCTTTCCTGCGAATAGCAATTTGGATAACACTCATTGAAACAAGTTTCCATTTTCTCTTCTAACAGAGGCTTTAATTAGAGGCAGAAATTGAGCAGATGCACTCTTCTAGTTCTGTAGTGTGTATTAGTGGAACCTGTTGAATTCCTGCCTGGGGCAGAGCGACAGTTGCACAGTACTAGACAGTAGTAGACGGGGTGAGCTCCCGTTGCTCGGTCCCTGCTCCTGCCAACCTAGCAGTTCGAAGGCACGTCAAAGTGCAACTAGATAAATAGGTACCGCTCCGGCAGGAAGGTAAACGGCGTTTCCATACACTGCTCTGGTTCGCCAGAAGTGGCTTAGTCATGCTGGCCACATGACCCGGAAGCTGTACGCCGGCTCCCTCAACAAATAAAGCGAGATGAGTGCCGCAACCCCAGAGTCGTCCGCGACTGGACCTAATGGTCAGGGGTCCCTTTACCTTTACCCCAAAGGCCAACAAAATTTATTTTGGCACATGGGGTAGAAAATCCCATAAGCAGCTCTTTCCCCTCCCTGCTGTAAAATATACAACAGCAATGAATTAACTAAATTGTTGCCCCAAATCAGCTGCTTGAGGTAGTAGTCTCACTTTTTTTTTTACAGTAGGACTGGCCCTGGTTGAAGGCACAAAATGAAAGTGCAGAAGCTGATAAGCCTATCTAGAAATATCTCTGCAAAATTCCCCCTTTCTAGAAGCTGCAAGTTTCTCTGGCGTGTCTTTATATTGTTACTAGTAAATATTTTATAAATCTTACATAGCTTTTATAAATCTGAAAAGCATTTACATAGGTTTTATAAATCCATTTGAGTCCAAACACCCATATCTAAAAGGGCACTGCAGTGAATTCCATGGGACTGTTGTCTGTGAAGTCCTGGGGAGAAGGGAATTGAGTTAAATCAAGCTCAAAGCTTACTTAATTTAAAAAACTTAAGTTGCGTTCTCAGCAGTAGTAGCACGTAGAAAGATGTGGAAAAATAGGGAATGCAATAAAATTATCATTACTCAAACTTGGAGCAGTGATCCAAAATAGCATTCATTGTGTCTAAGTCCATTAGGTGTGCTGAGCAAATTTAGAAGTAAGCTGTGTTCAGTTGGGCTTACTTCCTAGTTAAGTCATTTTAGGATCGGAGTCTAAAACAACTTACTTCCAAACCTTACCATTAAACTTGCTCTCAAACCCTATCAGTCAGAATAATAATAATTATTATTATTACTATTACTACTACAATTTATATACCACCCTTTAGCCAAAGATCCCAGGGCGGTGCACAACATTAAGAACATAATTTATGCAGCATAATAAAAAACAGAATACCCAGCATAATAATAAAACAATCGTGATAACTGCCCCCCCCAATATACATTTAACAGACCATAGATTATTTAATTGCCAAAGGCCTGGGTAAAGAATAATGTTTAGTTTTTATTGAGCAATAGCACCTACTCCCTGATTAGAGGTGCAGAAGTGATCTTCTTTTCTAGTTCGTTCAGGATCAGGGTTTCTGCCTACCATTAAAGAGAAGGACTTCAACATACCCATTGCGTCATTTTGGAAGTTTGTGTCCAGCTGCTCCATGCTGTAGGCCACGTTCCAGTGGTGGGTGGTGCCAGGGGCAAAAATGGGTGGAGCAATGGGTGTGAAGCTTGCTTTCTCCTGTACAGTATAAATGGGAGATTAATGTTCACACATCTCTTCGTTTGGGCAAGCAAGAGTCTTAGCACAGTGCCAGCCAGGCAAAAGCAGCCGAGGACCCGGAGCAGGATTGTTTGGGGGAGGGAGCATGGCTTAGGAAGAGTCTCAAAGGCCAGTCAGAGATTTCTGGAGGGTGCCTTTGGACCCTGGACCGGAGGTTCCCCAATACCTGAGTATAGCATTGGTCCCCCAAGTACATTGTATCACGAAGCCCTAACACAATTGTTCCTCTCCAGGGGCAGGTCACTGCTAAGTGGACCAACATTGCTGTGTCTGAAAGCAGTTTCATTTAGTTCCTACATACAGTGGTACCTCGGGTTAAGTACTTAATTCGTTCTGGAGGTCCGTTCTTAACCTGAAACTGTTCTTAACCTAAAGCACCACTTTAGCTAATGGGGCCTCCTGCTGCTGCCGCGCCGCCGGAGCACGATTTCTGTTCTCATCCTGAAGCAAAGTTCTTAACCCGAGGTACTATTTCTGGGTTAGCGGAGTCTGTAACCTGAAGCGTATGTAACCTGAGGTACCACTGTATTTATCCAAGGTAGATTTAAAATACTATGCGGGCTATTAGGATCACACACACACAAACCTTCAGGCATACAGTGGAACCTCGTGTTACGCACCGTCCTCCTTGCGAACGCTTTGGGTTACGAGCTCCGCTAACCCGGAAGTAGATGCTCCAGGTTGCGAACTTTGCCCCGGGATGCGAGCGGAAGTCACGTGCTGGCAGCACGGCAGCAGTGGGAGGTGCTATTAGCAAAAGCGTGCCTCATGTTGCAAGCGGTTTCGGCTTAAAAATGGACCTCTGGAACGAATTAAGTCCGTAACCGGAGGTACTACAGTGTACATGAACATTTAACTTCTTATGTCCTTCAGTATATGGAATCTGCTTTTCATTCGTTAGAAATTCTTCTTTGCATATCAGCAAACTGTGATCAATTTAGTTACCTTAGTTCAATCTGTTACGGGATAGCCAAATGTCCTAAATCAAAGCTTTTGTTTGCTTAATTAAGAACCAGCTGCTTTGGATCTAATTGACTCGCAGCTGTGCAGCTGCTGCTGCTGCTGCAGTTGACATTTTTAAACTGAGCTCCCCTTGTCTCTCTCTTGGTGCATGCACACATTGTGGGGGCGTTTTTCTTGCAGTTAAAACAGTATTACCAAAACTGGTTCCGATCAGACTAGCGTGCTGATATCCAAGGAATGTCGGACCTTAATAAGTCACCTGTAAGCAAAGCAAAAAAAGGAAAAGGGGGGAAAAAGCCAAGAAAATATAATTGCACAATTAGCTTGCGGATAGGATGTTCAATATCCGAGATGATGTCAAAAGCCCAGGTTTTACCTGGACAAATTAATTTGTTGCTCTAATTGTGCAAATTCAGCTGTTTGAGCATTTCTGGGAAGCTTAAAAATGTATTGTGACAAGATTGCCTGATTAGCTTAAAGGCTCGCATAATATGCCTCATGGCATTCTTGGCCATGACCCAGTTTGACCCCACGAGTGACTAAGGGGTTCTTACGCTATTCCTCCTCTCTGCCTCTCTTCACCACACACTCCCTAGATTTATTGAGAGGAGCTTTCGAACAGGATGCTTCGTCTGCATAGTTTTAGCTCATACGTGAGGAGGCAGCCCTTGAGTTGGTATTTGGGCAGATATATGCAATGTTTCTCAAGGCTTTTGAGCTTCGTTTCTGTTTTTAAGCACGTTACTTTTTGGAAGGGGGTGTTCCTGTCTAAAGCAAGGGGCTTGGAGTGAAGAATTTGGCAGGGATAGATTTGAGGTATGTGAGCCTTTGGTCCCACTGTTAGACGAGGCTGCACACTGAAGAAGGAGGGGGCAGATGGATCATGATCCTGGGGGCTGGAGTGGGGCACTACAGTGTATCAGGAAAGGAAGGGCTGAGAATCAAGAAGGTCAAAGAGTGGGAGGACAGTACCACTGTGCACTAAAAAAAAATCCCAATATTTTTCTCAAATATGACCCTGCTAAGGCAAATAATACTAAACTGCAGCTGCTCAGTTTGTGCAAACTGCAACTTCAACTTGTACACCAATTAGCAGTCTTTCCAGGTGGTATATCTCCCTTGGTTCTTCTTCTTTTTTTTAATATAGAAAAATCAGAGCAGAGACAAATTCTCTGGTCTATATATGCCACCTGCTGGTCTCAGCTCATTACTGCCTCTCCACATGCATTCCAAGACAATGAGGAGATGCTGCAAAACCTCCTGTCTCTTCTGATGCGATAACTCACTCCTATTATATGTTTTTGTTAAGTTGACTTGCCTTTTAGTAATTATTTTACAAAACAAAAGCTATGTGCTGCTTCTGTAGTCTTAATCTGCAGATGAAGGGCGGTATGCAAATTCAATAAATAACAACAACTACTACAACAACAACTACAACTACAGCAAGAACACAATATGAGAAGTGATGTAATCTTAGTATATGACTTCCAAAACTGTGCCATTATAGCCCCAGCTGTTCCTTTCACCCCTTTTAAAAAATACAGAGCTTTTGCTAAATAGTATACTGTTAAACAAATTCGCCCTCAGTCATCGATAGTTATGTTTATTGCGGGTTGGAGCAGTTGCTCCTGCCTGACATTTACCGTATTTTTCTGTGTATAAGATGCCCCCATGCGTCACAAAAGCCAAAAAGCATCTGCTCCGCAGCCAGCAAGCGCACGCACAATTCCGCAGCATAAGCCAAGTCACAGCAGCCCTTGCCGCAGCCACCAATCACCCACCCAGTCGCCGCTGTCAATCTTCTGCTCACGGCTGCAACCAATCGCCTGTCTCCCTCTTTGCACTACTCATGTATAAGACGAGCCCCGATTTTGAACATTATTTTACAGTAAAAAAGTTTGTCTTATACACGGAAAAGTACAGTATTTGCAGAATGGTCATGCTCTTAGCCAGAAGGGCTGCGCTCATAAAAGGCTGTAAACATGGGGCACCAACTATTTGAATAGTTTTTCATATCATAAGCTGGTCACTGAAGCTGGCTGTAAACTACCTAGGTTGGTTGAAAGTGTCCGGTTGGCTGCCCGGGATGTATAGAAGCTGAGATGTGGGTGGAGGCCAGGGACTGAGGGAATTTTTTGCACCTTCCCCAAACAACTGCTTGTGCCTCAAGCTCGCCTTGTGCTTTGTGGCTTTTACAAGCACATCTGCGTCGGCTTCGAATGGGCTGATATCTTACAGCACAGGTTCAATGTCTTGCCACATCAATACATTCAGTTTATAATGCCAGTGATAGCGATAACCAGAGCTCCCCAGTCTCTGACCCTTAAATGACTCGGGCACTCAGCTTTTTACTGCCACTGTAAGATTTGCAAATCTTGGGCCCGCCACTCCCTATTGGCGTTTGCTTAGGCCAGCCTTCGCCAACATGGTATCCTTGAGATATTTTGGACTACAACTCTCATCAGCCCCAGCTTGAATATAGGCCTGACTTCTTTGGAAGCAGAAAGCTGAGACTCTTGCAGCGAGCCAGATATCTTCTGTTCTCTTCAAAGACCTCCTTCCTTGGAGGTTTCTAAGCAGAGGTTGAATTGGCCATCTCTCATGGATGCTTTAGCTGAGGTTCCTGCATTGTAGGGGGTTGGACTAGATCAGGCATAGGCAAACTTGGCCCTCCAGATGTTTTGGGACTACAACTCCCATCTTCCCTAGCTAACAGGACCAGCGGTTAGGGATGATGGGAGTTGTAGTCCCAAAATGTCTGGAGGACCGAGTTTGCCTATGCCTGGACTAGATGACCATTGGGTCTCTTCCAACTCTACAGTTCTATGATTCTAAGTGCTATAGATGCACTCATAGGTAGGCCTTTGCTGGGTGATAACATCATGAAGCATTCTCACTATCGGGGTGGCGGCGAGGGGAATCATCCAGTAGTTGCAGGACTCCATTCCCTGAAGACCCAGAAATTGTTATGTGGCCTCATTTACCTTGTACATAATACTACAAAAATGAATGTTCAGTGCTCGTTAAAAAGACACCCCAGAGGATCGAAAATCACAGAATGTGCCTTAGTTTTCCTCCAACTCCTGTGTGGATTCCGTGTTCCCATGATGCTTTGGGTGTCTGGGGACAGAAGTCCCCTGGATAATGCTGCCCCCATGAGTGTGTCTTTATAATGACTTATGAAACAGATGTTGGTCCGCGGATGCTAAGGCAGACTAGCATCATTCTAAGAATGGTTCAGTTCTATGCCAGCAGGTATTTAATCTGTGCTGTTCATGTCTTTAGCGTTCTGCAAAATTGCATTAGCCTTTTACCTGCTGTCTCTATTCCCCACTTTATTTCTGTTTTAATGGTTTTAATTATTTCGCATCACTCTTTTTATTGTTACAAGCCACCTTGCACATCTCTCTTGATACACAAAGTTCAGGGTAGAAATTACTCCAGTAAAACAAACAAACAAACAAACAAATTGACCACTACGCGAGGTGGAATAAAAGTCCAGAGGTCTTCTAAAATGTTGATGGATGCTCATGCACACTGGAGCCAGTCTGGTGTAATAGTATAGTGTTGTTTGTTTTAGGTAGGGCCAAGCTGAAACCTGTCCATTTAGGGAGCCTTGAGCCAAGTCATTTGTATTACCATAAAAGTCATGCAGAGAGTCCTGCGGTCTAATCACTTTACTGGGTTGTTGTCAGGATAAGAAATGAAAGCTACTTTACTGAAAGGGGGCTGCAGAAATGGCAAGGAACCTAGAAGGCATTTGCATAAGAGGCAGCAAACAGGAACTGCAGGTGGGAAGAACTAGCTATAATAGCTAACAACAGCAACATATTTATAAGCCACTCATCTGACTGAGTTGCTCCAGCCACTCTGGGTGGCTTCCAACAAATTAAACACAGTAAAACATCAAACGTGAATAATAATAATAATAATAATTTTTTAAAATTTATATCCTGCCCTCCCCAGCCGAAGCCAGGCTCAGAGCGGCTAACAACAGTAAAAGTAACACAGTTTACATAAAATCACAATCAATTAATTGAAATACATTCTAAAATCAATTCATTCTAAAATCAATTCAGAATCAAATTAATGGCAACCATTGGGCTAGAGTTCTATGAGTTAAAAACTCCCCTATCCAGTCCTTCCTTCAGGTGTCTTCTAAAAGTCAAGGATTGTTTATTTCCTTGACATCTGATGGGAGGGCATTCCACAGGGCAGGTGCCACTACCTGTGTGCCTGTATGTTTCTGAGCACAATTCAAAGTGTGATGCTGACCTTTAAAGCCATAAACAGCCTCAGCCCAGTATACCTGAAGGAGCGTCTCCACCCCCATCGTTCATCTCTGACTTTTAAAAAACATCTGAAGGCAGCCCTGTTTCGGGAAGTTTTTAATGTTTGATGTTTTGTTGCTTTTTTATATGTATTCTGTTTGGAGCCACTCAGAGTGGCTGGGGAAACCTGCCAGATGGGCGGGGTATAAATAATAAATAAATTATCATCATCATCATCATCGTCGTCGTCGTCATCATCATCCCAAGAGGGCCCTCTGCCTGGTTCATTGTAACTTCACTTCTCTTAGTGAGGGAATTGCCAGAAGGCTCTCAGAACTTGGACCTCAGGGTATGGGCTGAACGATTGGGGTTGGAGATGCTCCTTCAAGTATATAGGGCTGAGGCCATTTAAGCTTCCCATTCCTGACATAGAGGGAACTTTCTAAGAGATTGTTGTTGTTGTTGTTGTTGTTTAGTCGTGTCTGACTCTTCGTGACCCCATGGACCACAGCACGCCAGGCACGCCTGTCTTCCACTGCCTCCCGCAGTTTGGTCAAACTCATGCTGGTAGCTTCGAGAACACTGTCCAACCATCTCGTCCTCTGTCGTCCCCTTCTCCTTGTGCCCTCAATCTTTCCCAACATCAGGGTCTTTTCCAGGGAGTCTCTCTTCTCATGAGGTGGCCAAAGTATTGGAGCCTCAGCTTCAGGATCTGTCCTTCCAGTGAACACTCAGGGCTGATTTCCTTCAGAATGGATCGGTTTGATCTTCTTGCAGTCCATGGGATTCTCAAGAGTCTCCTCCAGCACCATAATTCAAAAGCATCAATTCTTCAGTGATTGGCCTTCTTTATGGTCCAGCTCTCACTTCCTAACATCACTACTGGAAAAACCATAGCTTTAACTATATGGGCCTTTGTTGGCAAGGTGATGTCTTTGCTTTTTAAGATGCTGTCTAGGTTATTCAGCTATACTGCTAGCTCAGAGAACTAACCCGTTGCCCTGTTCACACACACTGTATTCCACACAGCTTCCGCCGCCACCGCCGCCAATGCTTCTCTGAGGGCTTGGAAAATAAACTAACTTCTCTTCTTTCTGTTTTCAGGGATCCAGCACGAGTGTGGCAGTGCCAGGCAGCTCTGGAGTCGGAACAGCCAGGCAGTTTACACGGCAAAGGATAACGCGGGTGAACCTCAGGGACCTCATATTATGTTTAGAAAATGAGCGAGAGACAAGCCATTCACTATTGCTATACAAAGCATTCCTTAAGTAAAAAAAGTGGAGAACATCAAGGTATTTTTGGCGGAGAAGACACCTGGGGACACTTTTTTTTATATATATTTGCAGATTACGCCTTTTTGTAACGAGCATATGGGATACTGTTTAAAAAAAAACACACCCCATCAACAAACCATCACCACCACCACTCTGAGACAACCACCTCTTTACAAGGAACCGTTTTCTAGTCCCATTTATTATAAACTCTTTGGTGTAAGAGAGAGATCCCTTTCTTTGACAGTAAGGAGACTTGCAAAGGCCTGAGGAGTCGATAAGAGGACAATTTAAAGTTTAACTCATCTCTTTGATTGAGTGGCCTTCTTGCCAAACAAGCCATATTATAGAGACTGATGGAACCGTTTAGCAAATAACCAGCTACTCTGTGTCAGATCCTGTAGCAATTTCAACATTAATTGTGCATTTTAGTTCAGTTTTACTTAACGAGATCGATTATATAGGTATATGTCTACAGCAGATGACCTCATTTTATTTTAGCTTTTAAATGGAGTCAGTTAGCAAAGCGAACTGATTTTAATAAATATTTATCTTTTCCTGCCCAAAATTGTTCAGATCCTAGATTACACTTAATTTTAAGCGTAACCTCAATTCTTTTAATCTTGTTATTATCGCTTATTAGAGGCAACCCCCCACTCTGAAGGCCCACAAAGGAGGGTTACTTCTGAATGTTGTATCAGCATCTGTAAAAATAGAAAAAGAAAAAAAAGAAATGCATTTTATTTGCTATAGTTTGTAAAGCTGTAAAGTTTAAAACAAAAAAAGGAAAAAGGAAAAAAAGAAAAAACCTTTTCAGCATAAATATATTTTACTTGCACTGTGTTTTTTAGCGAAAGTGAAAGCTTAGATTAAATAAAAATCAAAGTTGAGAGGAATCATCAAAAAAGACAGTTTCTCAGTGTGAAATCAAGTGTTGAAAAATGGTTGGTGTATTTTGTCAGTAAATGTACATAATTTTTGGCACATAACATTAAAAAAAAATGGCTATGTAAACTATAATTATTTTGCTAAAAGACTGTATGCAAGCTATGGGCTTACTTTAAAGACGTCCAGAGCAAAATTCCCCTCTTTGTACCTATTTTTTTATTACAAATATACTAATTGGTTCTTTATATTTTCAGAGGTTATTGTATTAAATTGTCTATTGATAGTACTTTTATGACTGTAAATATGTCGGCTTTCTTTGTGTGAACTCTCATGTTAGATTTTAAGGGCAGGGGCCACCGTGAACACTTTTTGCGCAAATCCTGTTGAAACGAAGGGAGCTCTGCGACATGAACTGGCATTGGGTTTCAAGGGAGCCTTGTGCGAGAAGTGTTTCCGGTGGATTGCACCTTAACTCTTTTTGTGTGTAAACTGAATGCTGATCAGTATTTTTATCAAACACCCTACAAACTGTTACACCTTTTTATTTCGTCTTTTAGGGAATAAAAATCCTGTCTTTCCATTTTATTTTCATGTAAATTTTGCACAGTTCCTTGTTCATATGTAAATATTTTACTTTCAGAAATGAAGTTTTTAATTGCTATTGTTTTATATAGGATTGAAAGAAAATTAACTCCTTTATTAAAAACAAATTTATCTGTATCTGTGTATGTATTTTTGCTCTATAAAAATACTTCTGTTTCTGGATTTATTTAATTTCTCCCCATCCTGTCCCTACACTGCTATCCCCCTCCCCTTTAAAAAAAAACCATTCGAAGAAATAACCTCTCTTGGTTTTAAGCAGTGTTGGGAAGATAACAATTCTTCAGGGTGATCAGTGCCTGAAATAAAATTACAAACTGTATGCCAAGGAAACTCGGCTGCTGCACTTGGAATAAATTATGCTAGTTATATAAACCTGCAAATATGTACTTTGCCTAATCAGTTCTGCGTCTAAGATTCAGCTACTGTGGTATAGTGGTTAGAATACTGGATTTGGGAGAAGGAAAATTGGGTTCAAGTCCCTATATCAGCCTTTCTCAACTCCAGCTTGTAATCTGTAGACTGCATTTCCAGTTGAAGTTTCTGAATTGTAGAGCACATTTACAAAAATCCAAATCAGATGTCATCGGAGCATGCAGTATTTGCTGTACTGCCTGGGCTTTGGGGATTTCTGGTTCCAAACAGCAGGCTTGTGCCAGCCATGTTTTTCCAGCAGAATAGTTGGGGAAATATTTATGCCAACCTGAGCTCAGGGTGCAACGGAGGGAGATAAATCCAATAGGTAAGTTTGGCTGCTTGTTTATTTATATGATCAGGAAAGAGCATGCAAGGGGAGGAGGGGGAGAGAAGCACGGAGATTGGATAGAAACATGTAGGCTTCAAGCAAAAGAAAAAAAGAAAAAGGCAGGGAAACAAATTATAATTCTGGGATTTAAAAAGCTGAATCCTGTGTCAGCTATGTAAATGAAGTACATTTGCAATGTATGCCAATTTTCCATAATTTTGGTGGATGTTGGAAGGATATAGTGCGATGGAAGGCCACCACCACCTGGGAAATGTGGCTTCTGATATTTTCCCAGGTACTACCTACATGATGGCAAGTTTACATTTATAGTTTTAGAAACTGTTGTTGTTGTTTAGTCGTTTAGTCGTGTCCGACTCTTCGGGACCCCATGGACCAGAGCACACCAGGCACTTCTGTCCTCCACTGCCTCCCGCAGTTTGATCAAACTCATGCTGGTAGCTTCAAGAACACCATCCAACCATCTCATCCTCTGTCATCCCCTTCTCCTTGTGCCCTCCATCTTTCCCAACATCAGGGTCTTTTCCAGGGAGTCTTCTCTTCTCGTGAGGTGGCCAAAGTATTGGAGCCTCAGCTTCACGATCTGTCCTTCCAGTGAGCACTCAGGGCTGATTTCCTTAAGAATGGATACATTTGATCTTCTTGCAGTCCTTGGGACTCTCAAGAGTCTCCTTCAGCACCATAATTCAAAAGCATCAATTCTTCGGCGATCAGCCTTCTTTATGGTCCAGCTCTCACTTCCATACATCACTACTGGGAAAACCATAGAATCATAGAATCATAGAGTTGGAAGAGACCACAAGGGCTATCGAGTCCAACCCCCGCCAAGCAGGAAACGCCATCAGAGCACTCCTGACATATGGTTGTCAAGCCTCTGCTTAAAGACCTCCAAAGAAGGAGACTCCCTCACACTCCTTGGTAGCAAATTCCACTGTCGAACAGCTCTTACTGTCAGGAAGTTCTTCCTAATGTTTAGGTGGAATCTTCTTTCTTGTCGTTTGGATCCATTGCTCCGTGTCCGCTTCTCTGGAGCAGCAGAAAACAACCTTTCTCCCTCCTCTATGTGACATCCTTTATATATTTGAACATGGCTATCATATCACCCCTTAACCTCCTCTTCTCCAGGCTAAACATGCCCAGCTCCCTTAGCCGTTCCTCATAAGGCATCGTTTCCAGGCCTTTGACCATTTTGGTTGCCCTCCTCTGGACACGTTCCAGTTTGTCAGTGTCCTTCTTGAACTGTGGTGCCCAGAACTGGACACAGTACTCCAGGTGAGGTCTGACCAGAGCAGAATACAGTGGCACTATTACTTCCCTTGATCTAGATGCTATACTCCTATTGATGCAGCCCAGAATTGCATTGGCTTTTTAGCTGCCGCGTCACACTGTTGGCTCATGTCAAGTTTGTGGTCAACCAAGACTCCTAGATCCTTTTCACATGTACTGCTCTCAAGCCAGGTGTCACCCATCTTGTATTTGTGCCTCTCATTTTTTTGCCCAAGTGCAATACTTCACATTTCTCCCTGTTAAAATTCATCTTGTTTGTTTTGGCCCAGTTCTCTAATCTGTCAAGGTCGTTTTGAAGTGTGATCCTGTCCTCTGGGGTGTTAGCCACCCCTCCCAGTTTGGTGTCATCTGCAAATTTGATCAGGATGCCCTTGAGTCCATCATCCAAGTCGTTGATAAAGATGTTGAATAAGACCGGGCCCAAGACAGAACCCTGTGGCACCCCGCTAGTCACTCTTCTCCAGGATGAAGAGGAACCATTGATGAGCACCCCTTGGGTTCGGGCAGTCAGCCAGTTACAAATCCACTGAGTGGTAGCATAGTCAAGACCGCATTTTACCAGCTTCTTTTCAAGAATATCATGGGGCACCTTGTCAAATGCCTTGCTGAAATCAAGGTAGGCTACATCCACTGCGTTCCCTTCATCTACCAGGCTTGTAATTCTGTCAAAAAACGAGATCAGGTTAGTCTGACATGACTTATTTTTCCGAAATCCATGCTGACTATTGGTGATCACAGCCTTCCTTTCTAGGTGCTCACAGACTGTTTGCTTAATGATGTGCTCCAGAATCTTCCCTGGTATTGATGTCAGACTGACTGGGCGGTAATTATTTGGGTCCTCTCTTTTCCCCTTTTTGAAAATAGGGACAACATTTGCCCTCCTCCAGTCTGCCGGGACTTCGCCTGTTCTCCAGGAATTCTCAAAGATGACTGCCAGTGGTTCTGAGATCACACCTGCCAGTTCTTTTAATACTCTTGGATGCAGTTCATCTGGCCCTGGAGACTTGAATACATCTAAACTAGCCAAGTATTCTTCAGGTCGGGCATTGTTTTCTTTATCGGAGAAGACTGAGGCAAAGAAGGCATTGAGGAGTTCAGCCCTTTCTGTGTCCCTTTTACTATACGGACCTTTGTTGGCAAGGTGATGTCTCTACTTTTTAAGATGCTGTCTAGGTTTGTCATTGCTTTTCTCCCAAGAAACAGGCGTCTTAATTTCGTGACTGCTGTCACCATCTGCAGTGATCATGGAGCCCAAGAAAGTAAAATCTCTTACTGCCTCCATTTCTTCCCCTTCTATTTGCCAGGAGGTGATGGGACCAGTGGCCAAGATCTTCGTTTTTTTGATATTGAGCTTCAGACCATATTTTGCGCTCTCCTCTTTCACCCTCAATAAAAGGTTCTTTAATTCCTCCTCACTTTCTGCCATCAAGGTTGTGTCATCTGCATATCTGAGTTTTAGAAACTAGATACCTAAAAATACTAAAAGCTTTCTAGGACATTTTCAATGATGCTGACCTTTGGCCTAATAATATAGCCTGGATAGCTCAGTTGATTAGAGCATGGTACTGATAATGTCAAAGTTGCAGGTTTGATCCCCACATTCCTGCGTTGCAGAGAGCTAGACTTGGATGATCCTCAAGGTCCCTTCGACTCTACAGTCCTGTGATTCTATGTGTTTGTTTGTACGTATTTATTTCTGTGCTTCAATAAGTGTTGGGGAATACGCACAAGTTCAGGGCAGAGGTACCTGACAGATGGGGATGAATAGCAAACCATATGATTGCTTGCATCTGAGCTCCGTAAGACTTTCTTCCGAGTAAACCAGTTGCTTGAAAGGAACTAGTTCTAATTCAAGTTCTAGTTCAAGCTTATCCTGCCCAAAAATGAACTAGTTCCTGTTCATGTTCGTCCTTTTACAAAACAGACTAGTTCAGTTCATGTTTGTCCAGTGAACATTTTAGTTCATAAAAAATTCATTCCTGGCAAAACAGTTTCAGCCTTCATAATTTTACAAGCTGCTGTGCAGAAGTGTAAGGTCCAAAGGCGTCCTTTTTAAAAAATTTGTGCCAGATGTACAGCTGTTAAAAGTACAAGACATTATTTTTCCTACAAGAGCATATCCCTTCAGTAAGGAAGAGACAGGAAATGCTTCACATTCCTTCTGAATTCTTAGCAGCAGTCATTAAGTGTCCTTGGTGACAACAGCATCTCTGTATCTGTCTAATAAGGCCTAGAACATTGCCTTCACTTTTTGCTTTCTAACTTTATACAAGTCTGATTCATGCTTTTTTTTTAATGAAAGCTAAGATTGGGCTTCCTCCTTTGGTGGTGGAAGAAATTAATGCAAAGATGGACTAGAAATCATTCAAAGTTCTGCCCCAAAATGAACTTAGTTGCCAGATAGACTAAAGGCAATTATTTTCATTTTTTTAAAATATTATTCCAATATTTTTCCAATATTATTCCAACAATAGCCCCATTATAACAATGCCAATTCATATCTAATTAATCTAATTAATTAATTAATTAATTAATTAATTAATCTAATTAATTAATTAATTAACTCATATCTAATTAATACAATTATTAATACAAATTAATCAAATACCGGATTATACATTTTAGTTAAAGTGGCCCCGCCCCATGTGTTACATTTGATGGCTTTAGTTACTTGGTGGCTTCGCATGTCTTCAGACCCTACCCTGAGACACACGGGATATCAGGTTATGCCAGGCATAGACAAACTCCAGCCCTCCAGATGTTTGGTACTACAATTCCCATCATCCCTAGCTAACAGGACCAGTGGTCAGGGATGATGGGAATTGTAGTCCCAAACATCTGGAGGGCCGGAGTTTGCCTATGCCTGGGTTATGCAGAATGAGGGATGGGCTATATAGCTTGAAAGTAGAACAACTGTGTCACATGCAACAGGTAAATTCCCAGCACCTCCAGGTAGTTGCTTCCTGAAACCCTGGCGAGCCACTGCCAGTCCGTGACAATATTCAGCTAGATAGATGTGCTTTTCTGACTCAGTAGAAGACAGTTTCCTGTGCTTTTCCTTCCTTGCACAAGGAGACTGGAATGGATACAGGTGAGTGGTGCATGTTATAAAAGGAAAGGGAAAATATATAATTATGCATTTAAAAAAGCACAAATCCAGTGGTCTGTATATGCCATGTATATTCTTTTTAATGTACCTAAAACTGCTAGGCACTCTGCGAAATGGAATGAGGTAAAACAACATCTGCAGCTATGCTTATACTATGAAGTGAAGACATGGTAGGGAGGAAATTAAGGGGGGAAAGAGTCACTTGAATGTAAAAACAAATGAGAGTTGGATGTCACCTGGAAATTTTATTCCTATGATAGGGAGCTTCAACAGTAAAGAGATGCAGGCAGGGGGTGGAGAGAGCAATCATGGGTTTCAAAAGACAGCAAATTGACTATAAACCTGCTTATTTTGCTAATTCTTCTAGTAATCTCCCATGTGGCAAGAAGCCTCCAGTTGACTGTAGCAGCTTAAGGTTTCAACAGCTGCTACAATCACTGTTGGACAGCCCCATCTCCTCCCTCAGTGGTGATTTCCTGTAATAACACATTTACCTGTTCTTCTTCTGTAAGTTGTAAAGTCACAAAAGAATGGGAGAAAAGAAAGGAATAGGGGTGAGTTCAATCAAAACAATAAGCCACAAAATTTAGTAACTACTGTATTGTAGAATTTAGTATTCAGGCTTTCTAGCTCCCATGGCAGTGATGATAGCAGGATTTCCACTTTTGGGTGGGTGGGTAAGGCTTCCTTGTTGCTGTTTTTCTTTTCTTTTTTGTCTAGCAAGGCTGCTGCGCCTGTTCAATCTTCACTGATTTGAAAAATTTGTTCCCATGCCTTTTGAGGCTAAGAACTTCCAAGGTTAAATACAATTATGAAAAAAAAAAGCATTTAAAGCAATACAGTGGTACCTTGGTTTAAGAACAGCTTAGTTTATGAACAACTTGGATTAAGAATGCTGCAAACCTGGAAGTAGGTGTTTTGGTTTGTGAACTTTACCTTGGAAGCAGAACATGTCCCGCTTCCTGTTGAGTGTGTTCCATTTGTAAATTGAGTCCCCTGCTGCTATGGGAAAGCATGACTTGGTTTAAGAACGCTTTGGTTTAAGTACGGACTTCCGGAATGGATTAAGTTCGTAAACCAAGGTACCACTGTACTAAAACAACAGAACAGCAATAAAACAGCATGTTTAGCACACAGCAGAACAATGCCAAAGACTGCATCTCAGGCAAATAAAAAGGCCTGTATCCAGCCATCCACTTTCAACATAAGCTATGGTTTTCCCAGTAGTGATGTACGGAAGTGAGAGCTGGACCATAAAGAAGGCTGATCACTGAAGAATTGGTGCTTTTGAATTATGGTGCTGGAGGAGACTCTTGAGAGTCCCATGGACTGCAAGAAGATCAAACCTATCCATTCTTAAGGAAATCAGCCCTGAGTGCTTACTGGAAGGACAGATCGTGAAGCTGAGGCTCCAATACTTTGGCCACCTCATGAGAAGAGAAGACTCCCTGGAAAAGACCCTGATGTTGGGAAAGATTGAGGGCACAAGGAGAAGGGGACGACAGAGGATGAGATGGTTGGATAGTGTTCTTGAAGCTACCAGCATGAGTTTGACCAAACTGCAGGAGGCAGTGGAAGACAGGAGTGCCTGGCATGCTCTGGTCCTTGGGGTCACAAAGAGTCGGACACGACTAAACGACTAAACAACAACAACAGTGCTAGGCACGCAGGGACGGAGGAAGGGGGGTCCGGTGGGGGCAGGACGCCCCGGGTGTCACCACTGAGGGGGGTGACAAAATGCAGGGTGGCACTCACCGTGGGGCCTGCAGTGGGCCTGAGCCATGCGTCCCTCCTGGGAGTGAAGCAGTGTCTTGGGAGCCTGCAGGTTCCACGCTGTCCAAATGGTCCGTCCACTGACTCCCCCTCAGCTGTAGGGTGGCAGAGTCGGAGGAGGCAGGCAGAGTCTTCAGAGGCCCTGCGGGGTGTCCTGCCCTGGCTGGCCCCGCCCCTGGGCACAGGGCACGTGCACTGCCCTAGGTACCTAATTGGCTTGCTCCGTTACTGCAGGTGAGCCTCTCTGGGGAGGGCACTCCCATGATGGGATGCCAAAACCCAGAAGACCCTTTTCTTCATTTCCACCCATTCAACCTCTTGTTTGGGGAGCAGGGCACCTCAAATGACCATTTCAACAATTAGGTTTGTTAATGTGGGGTCAAAAGGTCCTTTTGAGTATGGAGATACGTCAGCTGTAGTTCTCCCTGTCTCTGCATCTCGGCAACTGCAGCTGTTAGGCTCTGGTAAAAGGTAAAGGTAAGCCCGACCGTTAAGTCCAGTCGCAGATTGTGTGCTCATCTCGCTCTATAGGCCAAGGGAGCCGGCGTTTGTCCGCAGACAGTTTTTCCGGGTCATTTGGCCAGCATGCCTAAGCTGCTTCTGGTGAATCACAGCAGCGCACGGAAACGCCGTTTACCTTCCCGCCGGAGCGGTACCTATTTATCTACTTGCACTTTGATGTGCTTTCGAACTGCTAGGTTGGCAGGAGCAGGACCAAGCAACGTGAGCTCACCCCATCGCGGGGATTCGAACCGCCGACCTTCTGATCAGCAAACCCTAGGCTCTGTGGTTTAGACCACAGCTCCACCCGCGTCCCTATGTTAGGCTCTGGTACTGGTGTGCAAAGAGCTATAAAGCTCAGGACCAGGATGATAGTGCTGGTTTCTGCAGCAGAGCTCCTTTTACTTTTTCCTGTACAGTGGTGCCTCGCAAGACGAAATTAATTCGTTCTGCGAGTTTTTTCGTCTTGCGATTTTTTCATCTTACGAAGCACGGTTTCCCAAAGTCTTCAAAATCACCAAATTCTTCAAAAACCTCAAAAAAGGCTACCACACCGCGTGCTATGAGTTGCTCCTCAAAGTCACCCTGGGTATTAACGGTTTTAAGAAAAAGGAAACAAACTTGCAAGACGTTTTCGTTTTTCGTCTTGCAAAGCAAGCCCATAGGGAAATTCGTCTTGCGAAGCAACTCAAAAAAAGAAAAACTCTTTCGTCTTGCGAGTTTTTCGTCCTGCGAGGCATTCGTCTTGCGAGGTACCACTGTATCTTTTACTTTTTTACAGCAGCAGCAGCATTCCAGCTCTCTCTTAGTGAAATTCCCATTACAGGAATAAACACCACTGGGTTCTGTTTTTCAGAGTCTTTATTATTTACAAAACTTTACACTGGTCATTAATAAAAGGAAAAAAACCAAAACAAATAGAGGAACATAATCTTTTTCACTTTTTAGCCATCTGGCTAGAGAAATAATGCTGACTCATTCACATACAGTGGTACCTCAGGTTACAGACGCTTCAGGTTATAGACTCCACTAACCCAGAAATAGTACCTTGGGTTAAGAACTTTGCTTCAGGATGTGAACAGAAATCGCGCGGCAGCGGCGTGGTGGCAGTGGGAGGCCCCATTAGCTAAAGTGGTGCTTCAGGTTAAGAACAGTTTCAGGTTAAGAACGGACCTCCAGAACAAATTAAGTTCTTAACCCGAGGTACCACTGTACTCATTTACACTGACCCAGACTT